GTTGCTTGAGTTAGTTGTTTTGCTCTAGCTTTGGCCGCTCTTGTTCTCCCAGCGCCACTCATTCCACTCCTGTCTGCGTGCCAAGGTCAAATTCTGAACAGTCCCATGGGAACCTTCCAGCCCAGAGAGTAAACAAAAAGTTGAAGAAAGAAGGAGGAAAAATACCAGACTCAAGCAGTTGTAAATCCAAACTCCACTAGGGGCAGTAGGAATAGGTCTTGAGGGGAACAAAGGGAAACTTTCCCCCCTAAAATTAGGTCCAATATTTTAAAATTTTTACCTCAAAGTCCAACAGTATCTAACCAGTCTTAAGTTTATAAGAGGACCTTCAACTCTTCTTTAAAAACAGCAGAGTAAATCCTTACTTAAACAATGTTTCAGAGAGAGTGCAAGAGAGCATTGTTTCAAAGTAACTAGTCCAAAAGCGCTCAGATGTAGCAGTTCACTGTAGCAAATAACAAAGTTCGCAAACTGACAGCTCCAACAGTTCAGCAGTCAGAAACCTGGATTTCTTTGTCAAATTTTGTAAATCCCAAAGGAGGAGAACAAAAGAGAAGTCCAAAAGATGTGAAAGCAAAAAGTTTAAGTCTCTTATCTTCTGTATGTCGAAGGTTCAAATCATGCATCCAGATGTTACTTTTAACTCTACTTCAAAGGCGCCAGATCAAAGTCAATTGCTTTAAAATTTAGCAAGCAAGGGAGACGGACTTCCTGGTTACATCTCCCACTACGTCCGAATTTCTTAAAGCCAATTTAAATTATTTTAAGTCCCTTTTACTCACGGGTTGTTGTTTCCGAATCCAATAGTGCAGAAAGAAAGGTCAGCGCTCACCGGCAGCAGCTATGCGGCTTCGCTCACACGGAAAGAACGATCAACTCACAGCACCGCGCACCCTTCCACGTTCCGAGGCCCCTTACGGGGTCCCTTCTTCGTTTCTGGGGGCGCTTTTGGTGCCCGCCGAGTCCCACGGCCACAGGCTCGCTCTGCCTGTGGTTTTCCGACGTGGGTCTCCGCTTCGCCGTTCCGCGGAGCTCCCTCTTCAGCAGCTGAAGAAGGCAGCCATTGCCGTTCGCGCCGCCTCCGGAAGTCTGTTGTTGATACCATTTCACAGAGTAGTATTTAGGCAGATTTCCATTTCGTGTGCTGTTTAATAGCATACCATGTGACGGCTAAGGTTCTTCCTTATCCCATAGCTGTCACTCAGAGGAAGAGGTTCTGCTTTCTGCTCAGAAGGTCCCAGATTCAGTTCCTGGCACTTTCTCCTCAGAGTTCCCTGGGAAGAGGGATCGACTATTAAACCACTCTGTAGCTCTGTGAGGGGAACAGGGGTCTCCTAGCAGCTCTCAGCACTCTTGGCGCATTACAGTTCTTAGGATTTCTTGTGGGAAACCATAACTGTTAAAGTGCTTTAAATGATTTGCCAATAGATTATGCTTTAAATCAGGCATAGGCAAACTCGGCCCTTCAGATGTTTTGGGACTACAACTCCCATGATCCCTAGCTAACAGGACCAGTGGTCAGGGATGATGGGAATTGTAGTCCCAAAACATCTGGAGGGCCGAGTTTGCCTATGCCTGCTTTAAATGTATAGTGCAGATGAGGCCTGGTTTCTTTCTGAAGAAATGATCTGTTTAAAAAATAAGGTGCCTCAGCTCTTTCATAGATCCAAAACTGGATGACTGGATGAGATGCAAATTTAGAAGCAACTACTACCATTTGAATAGAAATACAGTTCCTCTCAATACAGTGAGAAATATATGACCAGGTGACTGTACCAGCTCAGTCTGTTGCCCAGTGCTGCAGATGCCCCTGGTCTCCATTTGTTCTTTACTCTTAAAAGGATTTGGACTGGACAGCTCTTCAAGTTGAGTACTCTCCTCTGTAAAATAGGACACAAGGCCACCCTGTCTTGGCGCAGGAGGAGTCTATATGCTGGTAACAGGAGGGGGAATCAACAGAAATTGAGGTTTTAGAAGCCAGACACTATGTGCATGGAAGCCAAGAAGCCATGTTGGCAAAGAGTAGCATCTGAGAGGGTTCATGTGCCTTTCAGAACAGCTTGAAAGGGAAGTTCTCCCAGTTACAACCTCTCCTATCATTAGGCCCTGTGAGTTCACAACGCTACGTGAGAGCCAAACAGAGTGACTGAAATCCACCTGTTGATTTGAATTACCTGGGAGTTTCAGTGCCAGCAGAGGTCTGGTCTTACCTCCGAGGTTTCAAGGGACTGAATCTCTCTCTGGGTAATTCTGCAGCCTAGTGATAGCATTGTTCTAATAGCTCAGGTTGTTTTCTGGGTTTGATGTCTTCTGCTTTCTCCGCGTGCAGCTGGCGGTGAGCAGAGCACAAACATGTTCTGCTTGTGCCTGTGCAACAAGGGGAAATGAGTTGGTGGCTGTTTGCATAATAGATTGTGTATTGTAATAGATTGCCACCTGCTGTCTGTGGCTTGCATGCACAGATCTATGGAGAATTCGCATTGTGGTTCATTTACCACTGGAAGATGTGGCATTTGATGAATTAAGAATCAGTTTAAAAAAAGAAGGTGCCTCAGCTCTTTCATAGATCCCAAACTGGGGGTGAAAAAATGGATTTCTACCTTAGCCATTCCAAGACAATAGCTCATATATATCCTCTTTCTGGCTCCTGTGCCACCAACATTTTTTGGGGTGGGGTGGTGGTGGATAGTTTGATAATACAATTGCATTTATAAAAGGAAGTGCCTTTTGTTACCTTGCAACTTCTTCCTTTATAGACTATTCACATAGTCTATTTAGAAAGTTACTGCTGTATGTTGTTTGCAACTAGATAAAGTGCAGATAAACTTCGTGTTACTGCTCTCAATGGCCACTCAGAAATCTGGGGATATGGTGGGCAGCCATACATCTTAATCTCTGTAGAGGATCAGCTCTCTGTGCTTCCGTGTTCTTCAGCCTTAGATCGCAAGGAGTTGGAGTACAATCCAGATAGGACTGAGGCACTTTTAGGAGGTGGTTCCCTAGACCAGATGGTTGCCTGCTTTTGACGGGATTCCACTCCCTCTGAAGGAGCAGGTACGCAGCTCAGGTCCATTGCTGTCGCTTGAGGCTCCGGTGGCCTGGGTGCCTTCCATCAGCTTTGGCTGGTGGCCCAGCTGCGCCCCTATCTGAACAGGGATAGCCTAACTTCTGTCGCTTATGCTCTGGTAACCTCTAGGTTAGGTTACTGCAACGTGTTATATGTAGGGCTGAAGATGGTTTGGAAACTTCAGTTGGTGCAGAATTCAGCAGACAGGTAGCTCTCTGGGGCAAGATGGTTTAAGCCAGGCACCCCCAAACTTGGCCCTCCAGCTATTTGGGGACTACAATTCCCATCATCCCTGACCACTGGTTCTGGTAGCTAGGGATAATGGGAGTTGTAGTCACAACTTGGCTGGAGGGCCAAGTTTGGGGGTGCCTGGTTTAAGCATATAATGCCATTCCTGGCCCGACTGCACAGGCTGCCAATTCATTTCTGGGCCCAAATCAAAGTGCTGGTTTTGACCTATAAAGCCTTAAATGGCTCAGGACTGCAATGCCTCAATAAGAACCTACCTGGACTCTTTGTCATCTGAGGCCCTTTTTCATGTGCCTCCTCCCGTGAGGTCCAGAGGGCAGCCACATGAGAACAGGCCTTTCCTGTGATGGCCCCTTGCTTGTGGAATGTTCTCACCTGGTGCCTTCATTGCATATCCAAAGGTACCGGACAAAACATTCCTCTTCTCCCGTGCAGTCTATGGCCTTTAAAACTGTACATGGGGAAGGGGGGGTATCGTTTTGTTTGTTACTGTGGTATGTTTGTGTTTTTATATTGTAAACTGCCCTGTGATCCTTGGATGAAGGGAGGTACAGAAATGCAGTAATACATACATACAACTCCCATCATCCCCAACCAGCTTAGCACAATGGTCAAATATTAGAAATGGGGGAGAAATTAGATGCAGTCTTCATTTAAAGATGAACCTACCAGATTTGTACTTTGTGAACAATGTGTGGACAGAAACACAGGGATCCTTCAAAATGCGCACCTCTCCAAATTTTGCAATGCAGTATTCCAGCCATGGAAAATGCATAAACTAGGGTAAAGTATACATAGAAGCGCATATATTAATGAAAATAGTATAAAAAAGGTAAAGGTACCCCTGCCCGTACGGGCCAGTCTTGACAGACTCTAGGGTTGTGCGCCCATCTCACTCAAGAGGCCGGGGGCCAGCGCTGTCCGGAGACACTTCCGGGTCACGTGGCCAGCGTGACATCGCTGCTCTGGCGAGCCAGAGCCGCACACGGAAACGCCGTTTACCTTCCCGCTAGTAAGCGGTCCCTATTTATCTACTTGCACTTGGAGGTGCTTTCGAACTGCTAGGTTGGCAGGCGCTGGGACCGAGCAACGGGAGCGCACCCCGCCGCGGGGATTCGAACCGCCAACCTTTCGATCGGCAAGCCCTAGGCGCTGAGGCTTTTACCCACAGCGCCACCCGCGTCCCATGCATTATATAGGGGAAATTGCATGCATTATATAACATGCATTATATAGGGGGAAATTGCTTTGTAAATATGTAAAGAACTGGAATGAGGAAACTCAAGCTCAGGGGCCAAATGTCCTCTCTGTCTGGCCCTAGGGACACTCCCCCCCCCCACACACATTAGGCTACTCACCTCCCCAGGCTACCCCACTCAGTGGCCTAGCTGCATACCCACCTTGAGTGTTTTTTCCTGACTGGAATGTGCCTTTGAATTCTGGTAATGCCTCTTGCTTACCTGGAGGGAGGATTGTGGGGTGAGTATTTGTAAAGCTAGGATACACCACAGGTGAAATCTGCATATGGCTCCTGGAAGGCTGCTCAGAAAGGAGGGTGTATCTTGCTCTGGAAAAGTATCTTGCTCTGGAAAAGTTTCTCGCCCCCTGCTATAGAGAACCATTTCACTTTGTGCCAGAAACATTGTTCTTCATCTAATGAGATTTCCTCCTTTTCGGCTTGCAGAATGACCGTCATGGGGAAGTACCTGGTGACCTGCTGGGTAGCAGTTCTCTTGATCCTGCTGCAGAGCGATGTCTCCGTTTCCAAAAAAAGGCCCAAACCCAGCGGTGGTGGCTGGAACACAGGAAGCCAACGCCAGCCTGGATACCCGCAGAACCCTGGCTATCCGCAGAACCCTGCCTACCCGCCACCACGCAACCCTGGCTATCCTCAAAACCCTGGTTACCCCCAACACAACCCTGGCTACCCGCCGCGCAACCCTGGCTACCCGCAGCAGAACCCTGGCTACCCTCAACGCAATCCTGGCTACCCACAGAACCCGGGCTACGGTGGGGGCTACGGAGGCAAACCGTGGAAGCCTAAGCCGGCCAAGCCCCCCAAGATGAAGCACGTGGCCGGAGCAGCTGTCGCAGGGGTGGCGGCAGGAGCCCTCGGCGGCTACCTCTTAGGCAGTGCCATGTCCAACATGAACTTTGGTTTCCGCAACCCCAGCGAGGAGCAGTGGTGGCATCAAAACCGCGACCGCTACTCTGACAGAGTCTACTACCCAGAGTACAAGGAGCGTGTTTCGAGGGATGTCTTTATGAGAGACTGTGTGAACGTCACACTGACGGAGTATATCACCCCTCAAGGGAACCAAAGTGCAGATGAGATGGAAGTGAAAGTCGTGACACATGTGGTGCGCGAGATGTGCACGGAGCAGTACCGCTTGATATCCGCGGCAGCTCTGCTTCTCGCCAGCCCTTCCGTGCTTTTCTTCCTCATGCTGGCCACGTGTTTCCTTATCCCCTGAGGTCCCCCTCAGGCCTGCACCTCGCTGTTCATTGAGCAAACGTCCAGAAGGAATGAGATCTATACAGAGCTACGGCTTGGGGGGAGATGACATTCTCGCTTATGCACCTCTTTGGTGGACTGTCTTTCAAAGCTGTTACATCTGCTACGTATTAATGAACACCCAGGCTTCTGCCAAGCACCTGTTCCTTTTGCAGCCATCTTTTATTTCTGTCGTTTGTGGTACGAAATAGTTTGGGGGGTGGGGTAGGGAGAGCATAAGGTCTTATTTTGTAATGAAGGGAGGGCAGGAAGAACCCGTCATAGATCAAACCCCTCCCTCCTTCAGTCGAGCCTAATGTAACGCGAACTGTAAATAGAAACACAGCGCATTAAGAGTTGATGTGGCTGGGTTTCTGCCGGAGAGCCCACAATTGAGAAGGGCACCTACTTTTCTTCTCTTCAGTGCTGAAACTTGCTTGTTCACCCGCCTCTAGACAGCGGTCAGACAGCGGTGGAGGTGAGGAAGAGAAGTCAGTGCCACAGCCTACTTGCTTGTTGGCTCTCTGGCAAACAAGGAGACGGGAGCTCTAATGGGGAAGAGGAGAAGTCGGTGATAATGGCAGTGAGGTGGAGGCCTGAGGCCTGTGGAGGATATCTTTGCCCACAGGCTCTGTAAAATCTTCAGCTGCCACAGTCCTATGCTTGCCTACCCTCATTACACCGGCTCTTCACAGAAACCAAATTGACACGTTCTGTAATGCAGCGATCCAGGGGTCCCCAAATCATTGTCCGCAGACCACCAGTGATCTGCAAGCTTCACTCATGTGGTCTACGGTGTGTCGGTGGAACTATTGTCTTATTGGTCTTTAATTGTGTTTCTGCTGCTGCTTTAATTTTTTTATATATTGCATTTTTATTCTTAGCGTGGGATTCAAATTGTAATGCAATATATAAGAAATAAAAGAAGCAGTAGAAAGACAGTAAAAAATATTACAGCATCTACCACTGCACATTACAATTGCAATAGCTGGCAGAAAAATCATTTAAGTGGCCTGCGAAGAACTTCAGCAGTTTTCAAGTGGCCCTTTGTGGGTGAAGGAGGGCATTTGGGAACCCCTGCAGTAAACTGTTCTTGCCTTTAAGAGAAGGAAATATTTCCAGCTGTTATTTGAAACTACATTATATGACGAGAGGCAGGAAGCTGAAGTGAATCAGGTTTTAAGTTCTCCACTGTACATTGTTTAAAAATAAAAAATCCCACCCCACCATGCAGTAAGATTCTCATTCTAGACCCACATACATACTGAGATATTTATCTCAGTATATTGTAGATCTATGGAAATCCCACTGTAAAAAACACAAAAAACACTTTTATATATTATAAACTGCCTTGAGAGTGCGGTTGGGGTTAAAAAACACACCACCAGGGTGTTAAATATATGAATACAAGCAAAAGAGGAAAGGCCATGCGCATCCCTTCCTACATTATGCAAGGTGAGAAGACTCTGGTGTGTCTTATTGGACACAATTCCAGGAACCGAGTCGTGTTAACCTCACAACAAAGAAGATGGATAGTGCCTAGAATTTCACGAAGCAAGAAGACACATCCGCAAAGAATTACCCTGCGTTCCTGATTTAGTGCTGTCCATGTGGAAAGTTGTAGGGCCTTGGGGCTCTTTTGCACATTATCTGGGGTTTGTGACCATTAGGCAGACCAGAGCAGCCCATACGGGATCCATGCGAATCATTAAGCGAGCATGCCCTTCATTATCCATTGTACCATGAACATACTGTAGGTACTTGTCTGTGCAGTAATAAACCTGTTTGCCTATGAACCACAGTTATTGCCTACACAGGCGCATTACTGCTGATGACACCAAAATCTCTTGCTTTCCTTTTTTTAATGAAAGACGAACCTCAGTGAAGTATCGTTTTCATGGAGAAATAATGGCTTATTACTGGAACTGATAAATCTGGGGCGGGTCTTCTGAAATGATGTTGGCTGTCCCAATAGCACTTAGATTTTCTAGGCTGCAAAGAAAAGCATTTGGTTTTGCAGCATGGGAATATAAGTACACCATTCATCAGGAATTTTTAACCCTCTGTGATGCACAGACATTACCTTTCTGGTGACTATTAGCAATTGCATATTTTCTTACAAGAGTAGAAGTTCCTGATTATTGTCTGAACTAACCTTAACAATTAAGCTGCTGCTGTTGTTGAGCATCTTCACTCGTTTGATCTCTTGAGTCCTCAAAATTACTGGGTGTTAATTGTATTGACCCTGCTGAATTTTGGAACTAACTTTAAGGGTCAACTGCAGATACCAGAGTCATTCCAAAGTTTCATCTGTGAGGAAACCTGTTGGGTGAACTGGTGGCAAATGTGACTTGAAGGCAGTCTTATAAAATTCAGAGAGGGTTCTCAGTCCGTTGGGAGACTCAAGCTGTGTGCCAATAACTCACAAAATATTCAGACATGAAAGCCATGTTGTCAAAGCCAATGGTGCTCTCCATAAAGTGGTTAAGCATCCCTCTATCTTAAACTGGATTCCAGCCTGTAGACTAATGCAAGTCCCTAGAATTTGAGAGACTTGCTTCCAAGTAAGTGTGTGCAGAATTGCAGTCCTATGAGTTACTGTGAAGAGCCAATTCTTGGCAGTTGGGGAGGGACACCACACACATCCTGTTTCTGCCACACCCTCCCCTTGCTCACTTCGGGCTTCTGCAAGGCCCTTTCTCCTTCCAGAGATGCTGTGTTAGTGTGCCAGAAACAAGGGTGCAATGCCACACCACCAGTTGCGATACTCTTCTGGTTAAGAGAGCTCATGTGCTTCATTTTCTAGGTTTCAATTTATGCAGCAGGCACTGGGGTTGGACTGATGGGAGCACACGGAATAGTCACTAGGATTTATGCATTCCAGTAATGTAGCTGGCTTCGAAAATGCCACATTTAACCTTAAGGCAGACATTATAATTGAGGACTACATTTTGGGTGGTACTAATTCTGTCTGTCCTACCGCTTTTGGCCTGCAGCGTTGGTAACGGCTACATTTTTGCTAACCTGTATTTCAGTCGACTTGCTGACAACTCCATGTTTGTTCAAGGGTATAGATATATTTTTTAAGTGTAGTCAAAATGTAAAGAGTACACAATTATCCTTCTGAGTATATCTTAATATATTCTGTGCATTTTGCTAGAAGATGATTATTGTACAGACACACTTTTAAATATTGGTGACTTGGTCCAAGTAGAAAGCACACAATAGTAGTAAAAATACAGGGAGTATTGGAGAGACAAGCACATTCGTACTTTGCAATTTTGTGTGTGCTTTTTTAAAGTAAGTGTTTGATATCTAGTAGAAATAAAGGCCAAAGGCCCCAGCTTTTGTCTATGAGCTTCTTTTTTGATGATGTAACTTTGTGCATGTATGTGTACACACAGACAGACAAGACACTTCAACATGACGCCCTCAAGACTATAATTCTCATCTACCATGGCCAGTGGTCAGGGAGTGGCAGATGTAGTTCAGCAACAACTGGAACACCACAGGCTCCCCACCCCAGGATTAACATGTTGTACTAGGACCAGGGAATCCAAACTTCAACTCCGCTCCTCAGTCATACCGTGATAGAAAACTGGCTGAGTTTACCTTGCAGTGTTGGGAGAATAAAATCTCATCCCATCTGCACTATACATGTAAAGCTGTATCATACCAGTGTCGTGGGTTCCCCCCAAAGAACTGTAGGAAGCATAGTTTGTTAAGGGTACTGGAAGTTGTTAGGAAAGCCCAGTGGTCACATAGCTGCATTTTTCAGAGTGGTTTAACAATAATTCCTCCTTCCCCCACCCCAAAAAAACCTCGGAATTGTAATTCTGGGAGGGGAATTGGAGCTTCCTAATAATTCTCAGCAACCTTGAACCACAGTTCCTGAGATTCTTTGGGGGCGGGAAGCAGGAGCCATGACTTTTTAAAGTTGTATAATACTGTTTTCAATGTGCAGTGCAAATGGGGCCTAATTGTGGGGAGTTAAAACTCAGAGAAAAGACTGGATATAAATAAATAGTGCATTTGCAAGCTGACATGGATCAATTCACTCAATCGGTGCTGTCAGTCACAGGAGTGGAGGAGAAATGTGATTCAGTTCACATTTAAAAGTGAGCCTATCTAGTTTGCCTACTTTCCAAACCAGTATGCAAACAGAAATGCATCCTTCAAAATGTGCACTTCTGCCAAGTAATGTGTACAGAAATGCTTAATACTGGGTTAAAATGTGCACTACTGAAAATAACCTACAAAAAATGCATTTTATTTGGCAAATTGTTTTGCAAAAACGTTTAGGAGAAATTCATGCTAAAATGGTGAAATTCCATGAAATAAAATGGAATAAAAATGAAATGGAATAAAAAAATAATAATTCTGCAAACTTGTGGAAACGTGGAGAACTGAACCTAAGATTGGAAGAAATGAGAAACAGAGAAACCAAAATTGTCACATTTGTCCCTTTCTAATCAGGACAGAACTTTGGAACAAAAGTCCAGGGCCCTGCTCTAAGGAGTAAGCGGGAGAGTCCTCAAATTTTTAATGGACAGAAATATTCTTGCAGGCAGAGGGGTGGGAGTGGAAGCACACTTTTGGACCTGGGGCAAACCTTGTCAGGCATTGCCATCAGGTTTGAGAATTAAACCAGCCAGAGATTACCAGTCAAAGCACAGGGGGCCAGAATGAATGCAGTGCTAGCCCATTAGGATGGCTTCACGCATCCCACACAGTGTGGTTGTCATTATATCTGACATTCCTTCGGGCCCAAGTGCACCATCAGCCACACCTATTAACATCCTTTATTATTTAACAAGATGAAGGGGGGAGTTGGGAGCTGTCTGCCTATGTGAGTGACAGACCAGTTCACAATATTTCTCTGGTGAAAATGTTTAGTCGTGTCCGACTCTTCGTGACCCCATGGACCAGAGCACGCCAGGCACTCCTGTCTTCCACTGCCTCCCGCAGTTTGGGCAAACTCACTTTGGTAGCTTCGACAACACTGTCCAACCATCTCGTCCTGATGAAAATAAAGGTAAAGGTAAAGGTACCCCTGCCCATACGGGCCAGTCTTGACAGACTCTAGGGTTGTGCGCCCATCTCACTCTATAGGCCGGGGGCCAGCGCTGTCCGCAGACACTTCCGGGTCACGTGGCCAGCGTGACAAGCTGCATCTGGCGAGCCAGCGCAGCACACGGAACGCCGTTTACCTTCCCGCTGGTAAGCGGTCCCTATTTATCTACTTGCACCCGGGGGTGCTTTCGAACTGCTAGGTTGGCAGGCGCTGGGACCGAGCAACGGGAGCGCACCCCGCCGCGGGGATTCGAACCGCCAACCTTTCGATCGGCAAGTCCTAGGCGCTGAGGCTTTAACCCACAGCGCCACCCGCGTCCCAATAGGGACATCCTATTCCATAATAATAATAATAATAATAATAATAATAATAATAATAATAATAATGAATTTGTTGTTTATACTCCATCCATCTGACTGGCTTGCCCCAGTCACTCTGGGTGGCTTCCAACAAATATAAAAACTTAGTAAAATATTAAACTTTTAAAAAAAAAAAAACTTCCCTATATGAAAGCTGTCTTCTTTAGCTGTCTTCTAAAGGTTGTACAGTTACTTATCTCCTTGGCTCAGGGGTCACTTAGCTCCATACCTGCCAACATTTCTCTGATGAAATTGGGGGCATCCTAAGGAAAAGTGGGACATTCCTGGATCAAATCAGAAACTTGGTCGGCTTCTGTAAATCTGGGGCTGTCCCTGGGAAAGAGGGACGCTTTGGAGGGTTTGAAAGAGTACATGTGACACAAGTCCAAGCAAAAACGCTGTTTACACTGAGGGGGTTTTAGACCTCAGAAGCACGGAGCTGGTCATTGTAGCTGGCCAAACTTTCTGGCTAGTGTGCAGGACAGGAAAGTAAGACCATCATACATGCTTTTTGTGTTAAACAGGCCACAGCTTTATTTGAGGCTTTCGCAGGAGCATCATGGTTCAAGGTGTACAGGTTAGCAAGTCAGGAGCAATACAGTGGTACCTTGGGTTACATACGCTTCAGGTTACAGACTCCACTAACCCAGAAATAGTACCTCGGGTTAAGAACTTTGCTTCAGGATGAGAACAGAAATCGCGTGGCAGCAGCGGGAGGCCCCATTAGCTAAAGTGGTACCTCAGGTTAAGAACAGTTTCAGGTTAAGAACGGAGCTCCGGAACGAATTAAGTACATAACCAGAGGTTCCACTGTAACTGATTATTCATCCAACATATTTTCCCCCTGTTCCCCAGATGCCATTAGCAACAACTTGTAAGACAATGCATATGTAGCAGGTTTGGGTTTTTTTAAGAATTTGCACTGATCTAAGAGGATAGCTGCATATGACCTTCACATCAGAAATGGAGAAGTGCAAACTCTAAGTGGGTTTCCCAAGAGCTGAAGTGGAGCCATCCTGCACACTAGAACTGCTCAGAAAATGACCCACACTCAGGATCAGCATGCGGATTCTAGTGCTTCGGTTTCCACATTCGAACCCAGCTTCGCTTCTCTTCCCATCTCTCCTTGTCTCTAGGCCCATGGTGTGTCAAGGCACAGAACAGCTTGGCAGAGAGCAAGCAGCAGCAGCTGCATCAAACTCACAGCGCATTCATTAAGCTTAAGGAGATGACGGGAGGCGAAGTGAGGAAGGCCAAATAGGATTACACCACATCCATGAGCCAAACATCCGCTGGGGGCCAGAGGTCGGGAATCCTTCCCATTCCCGTGAATCAGAAGTGACCTCCCAAAGCATGCCAGGCCGTGTTGAAGGGTAGGAATGAGTACAGGAGGACCTGCCTCCCCACCCATCCAGTAGGGTTACCATAAGCCTGGAATACTGCAGTTGGCAGCAGTGTCCGGGCAGAAACCGGAAAATGTCTGGGAAAATCCGGGCGTATGGCAGCCCATGTCAGCAGGGCCGTTTTTGCCCTTTCTTCATAAAAATAGCTCAAAAAAGTCTTGGGGTGGTTTTTTTTGCGATTTTGCTCAAAAAGCTCAACAACTTTCACTGTTTGAAAAATGGCAACTCTAGACTGGACAATAAGTTATTGGTTTGAATTCTCCTTCCCCCCCAATTGGCCTTTATTGTCGTCTCCTACAAAATCTCTCTCTGCTCACCCAACAAGGTCACCAGGCTCCCAATTTCCTGCACACACAAGCCCTGCATTCACACATATCATACAAACCCGCTTCCAGTAATCGCATTGCCCTGCATATTAAAATTTTGAGGAGGAAGGTTCTGTCGTTAGAATGTGCTTCTGGAAGCAGCACCGATGTGCAAGGGGAAGGCAGGGGCAATAGATATACAAAATCTGGTACAAAATTGGGGCTGCAGCCAGAGCTAATCCATCTGCTCACTGCGCACACCGGCAGCTGGTTTTAACCTGTTTATTAGAAAAGAGGAGAGCCAATCATGATTTGGTCATCAGTCTTTTAGAACATGTCAATGCCACAGTCTTGCAGAACGGATTGGCAAAAACATACTAAAAAGAAGCACTGCTGGGAATATTAAGAATTGTATGTTGATGCTACACGACCACCTCCAGCCGTTGTTCCTTCTGTGGTGCTATTTATGTGGCTTATGACACTGAAGCCACAGAAAACAGACACAGTGCTTCCAGATGGGCTGTTTATTGGCATAAAATCTGACAGCCATTCCGCACCTTTTTGTGCAATTATCCTGTTATTTTTTTTCTAACTGCAAAAAGTCCAATATGAAAAGAGATGGAAAATTGTGCGGGAAAGTGCAGGATAATAACTACTAACTGGCAATGCAATGAAACCTCTACCCAAGATTATCAGGATGAATGCTCAATAAACAGATGGTGTATCAGATCCATGCAAGTTTGGTGCGAACATTATCAACATGAGTGCTCAATAAGCAGCCAGTCTGGAATCGCCCACAATCCCACTGGGCAAAGTTCCTTCTATCTTCACTTTACAATAAAGAAAGCGGTCCTTATCACAAGTGGCTTTAAAAAAACCAACTCTACTAGTATCTTAAAATTAAAGAGTAAAGTAGCTGGCATTTTTTAACGCAGGAAAGACCTCCTCAGGCTGTTTTGCTGGGGCTAGATAGGCCTGGAAATCCCCTCTCTGGAGGAATTTAGATCAGGCACCACAACTAAGTGCTGAAGTGATATGATGTAAGAAAGATTTTCACAGGGATTGACTTTCCCAACACATGATGACCGGCTTTGCTTCTAAAAGACAGAAAGTGTTGTATGATTGTAAAATCCAGAGCAGCATGAACATGAAAAGGTAACAACTGTGGGTTCTGGGCAACTGGTTTATTTCTGTGTAGGCAAAAGACAATGAAAAACTCAGGCATGTCCACCTACAGATTTTAAGGCTTTCATGCAGGCTGTTCCAGCATATCCAAGGCACTTTCACACAGAAATTTATTGTGGAGGTGGTACTACTAATGCATGCACTATTTTTTTTATGACATTCGCATAACGGTCTCAAAATGCATCATTTCCCCCCCCCCCATTTAATCTGTCTGGAGGGAAAGGATTACTTAACAGACTTTCCATAGAAACATTAATTTTGGATTAAATTGGAAGATAATGTAGGGCAGCATTTTGATGAGGGTGAAGTCACGTGGATGCTGCGCAAAACTTGCATGCATGCTTCCACAATAAGCTGCCATGAAGAAGGACTCCCTCCTCCATTGACAGGAGCTCCGTGGCAAGTATAAAGAACCCACAGCCACGCATCCCATTCCTCACTAGGCAGGCACATTTGCAAAGGCACTAAAATGAGAGTGCAACATATTTTCTGAGGGATAGACATCTCCCTGGTCCCTCCCCATCCTTGACATTCTAATCAGATTTTGCCTTCTTCCTGTCCGGCTAAAGGTACTTCGAGACAGAGACTTCCCTGCAAACAGGTCACTGGCAACAGGTGAGAGGGAGAGAGAGAAAGAGAGAATATTTTGCACAGAAACAGAATAACCTGATGAACTGGACCGGCTTTGGGATGCTGGCAACTTTCGGACACAACAAAACGTGTATGCACCTGACCCACAAAAAGCACCCACATGGAAACACCCTCACATGAACCTACGCCTAGTATTTTGTTGAGCTAGGAGCATCCCACAGACTTCACATTGTGATATGTGGGAAGGAATGTCCTCTTGTATGTTCTGTGTTCTGCTCCCTGCCCACCCCACCAGAATCTCAAGACATTTTAAAATGTTAAAAGTGTTCACTGCATTTAGGACTGTGTCCAGTGTTCCCTGTCTGCTAACTCAAGTGGGTGGGTGAGTTTTAATGTTTATTTACTTATTTATATCATAAAATTTCTATACCTCTTGGTTGTAAATGATAATAATAATAATAATAATAATAATAATAATAATAATAATAATACCTTGAAGTGGTTTATGTTGCACTAGAGAGGAACCCAACCAAAAGTTTGTGAGGTTGTGCTAGCGGAACCTCAGTGTGCAATCTGTTGTGTGAAAAATTAACTAAGACCCTTTCTTCTGCAGCCATGGCGCACGGATACAAAACATTTCACCTGTGGAACAAGTACCACTAGGTGACTTTAACTGAGTCCTACATTGGATACAACCCACAGGAGTGTCTCATGTGGAATTTTCACACCTCCAGTGAGGTACTCCCAATGTGGAGCCAATCTGGCACCTTGTTTACAGAGGTGAATGTGAAAAATTTCACTTTGGACTTCAGTGTGGCGCACATGGCACACAAAGGGATGGAGGAGAAATTTGATTCAGTTTACATTTAAAGGCAAACCTACCTAATTCTCACTTTCTCAAACAATGCACAAACCAGAATACATTCAGCCTTTAAAATTCACACTAAATAACCACATATACTAGGGTAAAGTGTGCATATAAATGCATATATTATTGAAAATAGCATGCAAAAATGTATTACGTTAGGGGAAATTGCTTTGCAAAAAAATGTGTATATGAGACAAAATTGCATACAAAATGTGTATATGCAGATAAAATTGCACTAAAAGGCTAATAAATTTTCATGAGGTTGGTGAGGTATAAATATTATTATTATTATTATTATTATTAAAATCACAAACGGAGGTGGAATGTGAAGAACTGAGCGTAGAACTGGAAAAATTAGAAGACAGATTCTGCCATCCCTATTCGTAAGCTGCTTGTGCTCCCACCCCATTTCATAGCATTGAAAGTCATTCTCGGTGAAGCTACATAAGAACTGGAAATCCTTTCTTTCTCTTGAAGCTAGACTTTTGTATAATGGCTTACTGCACCGTAAAGCTTTCTATTCAAGCTAAGCAGCTTCCCATGAGGGGCCAGTGTACTGGGAGGAGTCTGCCACAGGATATGTTAAAGCTATGCAGGTTTCACTGAAGAGACTATGTAACAGGAGAAGTCTGGCAAAAGGTGTGTTTTTCTCCGTGTTTCCATTAACTTGTTCGTGTTTACACACTGAATATGCTCGACTAGCTATGAAAAAGAACACGGCTTGATTCGTGTGAGCTGGGGTGGGGAGGTTCCCTTCATTGCAAGGTTAGCCTTGGCTTCTTTCCCTGGGAACTATTTTGGGACAGTGGCAGTGCCAAAGGTGGCTCTGAAGGAGTAAGAATTAGCACACGTAACAGCTATTAAAGACAGCCCACCAAACAGATGCAGAAGCGACAACGCACTCTCCACAAAACATTTCCTTTATATAAACACATCTCTTTCCTTCTGGACATTTCCTGTCTCAGCGACAAAATGGCAGCTTAAGGAGGCTGCCCAACCTCAAGGTATCAGGAAAGAAGTGACCATAATCAAAAGCACAGAAGACTTGGCAAAAGTGTTGTCACACATGCGAGACGTGGCACTGCCAGGGGCACTGCCAGGGGCGATGTTAGCTGCTTCTGGAACATGCTTCAGCCAGAGTTTGGTTGGCATCGGCACTTCTGGCTTCTGATCATATCTGCTTCTTTCCATGTGATGGATGAAATCACTGAACAGCTCCCTGCACATCTCCCGCGCCACTTGCGTCACCACCCTGGCTTCCACCTCATCTGCCGTTTGGTTTCCGGTGGGCTTTATGTAATAGTTTGTGGTGGCATTCTCACAATTGCTCGCAAAGACATCCTTCGTAACAGGGTGGCTGTAGTTTGGGTAGAAAACGGGACTGGTAAAACGATCGTGGTTTTCGCTCCACCATCGCTCCTCATCGCTGTCATTGAAATGCAGGTGCATGTTAGACATGGAGCTGCCCAATCGGTCTTTCGCCACAACGCCTGTTATCGCTTCTTCCGCCACAGGCTTCACTTCCGGCTTGGCCGGCATAGGCCCCTCTGGCCTACTCCCGGGACGTCTGAAGTCGCCTCCTGCATGGCTAGAGTAGGTGCGATACTGCTCTATGCACATTTCGCGCACCACGTGCGTCACAACCCTGGTTTCCATCTCATCTGCCGTTTGGTTTCCGCTGGGCTCCGTATACTCGCTCACAGTGATATTTGTGCAATCTCTCACAAAGATATCCTGCGGGACAGGCTGGTTGTACTGTGGGTAGTAAACCTGGTCGGAGTAACGGTTGCGGTTTTCATACCACCACCGCTCGTCATCACGGTTGTTAAAGTGAAAATTGACATTGGACATGGCACGGCCTAAGAGGTAGCCCCCCACGGCTCCTGCTGCAGCTCCCGCCAGAGCTGATCCTGCCATATGTTTCATACTGGGCTTGGGTGGCTTAGGCTTCCATGGCTTACTGTCATATTTGCCCCAGCTGCCTCCTTCTCCATACCTAGGGTAACCAGGGTTTTGTGGAAAGCCAGGATTTTGTTGTGGATAGCCAGGGTTGTGTGGGTTGCCAGGATTGTGGGGAGGGTAACCTGGGTTTTGTGGTGGATAACCAGGATTGTGTGGGTTGCCAGGATTGTGGGGAGGGTAACCTGGGTTTTGTGGTGGATAACCAGGATTGTGTGGGTTTTGTGGTGGATAGACAGGGTTACCAGGGTTTTGTGGTGGATAACCAGGATTGTGTGGGTTGCCAGGATTGTGGGGAGGGTAACCTGGGTTTTGTGGTGGATAGACAGGATTACCAGGGTTTTGTGGTGGATAGACAGGATTACCAGGGTTTTGTGGTGGATAGGCAGGGTTACCAGGGTTTTGTGGTGGATAGGCAGGGTTACCAGGGTTTTGTGGTGGATAGGCAGGGTTTTGTGGAGGAGGGTTGCCAGGATTGCGTGGGGGGTTACCAGGGTTTTGTGGAGGGTAACCTGGGTTTTGTGGTGGATGGACAGGGTTACCAGGGTTTTGTGGAGGGTAAGCAGGGTTTTGTGGTGGATGGACAGGGTTACCAGGGTTTTGTGGTGGGTATGCAGGATTTTGTGGAGGAGGGTTGCCAGGATTGCGTGGGGGAACAGCAGGGTTTTGTGGTGGGTATGCAGGGTTAAATGGAGGAGGGTTGCCAGGATTGCTTGGGGGCTTACCAGGATTTACTGGGGGGTGTTGTGGGGCAGCAGGATTGTGTACAGGTTGGTTGTGTACAGGTTTGCTAGGCTGATGTTGTATAGGTCTGCCAGGTCGATGTACAGGTTTGCTAGGTCGATGTTCCACAGGTTTGCTAGGTCGATGTTCCACAGGTTTGCTAGGTCGATGATGTTCCACAGGCTTGCTAGGTCGATGTGAAGGCTTGCTAGGCTTTCTACTACTTCTACTGGACGAGCTTTTTCCCGAAACAGAGACAATGACATCAGTCTGCAGAAGAATAAAGAGAATTGCTATCGCGCAGGCCACCAAGTACTTCCCCATAATGGCTATTCTGTAAAACAAAGGAAAAGAATCAAGTTGTTTTTTTAAGGAAAAAAAAGAGAGACAGGGAGGATATAATACAAAATGCAGAATATATAATTGCAAGTAGATGGTGGTGGTATTTCCAAAATGATTCTCTCTCACATTATATGTTGAGCAGGCTTTGGATGTGCCAGTAATGTGAATCTGACAACTGTCCAACAAGAGGAGAGACTGTAACCCTATGGAAGATCACACGCTTTGTATGTAGAAGGACCATGGGTCAATCTCTGGAAAGGACCCTGTTTGAGTGCAGACAATCCTGAGCTTGAGGTACCAATACTCTGATGGGGTATTAGGCAACTTTCTGTGTTCCCAAGTTGATGTCTGCACCAGCTGACAAAACTCTATAAAACTTGCAAGGCAGGTTTTTTTGGGGGGGCGAGGAATATAAAACAGCCCAGGTGTTTAAGTACTTGACTTACAGGTCACAATTACATCAGGCAGAAGTGAGAAGGTAGCTCCACTTCAACTATATATAAGCAGCAAACTTCTCACTTTCATGCCAGTTAAAAGGTAAAGGTAAAGGGACCCCTGACCATTAGGTCCAGTCGTGACCGACTCTGGGGTTGCGGTGTTCATCTCGCTTTATTGGCCGAGGGAGCCGGCATACAGCTTCCGGGTCATGTGGCCAGCATGACTAAGCCGCTTCTGGCAAAGCAGAGCAGCGCACGGAAACGCCGTTTACCTTCCCGCCAGAGCAGTACCAATTTATCTACTTGCACTTTGACTTGCTTTCGAACTGCTAGGTTGGCAGGAGCAGGGACCGAGCAACGGGAGCTCACCCTGTCGCGGGGATTTGAACTGCCAACCTTCTGATTGGCAAGTCCTAGGCTCAGTGGTTTAACCCACAGCGCCACCCATGTCCCTTTCGTGCCAGTTAGGAGCTCTTAAAAATTGTGCCACTTTCTTTGATGAATAATTCTGAGTCACTTGAAAACTTGCACATTCCAGCATCAATAGCCCAGTGAAAACCACCAACTTGCCAATCTGGTGTTTTCCAACACTACTGCATTTACCAAAATATATACCATAGTAAATCCTCTCCCCAAAGTCATCCAGCTCAATCTATCTCCCAGTTATATAAATTCCTGTTGAAGCTGTAGCAGAATTTTATTTTAGAAAAACATCACATTATAACTGTGATAGTCAGTACATCGATCCCAAAGTTTCGCAACATTTGAGTGCATACACATATGAACCACTATGGATTATAGTGCAAATGATTAAATGTGTTGGCAAAAGGCAGTTCTGGCGAAACCCAAAGTTTTGCAACATTTGAGTGCATACACATATGAACCACTATGGATTATAGTGCAAATGATTAAATGTGTTGGCAAAAGGCAGCTCTGGCGATCAAATGGATCAAGTATCTCAAACTCACTACCCTCCGTCTCTCGTTGTTAGAAGCACGCTGTGAAACGAGGTCCTTTTACAGAATTGCAAATGCATCCACAGACAGGGGAACCAAAATATAATTTTAAAAAATACGTTGAACCCATTGGAAAAGCAAGGCTTGGTAAATAAAGTATAACAGAGATACCTTAAAGGTAAAGGTAAAGGTACCCCTGCCCGTACGGGCCAGTCTTGACAGACTCTAGGGTTGTGCGCCCATCTCACTCTAGAGGCCAGGAGCCAGCGCTGTCCGCAGACACTTCCGGGTCACATGGCCAGCGTGACAAGCTGCATCTGGTGAGCCAGCGCAGCACACGGAACGCCGTTTACCTTCCCGCTGGTAAGCGGTCCCTATTTATCTACTTGCACCTGAGGGTGCTTTCGAATTGCTAGGTTGGCAGGCGCTGGGACCGAACGACGGGAGCGCACCCCGCCGTGGGGATTCGAACCGCCGACCATGCGATCGGCAAGTCCTAGGCGCTGAGGTTTTACCCACAGCGCCACCTGCGTCCCATGCAAAGTGCATTTCCCTTACCCCTGAGCAATCACAATATGCCCACCCGTATTTGTATTGGAAAGACGCGTGCTCGCCTTAGAAATTAAGCACTGGAGAATCCTCTCAAGGGGAAAAAATACAGTTCAAGACTCTAATGCTCAGAAAGACCAAAGCCCCCTGCTTTGATGCAGTGTGTTTTTAGCGTGCAAAGAAAGCTCCCTTCCTCTTCTCCTTCCAACCTTTTAAATGGTGCCAAAGGCTTTGGGGCCGGTGCCAATGAGCTGCTGCAGTTTGCCCTTTCCCACAGATTCGCCATAATCAGCTTACACTTTTCCGGCATGTAAAGTGGGATTTTCCAAGTCCTAGCGTGCTTTACAGAGAACTCGCACCACCTCACCTCACCAAGCCTATGGGGAAAGTGCTGTTGCAATCAGGCCCTGCTGTGCGCTTCCCATGGGCATCTGGCCCCTGTGTGGACAGGGTGCTGGTTTGCATGTGCCTTTGGTCTGATCCTGCAGCCAAGCTCTTCTGATGTTCTGATTCTCTCAACTGCAAGTTGCAATGAGATGCACGCAATCACTGTTGGCCACAGCAGGTTCACAGCTTTGCTTCACATCTACAGTGGTACCTTGGTTCTCAAACGCCTTGGTACTCAAACAGCTTGGAACCCAAACACTGAAAACCTGGAAGTGTTCCGGTTTGTGAATTTTTCTCGGAAGCCAAACATGCTCCAATTTGAGTGCCACACTTCCGTTTTGAGTGTTACACTGAGGTCTGTCTGTTTTTGCTATTTTGCTATTTTGCGTTTTTGTGGCTTTTTGTTTTGTTTTTGGGACTGTGTGGAACCCAGTTCAGCTACTGATTGATTGATTGATTGATTGATTGATTGACTGCTGTACATCGTTTATTGCTTTCATTTTATGGATCAATGGTCTTGTTAAATAGTAAAATTCATGTTAAATTGCTGTTTTAGGGGTTGTTTTTAAAAGTCTAGAACGGATTAATCCATTTTGCATTACTTCTATGGGAAAGCACACCTTTATTTTGGAACGCTTTGGTTTTGGAATGGACTTCCGGAATAGATTAAGTTTGAGAAGCAAGGTACCACTGCATTATTATTTAGCATGATTTGGAGGGATCCTTTATTGCTTTGTTCAGAGCCCACAAGCTGATTCAGAATCAGCACATTTGCCAGGGGCCTGTATCCCGCAAGAGCCCAGGAAGTTCTGTCTCCATTGAAGGCATTGGTCCAAAGAAAAAGCCTAGCACATCAGCTTGAATTTCCATGAGAGCGAGTTGGAAGCCAATTCAACTCAACAGCCTCCCACACACTTTGTCTTGGGTTTGACTAGCTCAAGCTAGTTAGAAGGCTAGAATTTATGTTCTGGGTTAATCATCGTTTGCCATATGGAGCCATAACAGGAATGTCAAGGGCAAAGTAGAAGATAAAGTTGCCCTCCTTCTATGGGCAAGGAAGATAAGACAGTGCTGTGGGGTTTTATTCTAGACAGCAGGGCGTCCCTGTATCATCTTGGTATTCCAACTTCCACTCAGAGTAGCTGTCAGGAAGAGCTTGTTTTGATTGCATAATGTTCCCTCCTTCCTATGCACTGTTGCTCTCAATCCGCTGTTTATCCCGCTCCCTCGCCCCCCTTTCTTTTCATTTGCACCCTCCTAACAATGGGGACACTGTATTCCACTAAAAGTTCCTCCAGGATTGCCAGCAGGGCAGATATTCTGTTTTCTGGTCATGCCTCTGCTTGCTGAAGAGAGTCATCCATTCTTGGTAAACATGTGCTGGGCCTGGATGGGGTGAAGGGAGGGCCTTTGGCACTTATCACTAAAGAAGTGTCTAAACTGGAGCAGAGGCAAACAACTTTACCTTCCCGTGGGCTGTGGATGGTTCCAAGGAATTGCAAGTCGCCTCCAGCCTTCTAACTAGCCTGAGCTAGTCAAACCCAAGACAAAGTGTGTGAAAAGGTCTAATGAGAGGCTGTTGAGTTGAATTGGCTTCCAACTCGCCCTCATGGAAATTCAAGCTGGTATGCTAGGCTTTTTGGTTGGACCTTGATTGAGTTCTGGAATTTAGAATTGACCGGGGCTGTTGATACAATTTTTCCTTACTGCCCTCTCCCACCGTCCTTCATTTTCTAGGGAAGATGACAGAGATGAGCCTATTGGGACAAAGGTTAGCAGAGGCACTGGGTTACCACCAAGATGGGGTGGAGCTGACACTCGTTGCACACGTGTGATATCACACATGGCGTGCATTGCACCCATATGATGGCGCATGCATGATACAAGGAGCACTTGGGAGAAGCCGGCCACTGGACCTGTGGTGCATGCCAGATGGGTGCAATGTGTGTAGGGCCAATAGAAGATGGAGAGGGCCAAGGTGTCTTTGGCATGCCTGGTGGTTAGAGTGCAAGTGATCGAAAACTTGGCCTGAATCTGACTGGCTATGACTCATAACTCATCTGAGATTCTATTCTTTGATGATACCAGTGGGAAATAAATCTTATTTATTCACCAGCATGGTGCCTGCAAAGAGTGTTGAACAGTGGAAAAGCATTTTACTGGAAAGCATGGAGGGAACAGTTTACAAAAAAAAACCCCAAAATGTGAATTAATATGTCTCTTTTTTAGAGATGGGGAAACTCGCCATTCCCCAGCAAGATTAGGGCATTGATTGTGAACAGCCACAACCTAATGCTCAACCAGCCACCCTCATCCAGCCACCCTCACATGTCCTACTTTTACCCCTCAGCCACACAACTGACCACAAATCCACAGAATCCCATTGAATGGACACGCCTTTCCAACAAACGACCAGCTCAGAACCATCCAAACCATCTGTGCAAGCCAAACTTGTTTAAAGTCTCAAAACATGCAAAAGAAGAACCTGCGACAGGAGTTTCTAGACCAGCTGCAAGATGTATACTCAGCCCTGCCCACACTCTGTAGAAACCTGACTTTTGTTTACTCTTCTGAGCTTTTGGAGGAACCATAGAATAAACCTGCAAGAAGCACCTCCGTGCTGACTTAGCAGCAAGATCCATGAGGTCTGCTTGTCACTGTAATATAAACATGAACACTAATAGCTGATACGTACAATACAGATATGCCAGAAATCTGGCTTTTGCTCAAATAACTGAATTGCTTTTTAGCCAAGGAGAAGAAACTCCACCCAGCTCTCCAGATGAAAACCGTAGATTTGATCGCTCACAATCAGAGTGATCCGGGGCAGGGTTTTCCAAGTGGCATTTATGGGATCAAATGGAACTTTAGTATGGCTTGCAAGGTTACATATGGCCGTTGTTACATATCTTTAAGCACCAGGCAAAAACATTCATCTTCTCCCAGGCCTTTGGCAAATTAAACAATCTATGGCCTTTTGAACTGGGGGGTATTGTTTTTCTTTGTTACTATGTGATGTATTTTTGTGTTTTTATATTGTGAGCCACCCGTGGATCCTTGGATGAAGGGCAGCATCGAAATTTAATAAATAAAACTAAAATAAAAATTTAGGTTTGCACAGGTGAAGTGGATTAAAGTGCCCTGTTGCCCTAGTGCGATGAACCAGCTTTTTGCAATTATGAAAGTTACAGGGAAATGCGAGAAAAATGGGTGGATGAACTAAGGATTAATGTGAAGACATGTGAATCCCCTGCAGGCAAACCAGGCCAAATTCTTATCCTGTGGTACAACCACCATGTAAAACAAACCAGAATGAATGTTCATTAAGGACTGGACATAATCTAACCATCACGTAAGTTTTGTGCAAGCACATCAAGATGAATGTTGTGTATAAACAAGTCATTTATTGTGATGTGTGAGGATTTTTATTTTATTTTTTAAGTTAAACTTGATACCTAAAAGGGTAAACGAAACCCTAGATTTACGGATTGCCAACCTTCTTGAGTCCATGGGCAAAGCGCGACCTGTGTGCAAGAGCTCTCTACCCACTTGTGATTCCTAGCATACTGCCTCTGACTGTGGAGGGACAACATATAGCCATGAGGGTTAGTAGCCACTGACAACCTGGTACTCCATGAATTTGTCGGATCCTGTTTGAAAGCGTGGCGCTGTGGGTTAAACCACAGAGCCTAGGACTTGCCGATCAGAAGGTCGGCAGTTCGAATCCCCGTGATCAGGTGAGCTCCCGTTGCTTGTTCCCTGCTCCTGCCAACCTAGCAGTTTGAAAGCACGTCAAAGGGCAAGTAGATAAATAGGTACCGCTCTGGCGGGAAGATAAACGGCGTTTCCGTGCGCTGCTCTGGTTCGCCAGAAGCGGCTTAGTCATGCTGGCCACATGACCCGGAAGCTGTACGCCGGCTCCCTCGGCCAATAAAGCGAGATGAGCGCCGCAACCCCAGAGTCAGTCACGACTGGACCTAATGGTCAGGGGTCCCTTTACCTTTACCTTTTATGGCATGTTAGGGGCGGATGGCTCTGTTAATTTTAGTTCTCTCCGTTTCTCATTTGTCTTTTGTCTGTTCTGGATTTTCCAAAATTCAGCTTCGTTGAATGTCCACAAATCCTAGTGGCGTGAGGGAGAAAAACATTTATCTGTTCCCTTTCTCTGCTCCTTATGCCATTTTATGCACCTCTGTCATGTGGAGAGAGGTGATGAGGGAGAAACCCAGGCAAAAAGGGATTGCAGCAGATCAGCTCCCCAGACCGCCACACCACAAAATATTACCTAATCGGTTTAGCCTCCCAGTTCCCTGAAATCATGTTGTTTCCTCCACTGTCTAAAATTAGATTGCAGGCACCTCAGGGTTCATTTTGACTTTGTTTGTTGCTTATGTTGCTCTGGAAATTGCACCAGTAGAGCTAGATTAATAATAGCATTTCCATCTAATTCTGCACTTAGGTTTGGAAGCAAAATGGAGCCACCAAAAAAAGTAAAAATAAAGTGTTTCTATAGAGAATAGATCTTCCCAGGTATCCACAAGTGTATTAGTTTGTAAAAATCAAAGAAGAAGAGATTTTAGGAGAAACAGACGCACCACAACAGCCTGACAAGGACCTTCCAGGACCTATTGAATGTTGACAGCAGTAGAGGCACAGCCTGTTGAGGATGAAAAATGAAAATAGGGACTGGTTATCAGTACTCCTTAACAACGTACAGTGAGTGTTCAGGTGGTAGAAATTTGCAGAGGTTCCCTACCTTTTGGAAAGCCAAGAAACTGTCATAAAACCAAAAAAATACCAGTTTCACAGAAGAAAAATGTGATGCTCAGAACTCTTCCTCCAAAGCAGGGGCAGGCAACCTAAGGCCCGGGGGCCGGATGCGGCCCAATCGCCTTCTCAATCTGGCCCGTGGACGGTCCGGGAATCAGCGTGTTTTTACATGAGTAGAATGTGCCCTTTTATTAAAAATGCATCTCTGGGTTATTTGTGGGGCATAGGAATTCGTTCATTTCCCCCAAAAAATATAGTCCAGCCCATCACATGGTCTGAGGGACGGTGGACCAGCCCACGGCTGAAAAAGGTTGCTGACCCCTGCTCCAAAGCAAGCAGAACACCTGTGCACCCCACCCCACAAAAAAGCAGGCAGGCAGGCAGCACACAGACCACCAAGAACATCCCCTCCCCCCAAAAAACTGATTTAAAAAATGGGGAGGGGCAGAGGGCACTGGTGATAATTGCGGGTGCCATGGTGACCACCAGTGCCACACTTGGGGGGAGGCATAATTAAAGGGTTGCCCACCAGGAAATTAAAAACTCCCACCACCCTTCTGCATAATCTGGTGAGTCTTTGAAACTTTCCACATGCCACTTGCACCCAATAAAGTAGTAAGTTTCAGGGCTGGTAATCGACTCCAAAACTGATCCCATTCACGCTTCATAGCAGAGAAAGGGAAGGTGTCATGATGGTAGAGGAAAAGAGGGCGTCTATTCCTCCTCTTGGAACTCTTCCCACCATCAGCGGCAACACCAACCCAAATGGTGCCTTCTATCTGAGGCTGGCTGGAGATCTTCCAGGAACACTCCTCTTAGGAGCTGGCAATGCACTGCACCATTTTGTTGCAGCCGGTCACACTTGTTATTGTATCAATAACTCCACAGGCAGAGAAGAAAGGCATTAAGACAGAAACCAGGAGAGCAAGCGCAGTGGCGGAGCTTCATGCTCTGGTACCAGGGGCTGAGAGCAGGCGCAGGTGTGGCTGGAGCATGTCCCGGGGGCGTGGCATGCTGCCCACAGGGGCATGGCATGTGTCCTGGGGTGTGGCTCGCGACCCACAGGGGCATGGTGCCCAGCGTGGGGGTGGGGCAGCTGCGATGGCACCCCACCAGGATCATGGTGCCGGGGGCTGTGCGCTCCCCCCGCCCCCCTCTTCCTCTGCCAGTGAGCAAGCGTTATCCTGTAAAGAATTGTTCTGGGAGGATCAACAAGTTTGTTGGCGCTGTATTGATCCATAGATCACTTATAGATGCCAAGAGTCTGCACACAGCCTTCTTTCTTGTTACCCATTGGCTAATGTTCTGGCCAGTTAATACTTTGTAGCTGTGGCTACTGACTGAACCCTTAGATGAAGATCTATACAGTGATACCTCTGGATATGCGGCAGCTAGACTGGTGACTGGGAGCAGCTGCCAAAACCACATAACACCAGTCTTGAAAGACCTACATTGGTTCCCAGTACGTTTCCGAGCACAATTCAAAGTGTTGGTGCTGACCTTTAAAGCCCTAAACGGCCTCGGTCCTCTATACCTGAAGGTGCGTCTCCACCTCCATCATTCTGCCTGGACACTGAGGTCCAGCACCGAGGGCCTTCTGACGGTTCCCTCATTGCAAGAAGCAAAGCTACAGGGAACCAGGCAGAGGGCCTTCTTGGTAGTGGCGCCCGCCCTGTGGAACGCCCTCCCAACAGATGTCAAAGAGAAAAATAACTACCAGATTTTTAGAAGACATCTGAAGGCAGCCCTGTTTAGGGAAGCTTTTAATGTTTAATAGACTATTGTATTTTAATATTTTGTTGGAAGCCGTCCAGAGTGGCTGGGGAAACCCAACTAGATGGGTGGGGTAGAAATATTATTATTATTATTATTATTATTATTATTATTATTATTATTATTATTATCAGAACTCTTCTGGTTCCGGTTGCGAACTTTGCCCCAGGATGTGAGTGGAAATCGTGCGCCAGAGGTGGCACCTCATGTTAAGAACAGTTTCAGGATAAGAACGGACCTCCAGAACAAATTAAGTTCATAACCAGAGGTACCACTGTAGTTCCTAAGAGCTAAGATGACAATCAAGCAGGGAATTATAGAAGCTCATTTTGCATAATCTGGAGACAGATTGTTGGGCGGTGGGGATGGTGAAGGTATGGTGACTATATTGTAAGGTAAATGCATCAAATATAAACTGTGTCTAGAAGCAATACAAGCATGCCGTTGAATACAACCCCACACTGGTGCCCTAATTGCGTAGCACACAATTGGTGGTAAAGCAGTAAGATTTGGCGTGTAATAACAGTGCAGAGGGGTGGGGTCAGTTTCCTCCCATTTTTACAAAACCAGGATTAATCTAATCAAATTTTCCTGAAGCTATTTGGAATGTGTGTGCATGCAGGCGTGTATTGTATATCTCAGAATGGTGGGGAAACAAAATGTGCAGAATTCTGCTCTTTCCTCTGAGTTTAGAAGCAGCTACAAAGCCAGGTTTTATTAAAAACTCAAACTGAAGGAACCTTGTGGTCATGTTTATATGACATGCTCTATCTTATCTTCCATTTTTTCCTTGATATAAAAGGAGTTCCTCTTTGCTGAGAAGTCTCTACAATCCGACATTGTTTCAGAAATTTCTTGCACCCCATATATGCTATTATTTTGGGATGTGTTTATAATGGCTGGTGAAGACAGCAAAGGATTTAAACATCCTGTCAACAGCTGCCTTAAAAGCTTTGTAAATGCAGAGCACTCACAGAATAAACCCCCAGATGGTTTATCTGTTGCGTTATGCAATGAAATACGACCGCCTCAAACTGCAAACCAAGGGAAACCCTTTTGCCTCCATTGCTCATTTAGATTCTGTGAAATCATTAGGCAACCCGGCACTCTGATCCTAACATGAACGGACACCCTTGCAAATAATGTCTCCATTCAGAGCAGCTTAAAAATAAAAGGAAATTGGCAGACATGTCTACGATTTATGCAACACAGCAGCTGCAAGGACTCAATTTAATTTAATGAAGCAGATTTAATAAATATGAACATTCAGGACCTATAGAATGACAGCAGAATGTTGAAGAAAGCCACAGCGTCTAGAATATTGGCCTCTTACGCTGCTGACAACTGAACTGTAAGTATCTAAGAGGTAGAAATTAAGAGTAGCCAGGATGTGACTGAGCAGCTGTACGCCCTGTAAATTCATTTTAAAAGATGAAACAACTTACCCTTATTTGGACTGTTTGGACGAGCTTTTTAAAGACCCTCTTCTTTTATACGTCTGGTCTCTCTGTGTGCCCGGAAATCTATGCGTCTCTCAAAAGAAGTAGCAGTAGGTGGGGCGTGCTGAACGCCTAAGAAGAACAGTTGTTTTTCTTGGGAGATACGTCACTTGAGAGCAGCCTCTGAGTCAGCCCACCCTTCTACCAGTAAACGCATTAGGAAATTAGAGTTTCTGGATGGTGGGAGGGAGCAGGGGAGCAGAAACCTCCCCAGTCAGACTCAGGCATCAGGAAAAAGTTGTGCTTTCAGAACTAGCTTCTAACTTTCAAACATGAAGTTGAAGAAGGTCCATATTTTCCAGTAGGATTTTAAAACTAGGACTATATTCCATGCAGTGTGTGATCACTGACTGTGGACATCAAAATCTTTTTTGCGCTCTTATCAGCTTCTGGTAGAATTCCAACTTTTTTCAGATTGATTCAGCCTCTATTTAAAAATAGATGTTTTCTCCCCTCTGGTGGTAAATTGTAAAGCAGAAGCATGTTTCAGTATGAAAGGGAGAATGTTTGCCGCTGACCACTGTCAAAACATGCCATTGGTGGTCCTTAGGATATTTTATTCCATGAGCTCTCAAAACATTTTCCTCTGGGCCACACACTCAGAATAAAGATTTGCTTGTGCCACACCCATTTTCTAATTGATAATGAATACCACTGGAAAACAAAAAGAAACAACAACTAGCAGTGCTTAATGTATAACATAGAACACAAATACTTTATATTGTTTAAATGCTTCTTTGATTGTTGTTGAATCTTCCCGCCACCCTTGCCATCCTCTCCTCCCACAACCTCTGAGAATTACAGTTCAGAAGAAAATAGGCAGAAGCCATTCTAAGTAACGTATTTTTCGCTCTATTAGACGCACCAGACCACAAGACGCACCTAGTTTTTGGAGGAGGAAAACAAGCGGGGAAATTCTGAATCTCAGAAGCCAGAACAGCAAGAGGGATCGCTGCGCAGTGAAAGCAGCAATCCCTCTTTGCTGTTCTGGCTCCTGGGATAGTTGCGCAGCCTGCATTCGCTCCATAAGACGCACACACATTTCCCCTTACTTTTTAGGAGGGAAAAAGTGAGCCTTATAGAGCAAAAAATACGGTAATTTCTTTACAGGAAATGGGCCTGTTTTTAGTCAACAAGTGAAATTACCACTGTGATTGGTGGGTAGGGAAAGAATATACTGTATTTGTCCATTTCAGTTCCTTTTTGGTTTCTCAGTTTTTTTCAGTCTTAAATCCAGTCCCCCACATTACTGTAGTAGAGCTTTGGGGGGGGCGGGGGGAGGAGGGGAGAATCTTCATGAATTTTTGTCAGCATTTTTGTGTGCAATTTTCCAAGGAAACACATATTTGTATGCTTTTTTGGATAATATATATATATTTGTGCAATCAGTTTTTCCCAGGGAAAGGTGGTGTATTTGCAGATGAAGAATGTGAACAGTAGCAAGTAATTTCTGAAGTGTCTTGTCTCCCACACAAGAGTGATTTAGAATGTTCAGATCCTGAGCAACTTTGCTAGCTGTCTCCCATTGCTTCTGGTATGGTGCAAAAACTTCTGGCAGCAATCACATCTCTCTCACCAGACTTGCAAGCTAAAATAATTGTTTCCTTCCTGCATAAGCTTATAGTGGTTGACGCATGAAAGTGTATGACAGTGCTAACAGCTCTGAATGGCATTGGTATAGTTGAGTCTAACCTTCCGCTGTGCATTATAACTGAACCATTCAGATTTCATTTAGATTAATCTTATGGCCTTGGATCTTAGAATAGTCTTGAAAAACCTTTAGTGTTTTATCAAGATAAATTTCTTGATTTTTCACTATTAGCAGTACATTGTCAGCAATAAAGGCTGGCCTTACAGATGTTGCTTCCTATTCTAAGACCTTCTTTCTCTTAGCTACTCTATCATAGTATTGAACAACCAGGGGGATAATGGACATCCCTGTAGTGCTACTCTAGACTGCCTTTTTTATCTTCTGCTGCCTACACATACAGTAGCAACTGGATTCCTGTATATTAACTTAACCCAAATAGCAAAAGTAGGTCCCAGTCCCAGTTCTGCTTAATTTGAACTTGTTATTCCCACTTGACTCAGTCAAATGCCTTTTCAGCAGCAATAAATACTAAGCCAAGTGGATCCTGTTTATTATTACAGGCAACTCCTGATTTACGCGGGTCCAACTGACATGCACTGTGCCAAATCCAGAAGTCACTTTAAAAATGGCCCTCAAAGAGCCCAGAAAGGGCAAAAGGGCACAAAAACAGTGCCTAGCAATCCCACGATACTTTGCAAGTGCAATCCCAGAAGCCCTTGCACTGACCGTTAAGGCTGACCATTGTGGATGGAGTTTCCAGACTAATAATGCTTTCCTTTTTCCCATTTATTTTTTTATTTGCATTTTCAAAAACAGGAACAGAGCATATTTAACCCCCTCCCCTCCTCCTGTCCTACTTACAACTTTGTACCAAATACAGCATGTATACATATACCATATAACTTCCCTTCCACCCTTTTCCTGGTTCCTTTGCTTTTCTACTACTCCACATAATCCACATCTTTTTAATCATCCAATTTGTTACCTATTAAAAACTCTATCTATTTCAATTCCACTGGATTTACGTGAGACCTGCTAAGCTATGTACCGGTATTTGTTTTTAAAATATTCGATAAACATTTTCCCTTCCTCCTTGTATTCCTTATCTTTTTCTCTTATCCTGTTCGTCAAACCAGCCAGTTCAGCATATTCAAACATTTTATACTGCCATTCTTCCTTAGTGGGTACTATACTCGTTCTCCACTTTTGTGCCAATAAGGTTCTAGCTGCAATATAGTGATAAACCCTTTTGGTTTTGGGGGGACCTTCGTTGTTACCATTCCTAAGAGAAAAATCTCAGGTGTTTTAGTGAAAGTTTTTTAAAAAAATATCTTTTTTAATTCATTATATATAATTCCCAACATTCCTTAATTATTTTACAGGACCACCACATGTGAAAAAAGAACCCTCATTTTCATTACACTTCCAACATATACCTTTTTCTTTTTTATACATTTTTGCCAATCTGGTGAGTGTTAAATACAGATAATGCTTTCCAATGCTCTTTAAAAAACAAAACTTTGACATTTAAGTTCCAGCTTTAACTGACATATATTGGTAGCCCATTAACTCATGTTCATTCTGCTCATTAAAAAAATATATGAACTAATGTTTCCCAAATGACTTTGTGGTTCTAAAGTTTCTAATTACTTTTAAACCATTTAAACATTTAAAACATTTTTTAAATAGCACTTAACAGTAATATCTGGGGTTCTAGTTGCTTTTACAGGTTTTTAGCCACTTTTACATGGCGCTGTGGTCTAAACCACTGAGTCTCTTGGGCTTGCTGATCAGAAGGTCAGCTGTTTGAATCTGCACGACAGTGGTGAGTTCACGTTGCTCTGTCCCAGCTTCTGCCAACCTAGCAGTTCGAAAGCATACCAGCGCAAGTAGATAAATAGGTATTGCTGTGGCGGGAAGGTAAATGGCATTTCTGTGTGCTCTGGTTTCCGTCATGGTGTCCTGTTACGCCAGAAGTGGTTTAGTCATGCTGGCCACATGACCCGGAAAGCTGTCTGTGGACAAATGCTGGCTCCTTTGACCTGAAAGCGAGATGAGCGCCACAACCCCATAGCCACCTTTGACTGGACTTAACCATCCAGAGGTCCTTTAGCTTTTTTTTGCATGTAAAGGTAAAGATGCCCCTGACATTTAGGTCCAGTCATGGACGACTCTGGGGTTACGGAGCTCATCTCGCTCTATAGGCTGAGGGAGCTGGCGTTTATCCGCAGATAGCTTCCGGGTCATGTGACCAGTGCCACCCGTGTCCCTTCTTTCTTTTTACCTTAAGGTCCATAAATAGCAACACCCTAGTGGTCCCGGGCCCTAAGGAAGTTAGATTAGCCTCAACCAGAGCCAGGGCCTTTTCAACACTGGCTCCAGCCTGGTGGAACGCTCTGTCTCCTGAGACCAGGGCCCTGTGGGATCTGATTTCTTTTCGCAGGGCCTGTAAGACAGAGCTGTTCCGCCTGGCCTTTGGCTTGGAATCAATTTGATTCCCTCCCTCCCTCTCTTTCTTTTTTTCCTTTCTCCTTCTGTGTTGGAACTCCTATTTGGGGACTTCCCTGGCTTTTTTCTGGCCCATGTAGGACCAGTCTGGATAGTTAACCTTGGTGAAGACTTGATGTTTTTATCCCCAAAAAAGTTTTTGATTGAGTTTCCACTGAAATGAGGCTGCATTTTAATGTTTTAATGTTGTATTTTAATCTTGTTTTTAAGCAGTATTTCAATCAATTGTTTTTATATTTGGTGTTAGCTGCCCTGAGCCCGTCTTGGCTGGGGAGGGTGGGGTATAAATAAAATTTATTATTACTATTATTATTATTATTATTATTACATGTAACAGTAGCTAAAAACAAGCAAAAGGTCTTTAGAAGTATGTCTGTAGGAGGGGAAATATTATATAGAAAAGGCACTAAGTATCATGAAGATAGCTGTTCCACCAGCATTTTCTTCAAGCAGTAACAAATCAAAGAAAGGACTAGTTGATAACGCCACAAATTATTGTTAAATGCTGCTTTCTTGGGTATATACACCCCCAAACCTAAAGGAATATATGCCAGAAACATAGGCTCAGATTATTTGGGGGTGGTTCAGAAAGATGGCTGGTCTAGCTAGTGTGCAACAAACAAACAAACAAACAAACAAACAACCCTGACAACAAAAAGTTAGAAATGTGATCTGTTTTTGCAGCTGCTTCTGTTCTAAAGCAGAAGCCAGGAACTTCCATCCCATGGGTCTAATTAGGTCCACCAGACCTCTGCATTTGGCCTGCAAGGCTATTTTGGCCAAGCCACCCCCACTTGCCTTACAAGTAAAGGCACAGCCACAGCTGGGCAAAAAGGGAGCTTGCAGGCATAATCCACTGGTGTATCTGACTTTAATTCTGCACGTGCTCAGTAAACAGACAGCTGCCACCATATGAGCCAAGGTTACTTACCTCTGTGCAATTAGGATAATCCCTCAGGCTCTCCCCTCTGTAAGACCCTAAACCCTTAAGAACCAGTTAGCTGTGGGGTTTCCCTTAAAGTTCTCAATTTTCCCAATCTTGTACAGTACGTTCCTTGTCTGTTTATGTTCTTTTATGTTAGGGCCTCTCTGCACTTGCCACTTATAGTCATATACAGTGGTACCTTGGGTTAAGAACTCAATTCGTTCTGGAGGTCCGTTCTTAACCTGAAACTGTTCTTAACCTGAAGCACCGCTTTAGCTAATGGGGCCTCCTGCTGCCGCCTCACCACCGGAGCATGATTTCTGCTCTCATCCTGAAGCAAAGTTCTTAACCCGAGGTACTATTTCTGGGTTAGCAGAGTCTGTAACCTGAAGCGCATGTAACCTGAAGCGAATGTAACCCGAGGTGCCCCTGTAGTTGCTTGCTTGATCTGACATTTTTAAGAATGAATTTGCTGCTGATGATCTGTCCCTTTGGCCGCATGTTGCTGTTATCAGAGAATGAGCCGAGGTGTAGTGGGCAGGGTTGAGGGGGTCAAAGATCTGTTCCTATTTTTGCAGCGCGGTTTGTGCCAATTGGAGCCAGTCATAGTGAAAGGAACTGAGTCATCCACAGAGAATTTGCTCCTAGGATCACTCTGGAGAAGGTGTGTGCGGAGAACACTGAATTGGATTTGGATTTGATATCCCGCCTTTCACTCCCCTTCAGGAGTCTCAAAGCTGCTCACATCCTCCTTTCCCTTCCTCCCCCACAACAGACACTCTGTGAGGTGAGTGGGGCTGAGAGACTTCAGAGAAGTGTGACTGGCCCAAGGTCACCCAGTAGCTGCATGTGGAGGAGCAGAGACGCGAACCCGGTTCCCCAGATTACGTGACTACCGCTCTTAACCACTACACCACACTGGCTTGTTCTGTGTGCTTCAAAGCTAAGCATTTAGGAACACTGAAAACACACAAGGTGCTTCAATTTCAAGAGCATGGTGTGCAAGTTCTGTTGTATACTATGGAACATCGGGGGGGACGGGACCACAACTTAAGTCACTCTGAAAGAAGATACAGTCATACCTCATGTTACAGATGCTTCAGGCTACGTGTTTTTGGGTTGCGGACTGCAGGAAACCTGGAAGTACCGGAATGGGTTACTTCCGGGCTTTGCTGCTCGCGCATGAGCAGAAGCGCCAAATTGCACTGGTGCAGACATGCAAGGTTCCACTGTATTGGGCACTCCAAATCATTTGTCCACATATGTGTACAGAAAATAGTAGAAATAGATCTACATTGATGGTTGCAATGCATCCTTAATTTCCCCAGAATGGCTGGAGAAACCCAACCAGATGGGAGGGGTATAAATAATAATAATAATAATAATAATTATATATAATAATAATAGTTTGTTGTTGTTGTTCAATGTGTGGCCCATGGATTCTATGTGGAAATATTCTTGTGGCCCACTTTTTTTGAAAAATTGGCTGTTCTACATCCAAGTGTTCATAGCAGACCAGCTTTTTTCAGCTGGTCCACATCACCCCCTGGTGTTCAGAGTGCTTATTACAGTGAACTGTGAACCCAATGGGATTTATTCCCAGCTAAGTGCATATCAGATTGCACCCTTAAACGTTTTAAAAATATTGATAGCTTCTTTAACTGAACTGTTTGGAGTTGCAAGATTTAATTAAATACTTTGATTCCACATGATTAATGGACACCAAACACATTCAGCAAATATTTTTATTTCCTCTGCTGATTATACGTATTCTGCTCTTCTAGACCTTTGTATCTGAAGATACAGTAATTCTGCCAACATCATGTATCAAAGGACAAGTTTCTCAAATATGCACAGCTCTCCTTTCTCAATTATTCCTTGACTGCTTTGAAGTCAGTATGTGAACAGGATTTGTGGGAAGAAATTGATAAGATGATCCACAAAAATGGTCCACAAAACAATTCTATTCATTTTCAGCCTCTGTTATATATTATAGAAACTCGATGAAAATTGTTCATAAATGGTGTTGGAAGTACAGGCATCAATCAGTTAGTAACCTAAGGGTTAATTCTGTTTACATTCAGCCAACTGAAGTGGGGGTGAAGTTGTTGCCTAGCAACCACTCAGAATGGCATGATCCTTGCTGGGATAACTTGTGCTCTGATTGGCTCTGTATATCTGAGAGAGTTTCTCCACTGTATAAGTAGCTATATTCTGCCCTGCTGTAGACAAGGCCTGAACTGATAAGAAAGACAAACATTTCTGTTTGTTTCTTCTCATATTATCTACCCTTTTTGTTCAGTTTACCCAATAAAGTATGGTCAATTTCTTTTCTTTCTGGACTCCATCTGCTTTATTCAAGTCACCCTGTTAACAATCAGTTTGATTTGGGTACTGAAAACAAGCCTCCAGTCCCAGAATGTGCTCACAGAGAACCCCCGTTTTCTAATTCTAACTGTATGCCTTTTGCACTGGGTGTTAGATCTTGCAGTTCTACTAAAAAAAATTCCCCCAAAATAAGGTAGATCCAGGAACGCTGATGTTAAGTTGTGGGTGAACATATCAGATGACACAGCGATTCTTCAAACAGCTCTTGTTTATTCACAGGCCAGAACAGAACTGAACAGAAGGGTTCAGCCAGCCTGCTTATATAGAGCTCCACTAGAACGCAACAGTAACCATTTTCTGTAACTATCCAATCACTGAACATCACTTTTGATCCTTCATTTGCATAACTATCTACAGTATCCCCCTACTGGCCCAGGGTGAGAACTTCAGTACATAACACCCCTCCCCACCGAGATAAGGCGTTAGTTACAATCGTAATGGTTTCCTTATATACAGCACTACACGTAATGGTTCAATTAGGCACAAAAGCATATCAATTACATTTCACCTACTTCCATTAGACCGACAGTATTACATGTCCAACAACATAGTCCTTTAAATAAGTTGGGCACTTGGAAACTCTGCCAGACCGCCAGGGAGCGGTACCCAGGTACAGAGGGCCGCCCAATTCTTGCTGAGGCTGTGGCGCGACCCTAGGTGGTGTTGAAACCAAGTCCCCTGGATCCACTGCCGTGGGTGGAACCTCCGCAAGTGGAGTTGGCAGAATGTCAGGCACGGCAGTGGTCTGAGCCTGTGGTAAGTCTGGCAGACCCTCTGAAGTGGCTTGGTTCGGCTCCACGCCGGCAGTTTGCGAGAGAAGTGTAGGTGGAATCTCACCATCTGTAAGTGTCTCTTCCGGAGCCACGAGCGCAGTTGGGGGCACCACGGTAGTGTCCAAGTCCCCAACCCTGTGCCTAAGCTGGTCTATGTGCCGGTGCCACAAGCGTCCGTCTTCGAGCACCACCTGGTACGAGCGAGGTCCAGTGACTCCCACTACTGTGGCTGGCACCCAAGGAATGTCCCCCACAAAATTCCGGGCAAAACCTGGTTTCCTGGAACAAAGGACCGTGGCGCGTTGGCACAGCCTGGGGGTTCGGCCACGGCAAAGTCCAGGTGCAGCCGGTCAAGCGGAGATCTGAGGCGGCAGCCCATAAGCAGTTCAGCAGGACTCCGCCCTGTGGCCACATGAGGGGTGATGTGTTGCATGAACAAGTATTCGGCGACCCGCTCGTGCCAGTCTCCCTGGTCCAGGCGCGCCAGTGCCTCTTTTGCCGAGCGCACCATTCTCTCTGCTCCACTAGAACGCAACAGTAACCCTTTTCTGTAACTATCCAATCACTGAACATCACTTTTGATCCCTTATTTGCATATGTGGACCTGAACTATCTACAGTATCCCCCTGCTGGCCCAGGGTGAGAACTTCAGTACATAACAACTGAAGTCTGCCTGTGCTTGCTCCAATAATTACCAGATTAATCTGAGTTATGTAGAATTCTACCAGATTCCTACATGGAAACTTCGCAAATAACAATGGGAAGAAGCTGTCACGCAGTAGTAGAGCCAGGGCCTTGCATGCAGAAGACCTCAGCTTCAATCCCCAGCATCTTTGGGTAGGGCTGATAAAGAACCCATTCTGAAATCCTAGAGTGTGGCTGCCAGTGTGGACAACACAGAGCTAGATGGAGCAATGGTCTGACTCCTGATAAGGCAGCTTCTTGCGTTCCAAAGATATATGGGGCGGGCAATGTTTTTATCAGTACCGCCAGTGTTCCTATTTCAGCAGCCACAGCCAGTGATGGTCCTCTGCCCTCTGCCTCCATCCTATTTTTAGAATGAACTATACAATCTGTACCAGAGAGAAGCTAACAGGGAAAGTAACACAAGTTTTGCTTGGAGCCTGTGGTCAGCTAGTGAGGCTTTTGGTGGTTGTTTTCTTTCTTTCTTTTTCCTTTTTCCACAGTATGGGAGCGACCCCTGGGGAAAGTTTCTTGATGCATTTAGAACAGTGGCCGCAAAGTTGAGAGATGGTGAATGCTCAGACACAAAGGATTGGCTAAACTTGACATTGAAGGTTACCCCTCCTGCTGCTATATATTCTGAGAAGCACAGGCTTTTTGAGCTTAGAGACACCTGCTCTTCAAAAAGAACAGAGCCTCAGAGAAGCCTACCAGAAACCATCTACGGAAGAGTAAGTTACTCCCATGTTTGCTAAGGGTGCCTTCAGATTGTCACTGCTTCATGGGAGGGATTCAAGAGCATACTGTAAATTTAGGTTTGTGCCGTTAAGGTGAGTTAAAGTGCTCTGTTCCCCTAGCACAACAAATCCACTTTTTAAAACAAGGGTTGGACTTTTTGCAGTTTGGAACTGGCAGGGAAAGGGTGGGATAAATGAATGATTAACGGGAAGCAAATCAGGATGGATGCAGGATGCATGCTCATTTGTCATATGCCCCCCCTGCAAATAAATCAGGATGAATGCTTAATAAAACCGTATAATTTAACCTCTGCATAAGCTTTGTGCAAGTGAATCAGGGCAAATGCTCAACTTGTCTGGGGGAACCCTGAATCTTTGCACTGCTTAGAAGTCATTCTTTTGTATTGCAGTTCAGGGTCATGCCAGTCCATTTTTATTTACTTTTCATATGTTTAGATTCAGGATGCCAGACGCAAAGTCAGCTAATGATCTCATAGGATCCTAATGAGCAATGGAGGCAAACGTTATAGCCTTGGCTTCTGCTTGTGGGAGCCGCATTTCATTTGATAATGGAACAGATAAGCCACCTGTTAAGTTTCACCTATGAGGTCTTGGCTATAACACTGGGAAAGTTTTTAAATGGTTGCAAGTGCACATTAAAAAAAGAAAAAGATCCTTAATAAAAGGCGAAAGATTTATACGATCTGAAGAGAAATGAGAGACAAGACTCTTTACAATACTTTTTCAACTTAAAACTGTTTTTATTCAATTGAGTAGTTTCAGATTCCTTTATTGGTTTATAGTCCTGTTTAGACTACTCCAAAACAAAGTTTAACAATGTAAAAGTAAGACAAGGTAGCAGAAATAGAAACTAACTTAGACAAAGATAAACTTGTTGTTGTGTTGTTGTTTAGTCGTTTAGTCGTGTCCGACTCTTCGTGACCCCATGGACCAGAGCACGCCAGGCACCTCTGTCCTCCACTACTTCCCGCAGTTTGGTCAAACTCATGCTGGTAAACTACAAGTGAACAAATGTAGAACGCTGAAATTCCTTTGCTTAGACATTAAAGGTGGAACGGTTTTTACCCTTAACAAATATTATGATGATTAAATTGATTATTAAATGCTGATCTGAATAAAAATATGTAAAACCACAGTGAACTTAAAATTCTGAATCTCTTTCCCAGTTTTGACTAATAATTCTAGCTGCAGTGAGAAGATATATCATGGTTTTGTCTATTGCTTGCTAAATTTAATGATTTAACATGCCAAAATAACATGGCTAATGGATCTAATGGTAATATAAAGTGTTTTTTCTGGGGGTACCTAATGGGTATGCAGTAGCAGTACCTCCCCCCCACACCACACCCCAGTGTTAAAAGTGTGGCACTTACTGTGACAACCTTATGGTGGATCCTAGCACCTTTTTTTTCTTTTTTTTAAAAAGGAAAGGAAAAAGCACTGGTAGTTTAGCCAGTCATACCTTGCATGTTGATCAACAGTCATTCCAGTGCTTCATACATAATGGGTAGGCATTTCCAGTAATGTGAGCTATATCATTCAAGCAGAATTACACCAGTAATTGTCATTAAACCCCTACATAAATCCGATTTCATCTCAGTGCAGAATATTCTAAACATTTATTGCATAGGGAGTACAAGCAGAAGGTTTGTATGGCGTCCAAGTGATTTTGGAAAACAAGGCATGATCTTGATCTTAGAGCTTCTCCACAAAAAGGAATTAAAGCAAACCAATTCGAACTGTACTATAAGAATAACTGAGCTACCAAAATGCTGGCTGACCAAATTCCTTTTGCTTGGATTTATACAACATCTGCCCCCATGGAAGGATGAGTCACAATAAATTTGGACAGTCTCCTTAGATTAATCCTAATCTTACGAAAATAAGACTTGCTTAACTGTATTATTTTACTGCCAATTGTATGCTTAGGTACCAGTGTGGAAGACTTCCTTCTTTAAGTCTTCAAGAAACACATTTCTGATGCATTTACACTGAGGTGTCGCCATATTGCACAAAGTGTTCTATATTTTCTTCCCAACCTTCCTTCAAGGAGGTCAGAGTGGGGTACCTGGTTCCCCCCAAACACACACACACACACACACACACACACACACACACATTTTTATCTCCACAACAACCCTGTGAGGTAAGTTTTTCTGAGAGATGGTGAATGGCCAAGACCACCTTATAAGTGTTTATTTGAACATGGATTTCCACAGTCCCGGTCCAATATTCTAAATGCTAGACTACAAACTGTCTAAATCAAACTTAAAATATTTCCTGTTGTATTCTCACCTACTACCTATGATTTCCCACCCCACCCCATTACAGCATTATTCCTTTTGGGAACACAGCAATTAACCAGTTCATCACCATCAGTTTCTTAGGATCAACAGTCCAGAATAAACCGAAACAGAATGCAAAAAAAGTGTAACCACAGCTCAGCTATATAGAAAATAGCCAATAACCTCAGGCAGAGATGGTGGAGAAATTTGATTCAGTTTGGATTTAAAGGTGAACCTTCCGTAGAATAAGATTTGAAAAGGGTAAGGCACTGCTGAATACGATTGTGTAAAAGGGAACACAGAAAAGGGAGATGTGAGGAAGTCAGGAAGGAGGGTTATGAAAACAATAAGTAAGAAACTGGATTTTTATGTCTTTTTTATCTCTTTTTTCTTCTACTTTTTTATGCTTTGTATTGCATCTTTCTGTTTTTATTTGATTGTGATAATGTTCTTTCTTTCTTTCTTTCTTTTTGGTTTTGATTGTGAAGTTTGTTTTACTGTTCAAAATTTCAATAAATATCTTTAAAAAAAATAAAATAAAGGTGAACCTTCCTAATTTCCACTTTTTGAAACAATACGCAAAGCAAAACACAGCCATCCTTTGAAATTTGAATCCTCCGAATTTTGCAATGCTTTTATCCGGTCAAGTAACACGTACAAAACTAAATAGTGAAAATAACATTAAAGTGCATCATATTAGAGAAAACTGCTTTGCTAGAAGGGATACGTTATGCAGAATTGCATAGATAAATGTGTATATTAGAATAAATATTCACTAAAATTGCACTGGCAAAAGCCCCCTTGCACCTGCTCTTCTCTGTTAGCATTGCAGCCTGCCTTTTCAACTGCCTCTTGAGTGAGAACAAGGAGCAATGAATGCCATTGTCTGCTTGCTCAGTGAGTCTCTACCTAGCAAGCAAACTGGGTGGTAGCCATGATGAGGAAGAAAAGCAGCTGCGGCAGCTAGTGATTTGCATTTGAAAGAGAAACTACCTAATTTGCACTTCTCAGGTGAAGTGGGGGGGCATCCGCTTTGCATGCAGAAGGTCCCAGGTTCAATCCTCAACAGCTCCAGGTAGCACTGGGAAAGAACTCTGCCTGAAACCCACAGAACCACTGCCAATCAGTGCAGACAGTATTTATTTTTATTTTTTTTATTTTTAGTGGTGGAGAAATAGGAACAACAATGCATATGTGGTGGAGGTGTGAGGAAATTAAGAAATTTTGGATAGTAGTACATGAAGAACTAAAGAAGATGTTGAAAATATAAATAACAAAGAAACCAGAGTCATATCTCCTTGGACTGATAGATGAAGAGAGACCACGGAGGGGGGATGAATTTTTCTATATGCAAGTACAGTTGCTAGAATAGTGATTGCTGCTAGGTGGAAGTCACAAACTATACCCACAAAGGAGGAATGGATTTGTAAACTAAATGAATATTTAATTTTGGCAAAAAAATTAAACTGCTATAATTTAAAAAAAAATTAACTGCTATAATAAGAAATCAGTTGAATCAAAAATGGAAAAAAGAGTGGAAATGTTTTGATGAATATATGGCAAAGTATTGTGCAAAAAAAGATATGCTAATATGCCTAGATTAAAATGTGAAGTACTGGATGGAAGAAAAAATAGTAAGGAAAGATAATAAGAATATATTTGAGAAGATTGTAGAATCCAAAGATTACTGTAAATTGTATAATGTGGAGGAAATTGAGTGGGGGCAGAAGGAAGTAGAAGAAGAAGAGTTTGGATTTGATATCCCGCCTTTCACTCCCTTTAAGGAGTCTCAAAGCAGCTAACATTCTCCTTTCCTTTCCTGCCCCACAACAAACACTCTGTGAGGTGAGTGGGGCTGAGAGACTTCAGAGAAGTGTGACTGGCCCAAGGTCACCCAGCAGCTGCATGTGGAGGAGCAGGGAATCGAACCCGGTTCACCAGATTACGAGTCCACCGCTCTTAACCACTACAGCACACTGGAGGAAGGAGAAAAGAATAATATGATGAACTGAGGAAATATAAATGTAAATGTATGGGGGGATGGGGAAGAAATGGTGTTGGCTTTGGTACATCTGTATTGTAATGTAATATGTCAGTGCAGAAAGTATTGAGCTAGATGTTCATCCCCGGAGAACATATTGCCCAACACCCTGCAAAATCTAGAGCTGGCAGCTGTGCATTCACTCTGCTGCCTAGTTCAGCCGCGGCTGCTTCTTCCTATTTGTTGATCTGACGCTAATGGAGCAAACCTCTTTTCTCCTTTCCAAGACTTTACGATGCAGAGAAAACTGGCGGCAGCCGTCCTCTTTGCAGCCCTGTGCATTTGTCTCTGCCGGAAAGTGGGCGTCTCCCCATCTAAGCGGAACAAGAAGCCATACACCAAGCGGCCTAGCAGGATCACCTCACCTGTCCAGAAATACCTGTGCCACGGGGGTCAAATGATTGACGGTGTGGAACTGCAGCCGAACGACACCGACTATTACAGGGATAATTGGAAGGATTTTCCAGACGGACTTTATTACCCCAACTGTTCCTTGTATCGAGAGCCTAACGTAAGCAAAGAAGCCCTGGTTGGCGAGTGTGTCAGTTTTGTAACGCCTTCAACCAAGTTGAACCTGTCTCTAGGAAAGGATGCAAATGACCCCAAGCAGAGAGTGATGTGGTTCGTGATTAACCACTTGTGTGCCAACGAAACATGCAGTCAGCCGTGTCCGCAGCGCTCCAACACTGGAGCCCTCCGTTTTTCCAGTCAAGCCCTGATTATTGGCCTGCTTGGTCACTCTGTTCTTTCCACAAAATAAAGTTGCAGGGTCCAAGCTCCTGATATGGAAGATAGAGCCTTGTAGTTCCCTCTCCCCACCCCAGTCCAGATCTAGCACTTTGGATCGTCCCCAATCTGAGCTGGGCTGACCCAAGGCTAACCCAGATACAGGTCTGGAATCACTCCGGGGTGGGGAGTCCTAATGCTTAATTAGGGTTTCAAGTCCTTGAAACATTGCGTCTCCTCCTGCCCGCCCCGCTGCGTTAATGAGGTTTTTAAAACTCTAATTTTAAAATATGATCTGTAGGGAGCTGGGGGAAGGAGGAGACACTGTGTCTCCTCCATCTTCCAACCGCAGTGCAGAGAACCTTCTGCACATCAGCTGATGAGTGGAGGTTTCAATGCAGCTGGGAGCTGCTCCACAGGGAATGTGCTAGAAGAGCAGAGCTTGGAGAGGCTGCCAGCCTCGCCTCCTTTCCTACAACTGTCTGTCTGCCCTGCCTTTTGACAGCCCTGAATCACTCCAGCTGGACCGACATGAGGCAATCCAGGGCTGTCCCAACAGCCAACCTAACCAAAGCCCAGATCCCCCAGAATTGGCATGATATGGTTCAGGACCTGGGCTTTGACCGGTTCTGTTGCTCAGCCCTTTTTGTTGTTTAGTCGTTTAGTTGTGTCCGACTCTTCGTGACCCCATGGACCAGAGCACGCCAGGCACCTCTGTCTTCCACTGCCTCCCGCAGTTTGGTCAAACTCATGCTGGTAGCTTCGAGAACACTGTCCAACCATCTCGTCCTCTGTCGTCCCCTTCTCCTTGTGCCCTCCATCTTTCCCAACATCAGGGTCTTTTCCAGGGAGTCTTCTCTTCTCATGAGGTGGCCAAAGTATTGGAGCCTCAGCTTCAGGATCTGTCCTTCCAGTGAGCACGCAGGGCTGATTTCCTTCAGAATGGATAGGTTTGATCTTCTTGCAGTCCATTGGACTCTCAAGAGTCTCCTCCAGCACCATAATTCAAAATTATTAATTGCTCAGCCCTAGTAGAAACCAAAGAGGAGACAAGCAGGCCGCAAAGGCTTCTGATAACCTTGCCATTTTCCATGCTTGAATTTCTACTGCGTCAGGCGCACCACTTATATTAGTTGTAGGTATGCATGAGTCAGATCTTTCCCTCGCCATAAGCTTTGCCATTATGCCCCGCACAATTGAAGGAAGTATGCAAATTGCTAGAGCAGCACAGTGCTGAACTTCTGGCTTATTTGGAGCCACAATAGTCAGTTATTTGCATTTGGTCCTTGCCGCACAGAACAAGAAGCGCAGGGCCAGTTGGATGGAATGTTTGCTGCTCACTCAGTGACTTTTGACATCTTCCCATGATGAGGGAGTGCAGTCCTCCCCGATTCAGCACAGATGACAGATTTACAAAGGGCTGCTTGGAGCTGCTTACTATAAAACCATCCTTCCCTGCAGTGCACACATTCCTTTTGCTGTGCTCTCTGAGCAATAACTGAAAGGAGCTTGCAGCAATGTTCAGTGGTGTATATCATATACATGTATCTGCAATGATCCTTGGTAGTGGTGTTTTTTAAAAAAAGCTATTCAAAGTCCATCATTGTCCGTATTTCCTGCTGTGAAATGTCAAAATTGCATTGGCCATCTGTTTTAGCATATCTTTTATGTATTTTAAGCATTCACTTATAGTAGAATTCAAGATTTGTGTATTACATACCTCCTTTTGTTCACAATTTATTTTACTGCCTTCTTTTTCCCCCAAAGAATACATTGCCCACCTGCTTTTATCCTTGCAACAAACCTGTGAGACAGGTTGAGAGATGGTGACTGGTCCAAGGTCAGCCCGTTTGTCAACCAAATAGTATGTGGAAAGATACACATACCAGAAGAAAGTGTGCATAAATGCGTATATTAGTTTTTAAAAAAACCTTACAAACATGAATTCATTTTTATTAGATTTTTTTCTCTTATAACAATATCTATAATCATTACATTACATTCAAATTTCAATTTCCCCCTTCCCTGCTTACTTCCCTCAGCTTCCATCCCTGATTTATTGCATCTCATATTACATTCTGCTGTTTGTATATACTTCTATGTTGTCGTACTGTTATGTTTCTTGTTTTTCATAAATAAAGTTGCAAATGTTTATTAAAATCCTGCCAAAATTTGTATATTGTATTGCTTCTGCAAATATGATGTAAAAGGTTCCCATTATTTTTCAAAGTCACTATTGTCTTTTTCACGAAGTTTATCTGTTAACTTTGCCAACTCTGTGTAACAAAAATGAATTATATGATGGGGACATCGCTTGCAAAAATTTGTATATTGGGCAAAATAGCACACCAAAATATGTATATTGGAAGAAATGCTCACAAAAATGCTGACAAATCTTCATGAGGACTTTTTTTAAAAATCTCAAGCTTTTGTGGAGAACTGAACTTAATGAGAAACCAAAATGGAATGATTCCTCCCCCTCCTAATTTGGGCACCTGTGGTAGAAAGGAGGGGGAGGAATGAACGCAGAAGCCTCAAGCAGAGACCAGAGAGGTCCACACACAAATGCACTCCCCTCTGCAAAACAGCAGATTATTTCCAGATGCATGTCTAATGCTTGCCTGGAACCTTTTAATATCAGTAATGGAAAGACCAGCACTCAATTTTCCATGCACTATATCTTCGCTTTTCCTGCTGACCCCAGACTGCGCAGCAAGAATTAATCTTTCCTTTCTCATCAATCTCTTCTTCCCCAGCCAATACTTTCCTTCCCATTAACCTGAGCCACTTCTCTTAAGTAATCGCCAGATCAGCCTCCATTAGCAGAACCACAAAGAAAGAAATGGAGTCCCCACCCCCAAGGCATGTGACTGGGCTTTTGCACGGCTCCCGTTCATTCTATTTGGAATTGCTCAGAAGCAACTGCTGGCGGGGTGTGGCTTGTTTGTTTACTTTGTTTAAATGTATAGCCCCATTCAAAAAACCCCAAACTGAACATGCAGGCTGGCAAGACCTGCTGCCGGGAGGCCCTGTGAGATCTGCTGCTGTTCCACAAATGTGTATGCTGTATGTTCATGAAAATAATATTCAAAATAGTGTTGCATAAGGGGGAATTGGTTTGCAAAAATGTGGATATGAGGAGAAATTTGCACTTAAATGCTGATTACTTTTAATGAGGACTCAAAGAGTGGAAAAAGGAGAAATCTGCCTGCTCACCGTGGGCTTTGCCTCTCCCATGTTTCAGAGGCTTGTTATTGCAAGTCAATATGTGGTATTCAATTTTTTTCCTCATCCAGTTGCTCCTTACGACGTTCTGTTCTCTCAGACCCTCAGAGAGTCTGCACCACTAATTATACAGGCACACAAAAGCAGATGAGTCAAACAGCATATTGCTATTTATAACACTTGAAACAGTTTATTCTTCCTAACAGGGACGGGCAGACTTCAGCCTTGGCTTTGCATTTTACTGTAACTCCCCCCACGTTCCAACCCAAACCAGGTGCAAAACTGACACACAGAGTGGGAGCAGACATACACAGATAGCTATAAGAACAGAGTGCCTCTAAGCACCTGCTCAGCCCAATGAATTATTTGCAACACCAGAACTGAGTTCATTGTATTTTCATACAAAAACCTGCACATCAACACAGCAGCTGGCAGCCCAGCCCAGAGAGCTGGTACAAGAGAAATCCTAAGCAGAACTAAGTGAGATCCAGATGTTCAGCTCCACTCCTTTACCTCAAAGGAAACTCTATGGCAGGCATAGGCAAACTTGGCCCTCCAGATGTTTTGGGACTACAACTTCCATCATCCCTAGCTAACAGGACCAATGGTCAGGGATGATGGGAATTGTAGTCCCAAAACATCTGGAGGGCTGAGTTTGGGGATGCCTGCTCTATGGGCTCTGTTGCCTAGTGGGCAGAGGCCAAAGGGCATCACCAAGAGGGAGGGCAAAAAATGCCACCTGAACCATCATGGCCCCACAGGGAGACCATGCTGCACCCACCTCTGGTGTCATTTGTCCTCAAACTATTTGAAATAAGGGAATGAAGGTGAGATGAGTAAGATCAGGTTGGGAAACTTCCCTTCACATGCCAGCAGATATTGGATGCTGCTGACAGCCAGGTCCCTCTTCTCCTCAGCTTGTTGTCATGCAAAGGCTCAGCTCTATAGGAGGAAAAAGCCCCGCAGAATCAAGGCCACCATCCCTCTTGCACACCAGGAGAGAGAGATCCCTTGTCAGATATGTGGGCTAGTGCTGTTCCAGGGCGTTCAGCTTTGCCTGCCGGCAGTGGAAGGACCCAAGGACTGAACGATGGGTGAGCCTCCCTGCCGGCTCTGCTGAAATGAGACGTAACATCACACCATCAACACATTCACCTCAACATGCATGGTAATGTCTTGATGGTTGGGGCCTCTGAAAGGAAGCCCCTCAGCATCAATTTAAAGATTTCTTGGTGATCCTGATGGCGAAGATCATTTTCATAGAGATGGATCTGTAGATTCAGGAGAGGATGTGGAACAACTGCATTGAGGTATACCCCCTTAATCCTTCCCTCACTTTTCATTGTTATTTCGTGGTTGCTGCCATCCCCTTCACATACCTCTTTGCTCCTTGCTTTTTGCTTGCTATTGGGATGCAGTTGGTTGATTTTTAATTCCCTATTTTTGCAGAGTAGACCAGTGCTGTTCGCTCGGGTTTCAAGGCGTTGGCAAGTGAGAGTGCATTTCATTCAGAGTGCGGAGGTTCTCCCCTCTACTCTTTGTTCAGTTCTCAGTTTTGTTCAAATTTGGGGAGGGGAAACCCCTTGCTGCGCCGCCTGGAACTTTTGCCTCCCAAGATCTCCACTTGGGCGTCGGGGCAACTTCGCCTTCAGCTGCTCCCCCTTTTTCTCTCATCTTGCAACTTCATCTGTCTCAAGAAAACAGGAGCACAGACTACGACCAGTCATGGAGCGTGCTAGTCCAGAAGTCTCCAGGGTGTTCAGCTTGCCTGCCGGCAGTGGAAGGACCCAAGGGGTGAACTGTGGGTGATTCTGCTGGCGAAACACGGGTTGGAGGGGTGAGCCACTCTGCTGAAATGAGACATAATGTCACGCCATCAACACATTCACTTCAACATGCACGGTAATGTCTTGATGGTTGGGGCCTCTGAAAGGAGGTCCCTCAGCATCAATTTAAAGATTTCCTGGTGATCCTGATGGCGAAGATAATTTTCATAGAGATGGATCTGTAGATTCAGGAGAGGATGTGGAAAGGAGGGAGAGAGAACAGATTACGGATTTTTAGCATTACTGTATCAACCTGATCAAACCTCTCCATATTCTCATTCCCCCAGGAATGCCTTCTCAATCTTTATGCTCCTCCTCAGAGACTTCGCTATGCAGAAACCTCCTGCATGATCTGCCAGTTCCATGAGACCCTGTAGTGCACAAGCACTTCAGCAATGCACGTCTAACTCCAGGGAAGCAGTGACCACACTCTTCCTTTCCTTTCTGTTTTCCAGCAGTTTGACAAAGTGGGAGTCGTTCCCCCCCACCCCAGACAACTTGCAAGACTCTATTCTAAAATACCCACTTTAGTAACATGACCTCATCTCTAAATATCTGTCTAAAAGAAAGGACAAAAACATGAACAAACAAGGTATAAGTAACAAAGTAAACCAAGATCTAAACAGATTATAAGCACCAAGGTAAATAAAATAAACAAAAGCCTCCTCTGCTCTCTCCTCTCTGACACATACTCAGACTCCCACCCTAGACACCCCTGGGATAGTGGATTTTAAGACAGCAGCAAGAGATGTCACAAAGGAAGGCAAGTCGCTGTTACCTTGCCATCCCACCAACCTGCTCAGGGTGCCTTGTTCCTCCCGAGTATGGATGTTTCTTCAGAACTTTTAGGGGCCTGCTATTCCATCTTGTTGCCATGCCTCCCTTCATTTTCACGTCCTTGTTTCTCTAACAAGTAAGGATATTCTTCATTAAGCAACATTTCTAAAGGGAGAGCATTCCAATCTCCTTTTACACATAGCCGAAAACCCGTAATTCCCAGGTTTAGAGGAAGGGCCATATCTCAGTAGTAGAGCACCTGCTTTGCATGGAAAAAACCCATTTTAATATCCAGGTAGGGCTAGGAAAGAAAGACCATCTGAAATCCCAGAGATAGAAAGCCTGTCACTATAGACAATACTGAGCTAAACTGACCAATGGTCTGACTCGCTAAAGCAGCTTCCTAGGTATATCACTATTTTGCCATTTATTCTAAGAGCAAGCAACCTTCTCCACAAGACATGATGATGCCTTCCTTCCTGTAACATACTTTTATGAGCTTTGGTGGGGGGGAATCCCCCTAAATTATTAAATTAGTAGATGTTATAATGTAACTAATATTTGGAGTATTGAGGGAAATATTAGGAGTAATATTCGGAGTATTAAGGGAAGTATTTGGGCAATTGACAAGGCAAATTTTTAGCAGGCAGAGACAGGAGGAGGAGGTTTCCAGGCTCACAGAAAGCAGTGATGTAAAGGGAAGCGGGATTTGCATTTGGCAAGGGGTTTTGGAAAGAAGCAGCAGGGGAGAACTCCATGTGGGTTGGCTGGGAGAGGCCATACTCAAGGAGACTGGGAGCATGGTTGGCTTCTGCTTCCAGCTGGCTGGAGTTATGGGAGAAGCAACAAGAAACACTCTTTGGCTGCAATGTTCTGCACGCCCCTTCACTGAAGGCTTCAGGTTGTATATATGTGTAAATACACCATGTTTCATAAAGACACTATAGCCTCTATTGTGCCTTAATCTTCTGAAGATTAAAGGGGTCAGCAGGGGCCGGACTGTATTTTGGAAAAAAAGAAAATGAACAAATTCCTGTTCCCCACAAATAACCCAGAGGTGCATTTTAAATAAAATGACAGATTCTACTCATGTAAAAGCACGCTGATTCCCCGACCGTCCGCGGGCCGGATTTAGAAGGCAATTGGGCCTGATCCGGCCTCCGGGCCTTAGTTTGCCTACCCATAGATTAAACCCTAGTTAAGTGCCAATACCCTTGGTATCTCATGCACTGCTCAGCAGAGATTGGGTTGGCCAGTAACCATACTACATACCGTAAATTTCGCTCTATAACACGCAGATTTTTTCTCCTAAAAAGTAAGGTGAAATGTCTGTGCGTGTTATTGAGCGAATGTGTGGTCCCTGGATCTGACTCTCCGGAGCTAAGGGGCAAAATAGGCAAAAATAAGATCGGGCGGCGGGCGGGCGGAGGGAAGGCGGAAGCTGTTGCTTTCCTGCATTCTGCCTCAGGGTCTTACTGCCCACCCGCTTCTGTTGCTGCATTTGCTCAAACTCAACAAAGAGCAGGGAATCCCCTGCCCTCCTGGCAAGCAGAGGGTTAAGGAAATGATCGAGTCCTTCCGTGCAGGCTCCAGCCCACCACCTCCTCCTCTCCGTGCTCTAGGGACTCGCAGGCAGCCGAAAAACACGCAAGTGGGAGAGAGAGAGAGAGAGGGCTGGCTTGGGTTTGGTGGAGGGGACTTTTGCTTTACAATGGTAGGTTTCTCATTTCTTTTCCAAAATCAGAGAGCCCTGCCCCCAGGCCCCCTCCAAATTACAGCTTCTCCAAGCAATGTACTGCTGGAGGGAGACAGTATGCTTGTTTGGAAGAGAAACCCTGCTTCCCTGCTGGTAAGTAACAGCAGGCTGGATTGCAGAGTGAGACATGGAAATCTCTGGATTTATATGCTGTATATCAAATATCTTAATCTATACTTTCTAACGCGGCAGGTAAATCAGAATCTCCTGAGCCAGGAGGATTACAGCATCTCTCCTCTCCCCTTCATTAAAAGCCTAATACTCTTCTTTGAAGAAGTATAACGTGAGAATGTTTTTTATATATATTTTTTAAAGTTCATTTCCTCATTGTGCGCTATACACTGATAATTGCTGCCACAATAACAATTGATTGAAAATGGAATTTAGTCCCCCCCCCCATAGAGAGCTGTTCTTCAAACGTTTAGCCTTAATACAGTGGCTGATGTAATACCCTTCTGCTTCACTAGGCATTTTATATAGGGACATTAAAATTGATTTTCTACATCTTGGCAGATGAAAAAAAGTGTGTTACATGCCCTATTGCCCAAAAGTGTGCAAGCACAGAGCAAAGGTTGCAGTGACAGAGGTGGCCAAAAAAGAAATACCGTAAATAAAAAAGAAATCATACTTCGTATATCCTGTCTGTTTTATCCTTAATAGGGACTTTTATAAGCATGGATCCACAGGATCTTTGCATTGGGTCACCCCAAATTCACCATCAGATAACATAGCATGTCCATGGCTACAACCTGCACCAAAAAAATCACGCACCCACTGTTGCCTAGGGTCGCAGTGGTGCAAAAACGTGGTTACAAAGCATGGATCCACATGGATCCTCAGGATTTTTGCATTGGGCTACTCCAAACTCACTGTCAGATCACATGTCTGTGGCCACAGCATGAACCACAAAAATCATACATCCACTGTTTCATTTAGAATATTTTTTTTCTTGTTTTCCTCCTCTAAAAACTATGTGCGTGTTATGGTCTGGTGCGTGTTATAGAGCGAAAAATACGGTAGTCGAAATAAATAAAAAATTGTCCAGTAGCACTTTAGAGACCAACTAAGTTTGTTCTGGGTATAAGCTTTCGTGTGCATGCACACTTCTTCAGATACCACACAGAAAAGTCATCTTACATAATAAGACAAGTACAAAGTTTCCGAATAAAAAAAGGAAGGGAGCGTCGTACCTCTTTAGGAAAGCCACAGGTGCTGCAACGCTTCCTGCCCCAATGCAAACAGAAACAGACCCTCTAAAATTTAACAGGTGGAAAAGAGACTCAACCCAAATGACAATGTGCTTGGGAAGAAAGAGGCAGGGCAGCTCTGTAACGTTGCCGTTCTATGCACCCTTTCCAGGGAGGAAAGGATTCAGTGGGGCCTCATTCTGACCTAACCTGCAAAAGATGGAAAAGTAAGTTGTCTTCAGTGTATAAGTATCAATCCCATGTGCAGGCTGTTAGACAACAGTAGCTATTTGTGCTGGAAGTTATTTGGCAGAGTCAACTTTTCTAATTAACACCAAGAGAAGCACTTACCCAAAGTCATGTCCAAAATCCTAACTGGCATCCCAAAGGGTTACTTTAATAATTAAACATGATGAAATCTGGTAGGGTTTTTTCTTATGAGGTCAAACAGACAAGAGGATAAACCTCAAACACTGGCGTTAACAGCACAGATCCTAAGAGTGCAAACCCTGCAAGGAATCCATTAGCCTCCATAATTGCTTTGCAGCGAAATTAAGCAGCTATCAAGTCCAGAGTGAATTGTTGTTTATTTCATCACTGCCAAAAAGGAACATGTAATATTTTCCAGACCCTGAGCAGAGATGGAAAGCAGTGTATGTCTTAAAGCGACGAGCAAAGCAAATGTGGTTCAAATGGACCTTTGGGAAGTTGCCTCTAGAACAGAGTGTCTGATGATGTATGGGCTTGTTCCTTTTACATATAATCTGAGGCTGAGGTGTAGTGCCACAGGGTTGCGGGATGGGCTTAAAGTCCCATTTCTATTTCTGTGGCAGGGGCCCTGTTTCCAGCATCCTAGAGCCACCAGTCCAGCATGAAAGGAGAGCTTTTTAACCACTGAATGAGAAGCCCTCTCGCCCTTTTTGCTGATTGGAGTCAATGACGATGAAAGGAAGTGAGTCAGCCACAAAGGATTGACTCCTAGGGTCACTTTGGAGAAGACGTGCAGGAAGGACACCGAGAAGTCCTTCCGTATGCTCCAAAGCTAAGTATTAAAGAACACTGAAAACACAAGGTACGTTAGCTTCAGGAGAAGCGCCAAGGAAAACACAACTTAAATTACTCCGAAAGAAGATACTGGAGCACTCCAAATCATTTGCCCAATCATTACTGCAGGAAATAGCAGATTTAGCTTAAAAGCAGCACGTGGACATCTGCACTGAACTTTGCAATGCCTTGCTAATTATTCTTGTCTAATTATATTATTGTATGCTTTTAGAAGGCTGGATAATCTTAGAAGGGTGGGTGGCTGTGCAGGATTTTTCCTGTGTGAATGAACAATGTACAGTGGTGCCTCGCAAGACGAAATTAATTCGTTCCGCGAGTTTTGTCGTCTTGCGATTTTTTTCGTCTTGCGAAGCACGGTGTCGGGAAAGTTTTGGAAAAGCTTCAAAAATCACCAAAGTCTTTAAAAACCTCAAAAAAGGCTACCACACTATGAGTTCTATGAGTTGCTCCTCGAAGTCAAGTCGCAACTGTATTAACGGTGTTAAGAAAAAGGAAACAAACTTGCAAGACGTTTCCGTCTTGCGAAGCAAGCCCATAGGGAAAATCGTCTTGCGAAGCAGCTCAAAAAACAAAAAAACCTTTTGTCTAGCGAGTTTTTTGTCTTGCGAGGCATTTGTCTTGCGAGGTACCACTGTACATCTGAATTTGCTCCTACGCTACTGATCCAAGGCCATGCCCCCGTGGTAGAGTTCCTCCAGAGCAGGGGTCTGCAACCTTTAAGACAAAAAGAGCCACTTGGACCCGTTTTCGAAGAAAAAACAACAGCTGGGAGCCGCAAAACAAGCCAAATGTAAATAACCACACATTCTTCCCCTTCCCCCATTCTCTCTCTTTTCCCTGAGTCTATTTCAGATAGCAAAGAGGGGAATGGTACCTCTCATATCCATTTTTTGCAAAGCACCATGTGCATAGAGGGCATTATACAAATTAATACATAGAAAAGTGTCTGTCCCTCCCTGCAGTTCAACTCCCTCTCTTTTTACTAAAAGCACATATCCATTCCTTCTGCTGGTGCAACTTTCTCATCATTTCTACATAGCAGCATTTATAAACCAGTGCCAGAGAAACTGGGTGAAAGGAAGGTGAGAGGGAAGAGATATGAATATTTATGTGTGTATATGTATACATACATACACCTACACAATTACAGGTTTGAAGCCAACTTAAAATAAAAAGAGCTGGTAAGCAAAGGAATCTGTGGTGCTTTCCATGGGACCAGGGGACATGTCAGCTAATACTCTTCCCTTTCTTCTTCATTTGCTTGTCTCTGCAGCAAATCTCGAGGGGGAAGGGAGAAGGGCAGGAATTGCATAGGCACGAGAGAACGGGGAAATCCCGCATGCAGGATTTTGGTGCCTAACAGCTCCCCCTCCCTCTGCAATTGCTCTCGTGCTCCCCCGCCTCTCCTGCTGGCTACCTCTGGACCCCCTCCTCCCTCAACTCGGCGGCCACTCAGAAGCAAGGCACAGAAAAGGATCCCGAAGCACCACCGCCACCCCTCTCTCTCTCTCTCTCTCTCACACACACACACACACACACACACACACCCCACCCCGCCATTTCCCTCGAGCGTGTGTGCGCTCTCTCCCTCGCCTCAGGTGCCTCGCGTGCGGGGCTGAGGAGAGCGTGGCCTGGGTGGGCGGCTCTCAACGTCAAGCGGCGCAGCGCGCGGGGCCTGAGGGCGGGCGGGCTGCTGCGACCGACGGCGAAAGGGAGCGCGCCTGCTTGTGGACGCGCCCGTGTGGCAGGTGCCAGCGGTGGCAGTGGCAACAGTGTCCACCTGAAGGGAGAACCGCCGCTGCGCCCTGGCGCGCCTTCCTGCCGCCGCCCTCCTCCTCTTCTTCTTCGCTCCCTGCACCATGAGGGAAGAGGCGCCCCGGAGCCGCAGCAAAGGTTTAAAGGAGCCACATGCGGCTCCGGAGCCGCAGGTTGCCGACCTCTGCTCCAGAGAAACCTGTTTAGTGATCATTCCTCCCAGTTTGCTATCAGGAAGCTTACATGCTGGTTAGACTATATCTGGTACAGTATTTACTGAGTATTTGTCCTGCCATACACGACAACGGGTATTCCTCTTGATCTGTATCTGTGGTGTTTATACATCTTCCCACTAATCATATGTTCATTCCACACTGTTCAGTGCATTTGCCCATCCTTTTTTCATTTTCTTTTAAAAAGTGAATTTGCTGTGTATGTTCACCCACTTTAACTGCACATGCTTAAACATCTGGCATGAATGCCTCCTACAAAACATCTGGAGTTCCCCAGTTTTTTAAATAGGGCTGCAACTGCATTAAGAACCCATTGATACCTCCAAAGTGCAGAAGCCCTGTAAAATTTCTGTTCAACTTGCCTAAGAGCAGAATAGCTGAAGGACTACTTGCCCTCACATGGAGAATCATGTGGCTTTAGAAGCCGGAAGCAGCAGTTGCTGGTGCCCATGAGGACACTGAGACTACGGAGGGGGAACCTGACTGATGCACAGTGCCACCCCATCAACAGTCCCCATGGACCCCATACTGCAGTAGTCCAGCTTCCTAGGGCTGTCTCCACACTGCTTGCCCCCAAAGAATCCTGGGAACTGTAGTTTGTTAAGGGTGCTGGGAAAAGTAACTCTGCAATAGGTGAACTACAATTCCTAGGTGCTTTAAATGAACAAACCCACCCCATCTTATTCGTAACAACCGTTCAAATATTTGAAAACCTACTAAGAAGTCTCTTCATCTTCTCCTCTTCCAGCTAATCATACCCGGCTCTTTCAACCCTTTCTCATCTTGGTTCCGAGACCCCATAGCATACTCCAGACATGCTCCCTTTTCTTCATAAAATGTGGCCCACAGGACCAGCCCAAGACATAATGGCACGTGAGATGAACCACAAAACGGCAGTTCCGCTTCCCTGCCAGGCGCAGGTGCCTGGTTCTGCCTAGCTTTGGAAGGGGGCAGCATCCGTGTGTGACATCGCGTGCATGATGCGCATGCACGCAGTGGGAGGAGGCTGTGAGGCCCGCCACAGCTGCAGGGAGGCCCCGCACGGCCCAACAGGACCCCACTGCAGAGAGGCCTGACGAGGCCAAGCCCCTCAAGACGGGGGGGGGGGGGGGCTCAGCCCAGAGTTGGCGCCTATGCCTCCAGGGAAGATGGGGTGACCTAAGGTCTACATCTGGAACATGAGGGTGGGGGGACAGAGACCTGCATCTGGATCTGTTGCCCCGACTGAGGCGGTGGCCTTAACTTCCCTTATAGGCAGGGCTGTCTCAAGCATATGCGGTGCCAGGGTGCAAAGATCCGCCTGGCGCCCCCCCAGTCCCAGGAGTGCAGGAGGGCGGAGCTGGCCGGCCGCCTCAGCGTCTTGCTGGCTGCCCCCAAACTTGAGGCCCAGCGCTCCGACGGGTGGGCTCTTCCCCAGACTCAACTCTCGGGCCCCGGGCTCTCGGCCTGGTGCCCGGCACCCCTAGCACCTATGGGTGCGCTGGCTCTGCTTATGGGTGCACCAGCCCTGTCCAGACGCAGCACAGGTGAACCTGGTTGCCACCACCAGCGCAGAGCGCAAGACAACGTTGGGCGATCTGGTCCCAAAGCTTCCGCTGATGGAGAAATGGCACATGGGCATAGCCAGGGGGGGCAGCTGCCCCCCCAATCAGTAAAAATCAATATAAATCTGTGGTTCCTTCCCCCCAACAAAAGCCTGCCCCCCCCAACAAAATCCTGGCCACGCCCATGGGCAGCTCCCTCCAAATCAATGAAATCAATACAAACACTTCACTATGTGAGGTTCTGCTCCCCCTAACATAAAGCCTGCCCCCCCTTACCTAAATCCTGCCTACGCCCATGAAACTGCATGGGCTTTTGCAGCAGCAGCTGCAGCAGCAAGGAGCATCGTGCCCCGCGCCGCCCCTTCCCTTTCCACCCCCGCGCAGGCTTGCCGGAAGAGTGCGGCTGGGCTTACTCGGAAGTAAGTCCCCCGGCCCGTCTCCCCTGCGCGCCCCGCCCTCTCCTCCTCCCCCCAGAGGAGGCGGGGCTGGCCAGGCAGGAGGGCGGCGCGCGGCTCCCGGGCCGCACGAGCGGAGATGCGGCGGGTCCCGCGGGCGGGGCTGGCGCTGCTGCTGCTGGAAGTGGGGGTGCGCGCCGCGCTGCTGGGGCTCTTCCTGTGAGTGCAAAAGCGGGTCGGGATGGGGGGGGCGGGTCGCGAGGGAGGCGCGCAAGGCGCGGGCCTGGCACCCCCGGGAAAGAGGATGCGGGGAGATCTCTCTCTCTCTCTCTGCCGCAATGCACGCAGCAGGGAGCTTCCTTTTGAAAGCAACGCGGCGGTGCAGCAGAAGGCCAGCTGGGCGATGCGCAGGAGAGGTGCCTCCCTCTGCCCCTCCTCGCCTAAGGAGGTGAGAGCCAGGCCTGTCGGCGCCGCGTTTGGGGCATGGAGTGGTACGCGATATGCGGCCCCCGGAGGACACCCTGGCACGTCTGGTCGTCGGTATCTGCCTGTGCATATTGTGTGGCTCGCAGGAGCTGGAAAGAAAATCCGCCCCTTTGCGCCCCAGAGATGCCTGCCCTGCTGCGCGGCGTGTACTGTATGGGCCAAGGGCCCCAGACGATGTCCTCCTTCATCTCTAGGTCTACATGCCTCTGGTGCAGGTTTCGTAACATAAGGGAATGGGAAGCTGCCTTCTGCAGAATCGGGCCCTTGGCTCAGCTCAGTTTGCCAACCCTGACAAGCCCACCTCAGCTCAGTTTGCCAACCCTGACTGGCAGCAGCTCTCCAGTTTTTCAGGCAGGGGTATCTGGCTGGAGATGATGGGGAATCTCCCTTCAAGGTGGACGCCATACTAGTACAGAGGTACCTCGGGTTACAGATGCTTCAGGTTACAGACGCTTCAGGTTACAGACTCCACTAACTCAGAAATATTACCTCGGGTTAAGAACTTTGCTTCAGGATGAGAACAGAAATTCCTTGGCAGCAGTGGGAGGCCCCATTAGCTAAAGTGGTGCTTCAGGTTAAGAACAGTTTCAGGTTAAGAACGGACCTCCAGAACGAATTAAGTACTTAACCCGAGGTACCACTGTATTCAGGAAAAGCCTCCTTATATCTACAACACACTCCTGGCTCTAATTCCTGCTGTTCTTGATATTTCCCCAGTGCATGGGAAATATCGCCAGAGGCTCTGTCCGACACACCCCTTTCCACATGGTTCCTTCACAGGGGGTATAACACAGGGGTCTGCGGGAAGCAGCCTTTTACTGAGTCAGACCATAGCACCATTGAGCTTAGTGTTGCCTACCCTGACTGGCAACAACTCCCCAGAAAATGCCAGTGTGAAGCAGCTGATATGGCAAGACCTGCTAGCAGCACCTGGTCAGCTGACGTTCCCCCACCCCTTGTGTTGACACAATGAGAGGAGTAGCTGCTCCTGTGTTTGGCCAGTGCTGTTGCCGCTTGTCTGACATTTGGACTGACAGGAGTCCAAGGCTGATGTGTTCTTTTTGGATTCGGCTCCAGAGACGCAGGGGTAGGGCTGTTCTGCTCTGCACTTGTAATGATGAAATGGTTCCACTCACCATTGTTTAAATAATTCTGCCCAGGCTTTTACTGTAGGGAGAGCCCTGCCTCTCCAAGCAGCCCCATCTTTTCTCTCTAGCTAGGCTGTTGAAAATGAACCCCTGTTCCCGTTGATCTCACAGATGCCTCAACTTTTAAAATCAGTTTCTGGTTCATGCCCACGAGAAAAGAGAGAGGAGTTGCTATTTTGCAATGAATCAAAGCAGACTCCGAGGGCTTTCCCTTGCGCTAGGACAAAGCACATGTTTTAACCCTCACGTAACTCTCAAGCCTGGTCCAACACTATTTTATGTATTGAAACTCCAATTTCAAAAAACCGTGGGAGAGATGAAAAGTATCCCTTGTTCGTTCCAGTTGTTTTAACTGGTTTTAGATTTGTATTTCTACATGGTTGTAGGACCTGGGAGCTTATGGTGAAGAGCAGGCAATTATTATAATCATCATCATTGTCATCATTATTGTTAATAGTCCTGTTGCAGAGAATATCCAAGAGGAGCCCATGCTAACTTGGTTAATTTCATTGCACGCACCAGTTTTAAGAGCAAAGGATTGGCCAGGGTGGGTGAAGAGAGAATCACATGTTCACATATGCAAAATACTGCTCTTCACTTAGAATAGGGATAGGGGAACTGTGACTCTCCTGTTGCTCTTAGACTACAGTTCCCATCATTCCTGACCATTGGCTGTGCTGACTTAGAGGTGGTCAGAGTTGGACTCAGCGACTCTCCTCATTCCTGACTTGGAAAACACAAAATGCATGGCTTCAAGGGGAAGTCATATAGACCCTATGCAACAAATAAGTAGAAAATATGAATTTATCATGTGTGCATGTGCACACACAGTCTTATCATTCAGACAGGCCTGAGAATGCTCAACGATCCAATGCTAATTTGCAGATTTCTGCAGGATCAGGGATATCAAGCCTGCTCAAAATTAATTGCTTAGAAACATAGCCACTCTCCCTGCCTTGAGAGGGCGTCCTCTCTCCTCACTTATATGAGATAAATGCACCCTCCAGGCTGCTGAAATCTGTAGTTCATAACCTGCAGAAATTCAGCTCTAGAGCTTGCACAGGTTATGGCCCTCTTATTAACCACTGTGTAGGTCAGAGGTGGGGCAGAGTCCCTTATATGTGTGCGCATACAGTGGGGAAAGCATGCCTTGAAATTTATCGTTTGTTTATTTAATGTGCTTACACACTGACTTTTGTCACAGGTGACTTCAAAGCAGTATTAAAAAAAAATCATATTGACTCCAAATCACAGAGCACAATTAAGATAACGGTAAAACATCATCAATATCAATACTAAAACCACAAAGCAGACTCAAGACTCAGAATCAGTTTTACCAAATCTGCAGCAAAACAAAAGGGCTGCGAACTCCCAACAAACTCATGGCTGTCCATGCCTAGAGGAGGAGGGTGTTCCAGGACTGGGGCACCTCTGCCACGCTGGAGACATTTGGTTTTTCCTCTCCTCCCTCTCCATACCCATCCTGCCTGGATTGGCATTCCATGAATCCAGTCCTCTGGTCGCAGGGAGCCAAATGGAGGTCAACTCAGTGACTGGCTGCCTGTTCCTCATATGACTGGAGCTCCTGTATTATTTGTGGTTATTTGGAATTTTGGTTTCTTTACGAAAACAATTTGATATTTCAAGTGATAATTGTAGACCGCTTTGAAAATGCCTGATGGAAATGGTTGCATGATTCTTGTTCCTCAGATCTCCCTGTGACCATATTGGGAGGAAACCCCAGCACTGGCCTTCTGCTTCTTCTTTAAAATCACCAACACCCAAGAGGTGTTCACACATGGCATCCAAGGGGTGCACAGTCTGCGTGGACAAGGGTTATACACACTTAACGTGTGCGTGGAGGCGGCTTGTACCTGTGTCCAGTGTATTGTGCAAACGAGCCTTTTAGTCCTTGGGTTGTGCTTCCTCTCTAGGTTCACTGAGCTGCTGCCTCCTTCCAGAGAGTCATACAGCCGGAAGAAATGTGGCTTTATAAAAACCCCTATGTGGAGTCCGACCATGTACCCGCTAAGCCCATGTTTGTAAGTATTCGTTCATGCCAGCCGTCTTGTACAGTTTAGGCTGTGCTTGTAGTTACGTGTCCTTTGCAGGCAGATGCCGCTTCAGATTTGTCTCCAGTGCGTGGTACGTTCGGTGAAGCACACATCTATGTAAGGGTTAGTCAGTGGGATGCCCTCCAGATGTTGTGGATTGCAATTCCTATCATCATCACCATCACCATTTTATTATATTTAATAATCATCACCAGAAGCTTTTCTTTTGGGAATTAAAAGGACAGAACTACCTAAACCATGGGTAGGCAAACTAAGGCCCGGGGGCCGTATCCGACCCAATCGCCTTCTAAATCCAGCCCGCAGACGGTCGAGGAATCAGCATGTTTTTACATGAGTAGAATGTGTGCTTTTATTTAAAATGCATCTCTGGGTTATTTGTGGGGCATAGGAATTTATTATTTCTTTTCCCCCAAAAATATAGTCTGGCCCTCCACAAGGTCTCATGGACAGTGGACCGCCCCCCTGCTGAAAAAGTTTGCTGACTCCCTGACCTAAACTGTATAGAAATTTATTCCTGTATATGACTAAAAAAAAAGGTAAAGGTACCCCGACCTTTAAGGTCAGGGGTCCCTTTACCCTACCCCTAACTGTAAGGTCCAGCCGCAGACGACTCTGGGGTTGCGCGCTCATCTCGCTCTATAGGCCGAGAGAGCCAGTGTTTGTCTGCAGACAGCTTCCGGGTCATGTGGCCAGCATGACTAAGCCGCTTCTGTTGAACCAGAGCAGTGCATGGAAATGCTGTTTACCTTCCTGCTGGAGCGGTACCTATTTATCTACTTGCACTTTGACGTGCTTTCGAACTGCTAGGTGGGCAGGAGCTGGGACTGAGCAACGGGAGCTCACCCCGTCGCGGGGATTTGAACCGCCAACCTTTTGATCAGCAAGCCCTAAGCTCTGTGGTTTAGACCACAGCACCACCCGTGTCCCATATGTATGTGACTACAACGGCAATAATGTTACTCACCCCAAAATGGAAAGAAACAAATCCCAGCGAAGGAAGAATGGATACAAAAACTTAATGGAATATGCAGAAATGATGGAACTTACCGGAAGAATGAGAAATCAAGATAACAAACTTTTTATAAAAGAATGGAAATGGTTTATTGAATATTTACAGATAAATTGTAAAAAGATAAGAACATTGGCAGGATTGTTGTAATAACCTGCAGTTCTATAAGAGTATATATTTATAGCAGATGAATAAATGAGCAAATTAAGTTAATTTGGACATGCAGAAGATATTAAATAAGGAACCACAGAAAGCAAGGGAAGGAAGTCAAGTTTTGAAATGTTAAAATGATTGTAAAATGAAATGAAAAAATGAAATTGAAAGCATGAATAAAATAATAATAAATAAAATAATAATAATAGTCATCATCATCATCCCTGGGCATTGACCATGCTGACTGGTACTGATGGGAGTTCCTCTTAGTCCCCTTGGACATAGGATTACAGCCTTAATCTAGGAACTCTTCCTAACTGGACTTGATGACGTATGAGGTCTTTTCCCCAATAGGTAAGGGGTGGGGATCCTGTCTCCCTCCCAAAGTCGCTTGATTACAAGTCTCGTCATCCCTGACCATCGGCCATGCTGCTTGTTGTGGATGGGGGATAGGGTCCAAAACACTTCGTGGAACCATGAGATTGTAGCGTTGGGAGAGACCTTGATGGTCATCCATTCCAACCCCCTGCAATCCCTCTGCTCCAAGGATCTCCTATAAGCTGGAGAGTCTTAAATACCTTAGTAATTTAGTTAATACTGAATATTGACTACAATCACAATGTTTAATTGATTAAAATGAACTGTTTTCTCTTGATTTATCAGGCAACATAAATTTGAATATAGTACTTATAAAAATTGTGGGTGGCAAGCACCTTTTTCCTTGATAGGTTGTATCCAACGAAGATCTACCCAGAATAGACCCTGTGAACTTCATGAGCATAATTTAGGCCTGTCCATTATTTTCAATGGGTCTCTTCTAATGCTGGATACAACCCTATAGTTTTGTTGTTGCTCTTACAGCGCTGCTGACTCTATTTCTTGTCTCTTCCCATCTCGTTCCAGGTCATTTCCTTTTTGTCTCCCCTGATCTTGATTCTACTGGCGAAATTCTTCATGAACGCGGACCAAGAGGATACACGGGAAGCCTGCTTAGGTGAATACATCTTTGCACACCGCGGTTGAACTATGGGGTTTGCTCCCACAAGATGTAGCCCTGGCCACCAACTTGAACAGCTTTGAAAGGGGGGCTATACACATTCACAGCGGATAAAGCTATATGTGGCTGCTAGTCACAAGGACCTTGTATTGCCTGCAGTGTCAAACCCAGTACTCGTTTCTGGGACAGGAGAGTGTTTTTGGGCTCATATCCTGCTTATGAGTTCCCTTAGACATCTGGATGGGCAGAAACAAGATGCTAGATTTGAGGGGTCCTTTGTCTGATTTAGCAAGTCTCCAGACCCACTTGTCTACGGGACTGCCTCTCCTGGTACGCCCCACAGAGGACCTTAAGGTCCATGAATAACCATAGTTTAGAGGTCCCGGGCCCTAAGGAAGTCAGACTATCCTCCACCAGGGCCAGGGCCTTTATTATAATTATTATTATCATTATTATTCATACCAGCCCCATCACTGAAGTCCTGAGCTAAAATTTGTGCAGTGGGGCTTTCCCTCCCATCCCCATCCATTCCTCCCAGGAGAAGGAGAGGGGGAATCTCTCTCTCTCTCTCTGACAAACTACAATCCTTGTGCAGATGGAATGATGGGAAGACCATGGCTTGAATTCCATGATTGTGTTTTACCTTTGCAATAATTCTCCCCCTTAAGACAGCCCTCTCGCCACAACATTTCTGACAATGAGCCTGACTAGGGTTGAATCAGTAAAGACGATGGGCTCTTCCTTCTTCTTTCCTCCAGGTGCCAGCCTGGCTCTTACCCTGAATGGTGTCTTTACCAATGCTGTGAAGCTGGCCGTGGGCAGGTGAGATCCTGTTTCTCCTTGTGTGTGTTTGTTCTAGTCCTTTCTGTAGAGAGTGTATTTTTGCATTTTGACTGCCGGTTGCAGAAGGTTGGACCGGGCTGTCTGCGTTTCGGAATGAGATTCCATAAATATCCTGAGAGTGGCAGAGTAACATTTCAGACTGCAATGGGTTTGTCTCTGCCATTTTTGAATGCCCATCCTAAATGTGGAATAGTTCCCTAGTGCTAGAGAACATGGCACAATTTAGGTATTTATCTATTCATTACAACTCTTTCTGCACATATATACACAGTATATAATGCCCTCTTTCATTATGAGAAGTGCTACCATGGTGGTTCATATTGAGCAGAAAGGTTGCAGCACAGCATAGGGCCTGTCCTGCTAGTTTTCTACTTGCAGGGACATTCCCACCACCACCGATTCTATAGGGGAGTATTAAAAAAAAATGGTTGTATCCAACTAATTTCTACCCAGACTATAGAATCAAAGAATTGTAGAGTTTGAAAGGACCCTCTAGTCCAAACCCCTGCAATGCAGAAATTCTTTCCATAGCTATCCCTGGGTGGGCCCGAACCACAAACCTTCTGGTTCACAGCCAGACACATTGAGTAGGCCTATTGAAATGGATAGACAGGCTAACTTAGGTCCAACTCTGGATTTAGATGGGTCTACTCTGAGTGGAAATTAGTGGGTCTACTCTGAGCATGGCTGACATTGGATACAATCCATGATTTTCCTCCACGCCGATCCAGTAAGCCACCTCAGGATTCTGCTATCACTTGTCACCTAGTTCTGCTCTATGGATAAGCCAGGCAGTCTGTTTCCTAGTAAACGTGGCTCCTGAAATCCCATTTGCCTTCTGTTCTTTCATCTTTCTTTCTTAGCTGCTTCTAGGCTACTGCCTGGAGACTAGAGAATGAAAAGGCAGGGTTAGGCTGGGCAGGGGTCTCCTAGATGTTGCTGGACTCCGGCTCTCATCCTCTCTCAGCATGGTCCATGCTGGCTGGAGGTGATAGGAGTTGGGATTTGGCATTTATGTCCTCTGCTGCTGCTGCCTTCTCCAGAGCAATTTTCAGCCAAGCAAAGGCCGTTACTTGCAAGACGCCAAGATGGGTTATGGAAGGACCAGTAGTTGTGGTCAGGTTGTGGAGCACAGCGTTAGATTTCGCCTTGCTTCTTCCTCTCCACACTTATCGTTCAGAGCCCCACGCTTTGCGTCTCTTCCTCACTCCAGGCCTCGACCGGACTTCTTCTACCGCTGCTTCCCAGATGGCCGGGAAACCCTTCAGCTGCTGTGCACGGGGGACGCGCAAATAGTGACCGAGGGGCGCAAGAGCTTCCCCAGTGGACATTCTTCTTGTGAGTGCGCAAGCTGTCTCGTTTGGGGGCTGCAGCCGAGGTGGGAAGCACCAAATGGGGAGATGGGATGGATCCAGGGTGAGTTCAAGGCAGCCATGCACAGATCTCTCCAGGGTGCATCTGCAGAGAGGCTTTTTTTGTGAGTCGAAGAGTGTCCTGGCTACAACCATATGATACACTTGCAGCATTATAAGTCCCCATGACGGCTCCTCTGCCCCATCTCCACCCCTGCAAACAGGTGATCTTCATGGTTCCTGCTTTGCTTGATCTCCACCCCTACCCATGCTATCTCCAAAGACTGCTCGTTCGCCCGATCCCCAACCCACACAAACCCCAAGCATTGCTCCTTCACCCGATCTCCAGCATGCGCAAGATCCCCAAAGACTGTTCCTTTCCTCCATCTCCACCCTTCCACCGGCACAATCCCTAAAGACAGCTCCTTTGCTCATCTCTACCCCACCGATGCAATCTCAAAAGACTGTTCAGTTGCTCAATCCACATCATGCGATCCCCAAAGTTGCTGCTTTACCCAATCTCCACCCTCACCCATACAATTCTTGGCCCATCCCCCCCACCAACCTGATCACCAAAGATTGCCCAGTCCCCACAAGTGCAATCCTCAAATACGGCTCCCATTTGTAGCCTCCACATGTGCCATCCTCAAATATTGCTCCGATCTCCACCCCCCATCGTGATCTCTAAAGACTACTCCTATGTCCAATCTCCAACCCCTCACGCACACTGTACCCAAATACTGCTGCTTCACCTGAGCTCCACACACACACTCCCCAATTTGTGCAGTAAAAAGGTGAAGGTAAAGGTACCCCTGACCGTTAGGTCCAGTCGCGGACGACTCTGGGGTTGCATGCTCATCTCACTCAATAGGCCGAAGGAGCCGGCGTTTGTCTGCAGACAGCTTCCAGGTCATGTGGCCAGCATGACTAAGCTGCTTCTGGTGAACCAGAGCAGCGCACGGAAACGCCGTTTACCTTCCCGCCGGAGTGGTACCTATTTATCTACTTGCACTTTGACGTGCTTTCGAACTGCTAGGTGGGCAGGAGCTGGGACCGAGCAACGGGAGCTCACCCCGTCGCGGGGATTCGAACCGCTGACCTACAGATCGGCAACCCCTAGGCTCTGTGGTTTAGACCACAGCACCACCCGCGTCCCCCAATCTGTGCAGTGCAATCTCCAAAATCTGCTCTGTCGTCTGCTCCGTCACCCGATCTCCACCCCCCAATCCCCAAATACTGCTCCTTTGCTTGATGTCCACCCCCACCCCACACAACATGCCTATTAATATACAAGCCTGAGTTTCCCCTTCCACTGCTCTCTGTCTTTATTCCTCCCGCTGCCCTCATCCACCCCCTTCCCCCTTCTCTGCAACTGGAACAACTTAATCATCTCCCTCACTGACAGTGAACTCTCAGCTGACCGGAGCCTGCAGCCAGCCACCAGACCAATACACCTGATCCAGGCCTTGCCTAGTAAAATCTTAAAGCGATCACATTTCCTCTGTTAGAAGCTGTCACCACAGCTCTTTGCAGTCACAAAATGTTTCTTCAAGACTTGGAGCAAAACGAACCACAAAAGAGAGTTTCTCTACAGACTCCAACTCCCATCGTGCTTGACCATTGGCCATGCTGACTGGGGCTGCTGGGAGCTGGTCTCCCTGTTGGCTTCCGCTGCTCTGAATGTTCCCCTCAATGTGGGTCACCTGAGAGCCTGTTCCATTGAAGTCAACAGGACTAACTTTTGAGTCCTCTTGTATAGTGTTGCCTTGCCAAGGCATTGCCCACCTTCTGAGCTCAGCCTCTGCTATATCTTGCCAAGAGATCAGGGACTATTAGTTCCTCAGGTGTTTATGGATCTGTCGCTGATGTTAGCGGGGACTCTTTGCCTTGCTGGGTCTTGCAGTGATCATTCCTCTCTTCCAGTTGCCTTTGCCGGCCTCGCCTTTGGCTCCTTCTACATCGCAGGGAAGCTCCACTGCTTTGCGCCTGGTGGGCGTGGGCAGTCCTGGCGCCTCTGTGCCTTCTTGGCGCCCCTCTTCGTGGCGATGCTCATTGCTTTATCCCGCACCTGCGATTACAAGCATCACTGGCAAGGTGAGTGAGAAGTTGATGGAGAAGTGAGCCACGAAGATGGCAAGTGGCTGTCTTCCTGTGGCTAACCTGTGATGTTGCTTGACTACAATTCCCATCAGTTGTAGCCAATGGGCAGTAGTCAAGGAGGATGGGAGTTGTAGTCCAGCAACCCCTGGAAGGCTTCAGGATCCCCCAACCCTGGAGTAATGGGTGGAGGTTGGCTGTACTCCCTCCTTAAGTGCATGCCTGTGTCCAAGCCAGGGTTTGGAACAGGATAGAGGGCCGAATCCCCTCCTGCCCATTACAGGATTTTTACTCCACATATTCCTCTGGGGGGAAAAACAGCTGACAGATGTCAGGAATCCCTTGGTCCCTGCCTTCAGGCTTACTGTGTAAATGACACAGCACACAGGGAAAAGTGATTGGGAGGGAGGAGGGGAGAAGCAAGCTATGGCACCGGTTCTTAGAGCAGCAGCCATTTGCTCTTGCCACTGCTGGACTTCTGGGTTTTCCCTCCCTGGCACCGTTAGATGAGCTGCATATCTGACCAAGCATGGTGCTATATTGTATTTTTCCATTCATTCATTTGGAGAGGAAGCATAGGCCAGTGGCAGAGCACATGGCTTTGTATGCAGAACATTCCCTGCTCAGTCACTGGTATTTCCAGTTTAAAAGGCAGGTAGCAGGTGATAGGAATGACCTCCCTCCGCTTGAAGCCTTGTAGAGCTTCTACCGGTCAGAGTCGACAATTCTGGGTTAGATGAACAAATGGGCCGAACCGGTATAAGGCAGCTTCCCCTATGACGAAGGAAGAGCATTGCTTTGCATGCAGAAGGTCCCAGGTTCCATCCCTGGCAATGGACAGGGAATGTCCCATCTGAAACTCTGGAAAGCCACTGCCAGTCAGGGTCAGGAATACTGAGCTAGATGGACCAGGAGTCTGACTCTGTATGAGGCAATTTCCTACTCTTCTCCCTACACATGGAGAGGATAGGAGCAGTGTTCTGTGCTGTTGCTAGCCAGCTCCAAGCTGAAACAATCTCTGCATTTTTTCCTCTTTGTGTTTTCTTCCCAAGATGTGCTGGTTGGTTCAGGAATGGGCCTTGCATTTGCCTACCTGTGCTACAGACAGCATTACCCTCCTCTGACGGATCCCGAGTGCCATCAGCCGCTGCAGCGCAAATCCAGGTTCTCTGCCCCAGAGAGACAAAAGCTGACAGTCTCTGGTTTCAGCCTCGATGTATAAAGACCTCAGGATCCCCACCTGCATGCCCTGGGAAAAGGAGGGAGGCCACAGCCTTCGGTGTTACTTGGTGCCTGGAGGAGGAGTGCGGTTGGATCACACCATTTTTAAAAGCCAGCTGGGGCTTTGAGATCTGCTCTGGCCCTACCAGTCTGATTACACAGGGAGCTAGGGAACAGTGCTGGGCATTGCATGGCAATTCTGGAGGCAATTCTCTCCTACTAGGCAGCAGGGCCTGGACCAATCGCATTTCCAGTCCAGCCCATGCCACTCTTAATAACGCAGTTGCCCTAAGTCAAAAGGCAATCTGGTCCAGTCCTTTGCTGTAAGGCAAAACCATCACCTGCCGCTCGCCTCCACACAGATCATCAGAGCGCCATCCCAGCCAGGGTGTCTCTCCTGCACTGAACACCACTCCCTTAAACATGACCCACATTTTATTGACCAGCAGTGGGACACGCTCCCTCCCATTTATTCTGGATGGAGGAGAGCTGCTGAGAGGTTCTCTCTGTGAAAGGGTGTGGTGATGCCTTTCCCCCCCTCACGGATGAAAGAAGGCACGCCAACACGATTTTGGGGTCTTGCCTCTTTCTCTGCCCTTTTGTGTTATGCCACACCCAGTGACAACCATATTGGGACCAGAGTTGGTGGCACATTGCAAAAATTTCAGATGAGCTCACTGGGCCCTGAAAGTTTGGTGACCTCTTCTTTAGCGTAGACAGGGTCCCTGGTCGGTTTTCTGCCCTTCCAGCTACCTCCAGGCTTTCCCCATTCAACCTGTACATTCCCCACACAGGTCGGCTGGCTTTTATGTTCAGAAGCCTAGCAAGCCTAAAAGCGTGTAGGAGCAGAAGCATTTCTGGATCTGAGCCCACCTCCTTCATCAGATGCATGGAATGTTACCCTCAGCTGGTGGGGTGTACGGTTCTTGGGGAAGCGGCATGCAGCTTAGTTGGAGAGCATCTTCCTTGCATGCAGAAGGTGCAGGATCAGCTCCTGGTGTCTCCAGGTGCAGCTGGGAAACAGCACCTGCCTGAGACCCTGGGAAGCCACAGCAGGTCAGTGAAGACCTCAGCTAGAGGGACCCAATGATCTGACTTGGTATAAGGCAGCTTCCTATGTCTCTATAGTCCTCTCTCATATATACAAATGAGAGCCTGTCAGTTGAACCTCAAGCATGTCTACTTAGAAGTAAGTCCCTCCCAGTTCACAGGTGTTTACTCACCAGTGAGCGTGTTTAGGATTGCAGTTGAGAGCAGAGCAAGACACTTTTGGGGCAGAGTTGCAGCTAATGCATGTATGATGCAATGGACTAATGAATGAAAGTTCCTGCCATGATGCATTTGATACCGTTTTTGGTACCAGAAGACTCTCTCTCCCTTTTTTTGCTGCAGCAGATAAGCCCCGTTTGCCCCTCTGCTACTCAGAAGTATCTGCTCCTTTGACCTCCTGGAAAAGCAGGTTCTATGCTGTGCAGACCAGCTCTTCCTTAGATGGATGTGCATATTCCAGAGGATGGGTGCAGAGAGATGCAGCCTGGCGCCCTGAGAACTGCAGCTTCTATTCTGAAAAAGGCAATTGTGTCCCTAGAGCTAGGAAGAAAAGCATAGAAGCTTTTTATCTGTTGTCCACTTAGAAAATCAAACAGTGCCCCTTGTGGCCTTTAGGTGGGCAGGGCTTCAATATACTCCTGGTTTTAGACAGGTGGGGAACTTGTAGCCCTTCAGATGTTGGACTACATTGGCCACTATTCCTGACCAATGGTCATTCTGGCCAGGGCTGAGGGGAGTCCAGCAACATCTGGAGGGCCACAGACTCCCCATTCCTGCTTTAGGCTGTGGCGAGTATTTCCACCACCCTCACTGCACATCCATCCTGATTTTCCACATTTCCTTCCCTTGATCCCAGCCCTGAAAAATCTAGACTATGAAAACCTGAGTCTTAGCAACATTAACTTATTATATAGAATGTGGGTAATTTATTCTAAATGTCAAATGTTCACTTTTTCAGTGTAGAGTCAATTCTGCTTTTATCAGGTCATTGCAGACTATGGACTCCAGGCTTGTAGTGATGTCTGGAACTTTACCGTGAGAAAATCATGTTCTTTATCTGTTAATGTTTTATCTTCCTAGTAGCATATCTTGATTTCAACAAGATTCCCCATAATATTCTTGTTGACATATTGGTAAAATGTAGGCTAGATGATGCTACTGTTGGAAAACAAGCCTTAACGGGAGAGGTTGGCAGCTCTCCCAGCTCCCTGAGCTTGTTTACCGGTGACCTCCCTGGCTGCAAGTCCAGGGTAGATCTCGATAGGCGACATTTCCCAGCGTGGAAAATGCACACCCACTTCTCCCCCTTCGCAGGGGAAAGAAGAGTAGTCAGAAAGTCCTTTTACATCATGTTTATTTCTGACCGTACAAACTCTACAAGAAAACACATCCGATCACTTCAGTCTCCTTCAAGCAAGTCACTAAGAGTTCCTTTACAAATGCAACAGGAAGGTCTCATATTACACACAGAACACAGCTTTGCAAAGTCTGTGAACTTCCGGGAAGATTCTTTCCCACAGCTAGTCGTATCACATGATGTCAACAAGCTGGCTGTTTGCAGCTGCGATGTTCTCATATTGTAACAGCTACTGTTGGGTGGATTTGTAGCTGCTTGACAAACTTTACCCAAAGGGTGCCCATCAATGACTCCTTGTTCATCTGGAAAGAAGTGATGTGTGGGGTTCTGTCCTGTTCTGTTATTTGACACCTTTATCAATGAGTTGGGCAAAGGAGTGTAGGATCCTTATCAGATTTGCAGGTGACAGAGCTGCATGTAAAGTTCTGCATTAAGTTAGGAGGAATAAGGCATTCATATACAAGATGGGTGATGCCTGGTAAAAATGCAAAAGATTCAGGGATTTTAGTAGACCAGAAACTAAATGTGATCCCACAGTGTTGTACAGTATCTAAAAAGGCTAATACAGTAGTACCTCTGGTTACGTAACCCTCTGGTTACGTAAACTTCGGGATGCGAAAGCGGCAAACCCAGAAGTATTTGACAGGGTTTTGCCATGCGCGCATCTGCAGAAGCGGTCCTCAGGTTGCAGAAACCTTGGGATCCGACCAGACCTCCAGAACAGATCCAGTCTGCAACCGAAGGTACTACTGTACAATTCTGTTGCATCAACAGAAAGCTAATGTCCAGATTTCTGGAAGTAATAGTCTGATTTGCTCAGACATCAGTTACGGTACTGTGTCCAGTTCTGGGGTTTAACCAGGATATTGTTGAGCTGGACCATGTTCAAAGCAAGGTGACAAAGATGATGAGAGTCCTGGATATCAAGTCCTCTGAGAAAGGGGTGAAGAAGTTGAGTATATTTCCCCTACTCTCTGGACAGTACTATTTAGAGGCAATATGAGAGCCATTAATAAATACTTGAAGGCCCATCTCATAGGACGAGGGAGGGGAGAGTCCTCTGACCCTCCAGGTGTTAATTGAACTACAGCTTCCATCATCCCTGGTGATTGGCTGTGCTTCCTGGGGCTGATGGAAGTTGTAGTTAAGCAAGCAACATTGGGAGAGCCAAAACATTCCCACTCCTGACGTATAAGATGGAATGTGTTTTCTCACTTTTGCTTCAAAGGGTTGGCCCCGGACCAACAGGCTCAAATTCTCAGAAGGGTTTTTGACCAGCTAGCAGGAAGAACTTCTTGATGTTACAAGCTGCTTGACAGTGGAACAAACTGTCTTAGAAAGTGGTGGACTCTCGGGGGGCCACTAGGGACGCACTGGAAGATGGCCGACAATACCATCTCTCCGGACCACACGGGGTAATTAAGAGGCTGTTATGGGAGTAGGCAGCCTCCCTTGTTGCCCCAAGGGAATGGGGAACACTGCCCTTGCCTGCTGTGTCCATAAATCACCCCCAAATTCGAAAGAAGGGGGTGAGGGCACTAGGCAGAATGCCCCCGTGTGGACTCCGGCTCTCCTGGACGCTGTCTCTGATCGCGCACTAGCTGCAGCAATTTGGAATAATTAATTACAAAAGAAGCAAATGCACATATTTCAAGTGAAGAAGGGGAGTGAAGACTGCTAATAGAAGGGACCTCTATGAAAGAAGAGCGACGGGTTGGATCAACAGGAATATTTCACGAAGATACATCAAAGGCTGGGTATGTTGGCAACGGGACTGGATGGGGGGAAAACTTTTTTTCTTTTCCTCTATGTGATTAACCAAGAACCCCCCCCCCTCATTAGAACCGTCAGTTAACTGACCCAAGCAGGATGATTAAGGACTGTGTGGAAATGAATTTTAACCAAAAGTATGCTTTATGGAGATCGAGTAAAGAGCAAGAGCTTTTGGAATGGCGCAGCAATAAATACAGTCGCCATCTTAGCAGGTTTTTGCCGAAGGATTTATAACCGGGAGGAGGAATGGATTTGTTTTCAGACTGCATTCCTGGTGATTCTCCTCAGAAGTTTGAGAAAGGCGACAGTTTTGTGAAGATTAACGACGGTAAGACTGTTTTGATTTATGGAAGTGATGTTATACGGAAAATGTCTGGATATGGTTCTTGGATAAAAAAAATATCCACACAGGATTACAAACTGTTTTAACCCGCTTGTGGAGACTATCAGAGGTCACAAAGAGAAAGGAAAAATATATGAAAATAACAAGAAGAGATGTGGAAAAACAATAAGAAAGGACTGGATAGTACTGTGAACATCATATGGTCAGATTTGTGGACATTAAAGCAGCAGCAAGAAGATGATTGGATCCCCTTCGGAACAACAAAAATTTAAAATTCGGCTTTGTAATTTGGAATTTATGTAATTTGGTTTGATTTGATGTGATTGGTCGGTTAATAAAAATCATTCTAAAAAAAAGAAAGAAAGTGGTGGACTCTCATTCATTAGAGGTTGTTCAACAGAGGCTGGATGGCTTCCTGGGATGGATGTTGTTGCACCATAGATGATATTTGAGGGCCTAGCCAACTCTGTATGTTATAGCCAATTACGTTCCATTCAGAGTAGACCCACTGAAATCAATGTCCTAAGTTAATAATGCCCATTAACTTCAGTGGGTCTACTCTTAAGTAGGACTAGGATTGACTAAACCTTAGCAGTTTGCAAAAAATGAAACCCATTGACCCATTATAGTAGACTTTTGCAAAGAAGTGCCCCAAAATGACTACCTCTCAAATAAATCACTAACCTGTTCACCAACATAAACATCACACACAGTTGCATGTATACAACCTGCTGCTCTTTGCACCAGGATTTGTGGAACTGGGGCATAAACGCAACAGTAGCATTGCAAAAGACTCTTTAACAAGGTATCTCAAGGCTACTGTTTAAAATCAGCCTAAGAAGCAAAACTCAGGAGGTGCACAGTTGCTGTGAGCTCCCAAATTCACCTTCTGCAGCTTGCACCATTTGCAAGGTGGTTTGGGTGGCGGCTGTGATGAGGTCTCTGCGCAAGATCTCACTCTCAGTCTTTTGCTTCCTCCCCTTTGAAACCGCCTTGCGCAACAGCAGCTCTTAGGTGGCCAGCTGTCTACTTTGCATGTGCATGCGCCATCACACTGGTGTTCTTTCTCTTCCGTGGAGTTCAGGGGGAGCTGTATATAGCTGTGGACTTAACTGATTGTGACCCCTGCTCTCTCAGTGCTGGAGCTTGTCCTTCTTCAAACACGCACTGGCCTTCATCCAAGCCCACAGCTTTTGTTGGTTGGTGCCTGTGCTAGGATTCCGCTGTTGTTAAGTTGGTGTGCTTGGGACAGAGTCAGAAGTTTCTTAATGCTGAGAACAAGATGGCGGCACCATGACCACAGGCCGGTTCAACGCAGTTTCTCTGGGATTTGGGACCTTAAATCTGGAGAGCTTTCCAAATAGGTGTTTTACTTTCAGGGGACTTGGGATGGCATGGGAGAGACACCAGCAGCATAAACTGCCCTTTCTGCAGGGTGGGCATCCATCGGAATGCCCCCATAGAAGGGTTGGGGGAGAGGTGATTAGCACAAGGCTTCCCTCCCTCTCTACAGAAGTTGTTCCACAAGCAGAATGTCACCTTGCTGCTCTTTGTCATACTGGACGTGCCACATTTTCTGCTTGTTGTCACCCAAATAAAATGGTCCCCGCATACCCCTAAATAAGATAGCAGAAGGCCATAACTGGCATTTACCTGCATCAGGAATGGCAGGCTCCCAATGTCAATTGACCTTTCTGGCTGAGGCTGGTGGAAGCCCACCTACAGCAGAGCTGGCTGCCCAGATGTTGTTGAACTCTGGATGTGGGGCACATCCCCAAGCAGTGCCAAGTGCTTTTCTTTTCTTTTTACAGGGGTGATAATGGTTGTGGCTTCAAAAGACTATTTAAGGCAGGAATAGCCAACGTCGTGCTCTCCTGATGTTGCAGGACCACAACTTTCATCATCCTTGACCTGTTGGTCAGGCTGGCTTAGGCCGATGGGTGTTGCATCCCAACAACATCAGGAGGGAAGCACACAAGCTACTTCTGGTTTAAGCAAGGTAACAGTGGCAGGGAGATGGCAGCATTTCTGTGCAAAATGGCAACGACGCATAACATAGGCTAGCACATCAGTTGTCAGCTTGTGGTTTGGTACCCAAAACTGGGTCATGGGCAAATGAAGGGGACACAGTCTTCATTTTATTTTAAACCTCTTTTTAAGAGCAAAGAGACAAGCAAAAAGGCAGAACACACACACACACACCACACACACAGAGAGAGAGAGAGAGAGAGAGAGAGAGAGAAGGGGGAGAAAAGACAGGCATATATCTAGCTAATAAAAAAGAAGTTTCATCCAGCAGTTGGAGGTTAAAGGGAGGCCCCAGAACTAAAAATGTTGGGGGACACGGCGAAGGGAAAAAGAAAACGGGTGTCTCTAATGAAAGCAGTCGTGGTATTTTAGAAAGGTGATGAGTAATATTAAAATAGTACAGGAAAGTCTGGCTCAACCAGCCTCCTTTTTCCAACAGTCAGTCTTGGGTGACCTTGAGCCAGCCCCTAGCAGCCTAACCTACCTCAAAGGGTGGTTGTGAGGATAAAATCAGCCGGGATCATGTAAGCTCCTAGGAGGTAGAATAAAAATGTGATAAAAGGAGGAGGGGAGCAGAACGAAATAGTGGCCAAGCAGATGTCTCAGGAATACTCAAAACAATTTATAATGAATGGTGAGTTTTCCTCTGTTTACCCACGTGGGAATCTCAAGGTTTCACTCCCGTCATAGTTAAACCACTATCATTCCTGGTATGGGGCATTTTGGGGCAGTTAATTTTGTGCCTGCTTTGCAGATTGGGCTAGTCTGAACCATTAGTAGGTATGGAAGGATTGTTGCTGTGATAAAGATTATTTTACCTTCATTTTTCACATTTTGTACATTTTTAGAGGCCAAATCAATGGAGTTGTGTTCTCATTGTTTCACGGTTTTGTTTTTAAAACTGTCTAATAAAAATGCTAAAACCTCAAAAGAAAAAGCACGGCTGTCTCACTTCTTTGGTCCTCAGATTAGGACTAAATGGGACATGCGAGGCATTGCTGAATGTGAAACACTAACTTCTCGTTCTCCCTTACCTTGTGCACTCTGTAAAGTAGAAATACTTGCCATCTGTCTTTCATGTTACTCAAGAATGACTGCAAGGTGCTATAAACTCGGAAGCTATCAAACTGGAGCTCACAGAAAATATTTACTTCATTTTAGGCTTTCCCTTCAGATAGTTAAGACTGTAGTGTATGGCAGGGATTGGATTTGGCAAAGGAGGGATTAACTATAAGGTTACAATTCTGCACACTTACACCAGAACACGGCAGGACTTAAGTCCGAGCAAACATGCATCAGAAGAGTGCACTAAATGAGACTTTATAGCTTGCTCCTAACCTGTTTACTGACGTCTGTTTTTCACATTGTGCTCAACATGTTTTGCATTTACTGAGCTTAAACGGAACCCTATGTGTAATCTCTGGAAGAACAGTTGTGTTTCCTTATACAAAAGAAAAACTAAATTCATCATCCACACATTTCATTACCAAGTCTCTTTTTGGCCCACAGGATCACAGAAGTTAGACACTCTCATCACTAGCACCTGCAGATCTTAACGCTGGGGTGCAAGCTTGCAGCTAAAGCTGGTCACACTCAGAGTAGACCCACTGAAATGGCAAACAGTTTCATGAACTTCAATGGGTCTACTCTGAGAAAAAAATTGGTTTGATACAAACCATGGTTCTAAGAGAAGTGCTACTGCTTTGACTTATTGCACAGTACAACTGCACTGTAGTATAAAAAGTGTGACAAAAAGGTTTAGGTATGTAGCACAGCCCTAGCATGAAAGCAAGAATTTTTACTTCTGCAAGTATTAAGCTAATGTCTATGATAAAGACACAGTATTTCAGCATGTTTTCCTGATGTGAAGCATCTACAATATGGCAACTTGGATTGCAGTGAGTGGTTAAACTTACAGATGTACATCCTTAAACATTCATAATCTTAAGGACCATTTCTGTCATTTGCACGTCAGGATTTTCCTACAACCCAGACAAGATGCACACAGAGCAAACATCACCTACTGCCTCAAGTCTAGAGCTATGGTATTTGGCCTCACAGAGGGGAAGTGAGAAAAGGGAATAGGAAACTCAGGCAAGTTCTGTATTTGGGGGCTGCTCCTTGTGGTATTTATTTTCCAACACAGGAACATGCTGGGGGGAAAGATGTGCATCTTTTGCAAGTTGACAATTGCTGGATGAATTGCTGATTTCTGTCACAGTGCACAGAATGACAGAAGTCAGGTATCTGGCTAAGCAGTAAGCTATGATCACTTGTGGCCATTCTCTAATTACACGAGAAAAGCACATTCACTGCTTTTTTCCAACCTTGCTTGGGTTCCTATATTGGGACACAATAAAGTGTCCTTAGGCCACTCAGACTTCCAGGGTTCTCCTTACAGAGGCCAATAAATGCACCAAAGTCAAATATTTACTGGAAAAAAATTAAATAACTTTTAAAATAGACATATTTTACAAAGTGCATAAACTTCAACAGCTGTTTGGGAATTGATTGACCGAGGCTGGACTCTTCCTATAACTGCTGCTAGAGATTCTAATCTAGAGATTGGCTGTGTCAAATAGCATCACTCAGGGCTCACCCAGACTTCCTTTTGTGTTGTATTTCTAGGCAGAGGTCCATGCTTTAAAGTTCCAAAGTGTGCTTTTTTTTTGGCCCCAGCACTTTCCCTATGAAAACCTGCTCTTTACCACTGAAAACAATTTCGCAGAAAACCCGAGCTGCTGTTTGTGGGTTTTCCTGGGGAAAGCAGTGGTGGGGGTGGGCTTAGGAGCTGGGACCTGTACCTAGGAAGCACAGGGCAAAAGGTGAAGAGTGGATGAGCCCTCAGCTGCAGCACAAGTGGATGAGATGATGAACAACGCAGAAACAAATAGTGCAAATACATAGGATGAATAACCAAACTGAATACTGACAAGAGTTTTGATACACAATACAGAGATAATAATAGCATGACACATTGTTTGCTGTTGCCTTTGTAGAAGGGGCTCCCTGAAAATATGAGCAAATCCTCCGAGGCCATGCTGAGACACAGGTGAAGTGCGCCCCTGCTGCATCTGGACTCACCTGACTGTTACCTGTTTCAGGTTACAGTTCCACATTTTTTTTCCAGAAGCAAGTAAGTTCCCCTTGCCCTCTAGTGTGGACCACCCTCCACCAGCAGTGCCAAGCCACTCAGTTGCATTCAGCTTAGAGGAACAGCACTGTTTCTTTCCTTACTCAACCTTCAAGGGCAAGTGAAGCAGAATTCGCCTTTCTCCTTGCTTACTACAGGACTTGAAGAACTGGTAGCAAGGAGAAAATGGAGGTGAGTAAATATATTAGTGGCCTCCTGTATTCAATATACAGCTCAGCATATCAACTTGGTGAGCAGTTGGCCAACCACCTTCCTATGTTTTGTCAGGAAAAAAATATGATCTCCTGTGTGAAAAGTGCAGGTGCAGAGCTACTGCTACTCTGTTTTAAAACACAACCTACTAAATGGGCACAGGCATAGTTTTAATTCACCACCAGGATCTCCTGGTAAGTAGGTATAGGTTTAAAGGGTTGGGAAACATGATTCCCCTTGACCCAGACTTATCCCACTCACCCGCTGAGAAATGAGATCAGAATTAGCTGTAAAGTGAGTGGATGTTCAGTCACAGACACCATCTTTGCGATGCATAATCCTTTCCAAACACTTGTAGTAGGGCATCCTATTCTTATTGAACCTAGCTCAGGGGAAGAGCCTGCCAGCAGCTCAGGCTCTCTTCCTTATTGCATAGCTGCTGGATCATTGCAGCTCTTAACACAGTATGGACAGCAAAGATACAAATGAAATGGAGCTTCTCCAGTATGCTAAAGCTGTTTGAATAAGAACTACACTAAGCAGACAACAGAGACAATTTCAGAATCTGAGGAGTCACCTGAGCCAGATACAGATTTACAGGGTTTTTCCAAGCACCTGTCTAATTTATTCCTAAGTGAGTGCCTATGTGCTTTTCCTGTTGTAGCAAGGTTGGTACAGGACGATACATGGGAATTACCAGCACAATAGCGCTTGCTATGGTAGGGACAGGAACTGGCCTTTTTGCTTTGGTCTGTAGCTCCACCTGTTGGGCAAAGCAGCAGCAATAAGGTTTGAAGGAACAAAAATCTACTCAAAAACGTCTGGTGCTGGGTGTCCAGTGCGGCCACAAAACAAGCATTTCCATATGCCCACATTCCTCACAGCTTTACTCAGCAAAGTGTGGTATCTCCCCAGTTTGGTATCAACGTCCTGTATCACAGCTTTCCAACTCAAGAGGAGGTGTGAAGTTCTAGCACCGATTCCTGGCCCCGCCTAGTGCACCACTAGACCTGATGCGGGTGGTATTGCAACTTGACACACGCTCGCCTCTAGCCAGAGGACACAGCCCAGAGAGTCAAAGTGCTTGCTGCACTTCCCATGGAATAAGACTTGGGTGGTGAGTCCTCCAGAGCTCCAGGCAGTGGGGGTGAAGCATGCTGGGCACAGCAGCAACAGAGGAGACAAAAGGAAGGTGGACAGGAGCCTTGATGAGTTTTCAACATGGAGCAAATCTAAGGAAGCAACAGGTAAAGATTAGCTAGGCCAGTGATGGATGGATGGATGGATGGATGGATGGATGGATGGATGGAGAAATCAAAGTGGGATGGGAACTACGTTATGGCTATTTCAAAACTGCAAACACTGGGTAAAAAAACATTTAAGTGTCAACATAAGTGACAATTAGGAAAAGGATAGTACTGAATGCACCGTGTAGCTCCATGAGAAATCTCTAAAAAATACAGTAGTATTCAACAGTGCAACTTAGACCGCAAAAAAAATGAAAAACAAAAGATAATGAATTGTTTTAGTGACTTTTGGCTAAAATATTAAATTTGCATTGTTTAAACAAAGTATATTCATTTGGGAGGAGGTTATGTGGCAGTTGTCCACGCTTCTTTCACAAACAGTAAGCAATCAGAAAAGCAGGAAATAGGTCTGGAGAAAGGAGAGTGCCTCTTTCTGCCCTGTACTGTCAATGGAAAAAGAGATTTCACTCAATCATGTTATATTCTGAGGACAACTCAAAACAGCCACTGCTATTCCTACCATGTTTCTTGGATGATAATGGGTGCACCCCGCTAAAACATAAAACTACCAGTACATAGGCATGCCCCTACACCAGCTAAACATCAGTACAGTATGATGAAAATAAAGTTTGCTGCAATCAAAACGATTTTGATTCACTGTAATGAATTAACCATTACTTCACTGTATTGTTTAGGATTGTGGAATTAAGGCTGTTACTGTTCCTTCATGGCCATTTGACTCTGAGCCACTTTAGCTGTGGACAAAGAAGAACGCTGAAGGTGGTATAAGAAACACATATTAATTTGTGGCTTACACATTCATTTCTTGAGTCCTAGGGTCATGCTTGGCCAAACCGGCTTGGTGGGTTTTTGAAGCACTACCAACAACCCACAAAATCTGCAAACAGCATTCATTGTGAGCTGAGTGCACACACCACAGCCAAAATAGTTTTTTGCACTTTTCCCAACTGGGTGATGAGTAGAAAGACAGGGCAACTTACATTTGGTGCAGCTGGTTAATCTGGCTTTATGGAAGGGGCTGGTCCATGCCGATGCCCATCGTTTGGTAAATCTCTTTCAGCAGCAACAGCACTGTGTCCTCTGACTCCCTGGAAGTTAAATATTTATACCATGAATTACTTATTAGAACTACATATAGAGCAAGTGTGCCCAAGTGGCAGATTTACTTAGGCACCAGGAAAAAGGACAATCCTAACAGTTAACACACACACAATCATCTCATCCCACAGCTATAGTTATGATTGTTGAAGACACAACTTTGAATGAAGTGTTCAGGACAATAATAAGGATGTTTGCATTACTCTTGTCAGTTTCCTATGTCCTCCCAGAAGTTATTACTCCTGAAAGTGGCTGGAAAGTTATGAGACTGTCCCACCCCACCTCCTTGGCTGAAAGTGGTGGAAACCCCTTGTTTGGCTCCTACTGGAAAGTCTTCAGAGAACCTTGTTCTGCCTATTGATAGATCTTGCCCCCAGTAAGGGAGAACATATATATCGCTCTGAGCTTCTTGGAAGATGAGGGAAATTGCTAATTAATTTAAAGTCACATTTTTTAAAAACTTATTTACCAGTAGCAGAGATGGCCTTGCAGTGCAAACAGGTACTCATTAAAGCTTTCGATTGGCTTCTCTTGAAGCACGTAGTCAATGCGGTGGCCACCATTGAGCATACCCACGTTAACTGGGGCAGACTCTTCTTTCACTGGTGTGGTTGGTTCCTCAGGTTTCCTATCTGAATTGTTTAAGAAAGAAAGACAGCATTAATATACACAGCTAAAATTGGTTACCAGGCTGGGTTGGTGAAGGCATGACTGTCTAATGCTAACAGGTATTGCAAGTCATGTTTTCTGCGTAAGGAGGAGTAAGATGCTCTGTCACACACTAGATGCAGACATCTTTGCAAGCATCTCCATAGGCAACTGAAAACAAGGGGTGACTGCTGCCAAAACAAAACTAATTTGACATTTTGGCAAGAGTTATACCAGTCCATGTGCAGGCCCAGAGATTACAGAGCACAAATTCAAAGGAAGCAAAAGTCGTCAGTATCTGGCCAAAGGATACCTAAATGAATTGACAAAATTATTCAAAACTCTAACATGGTTGAGAGTCTAAGGAGTAAGAGACCACCATCTTGCAGAGAGCTGAGCAAGTTCGGGTCAGGCCAGTGCTTGAATGGATGAAACCCAGGAACCTCATTTATGTTGCCTTTAATGTGATGTGCATAGGGCTGTCCTTAAAAACAGTTGAGAAGCTGCAGCTGGTACACAAGGCTGCTGCCAGTTTGGACTGACTCAGCCAGCTAGAAGCATATAACATGGGTTGTGAAGGGTCTGCGCAGACTGCCTATATGCTACCAAGCCAAATACAAGGTTTTAGTGCTGATGTATGGAACCCTGAATGACACTGAACCCAGTTAACTGAAGGAGCCTCTCTCCCTGCCCTGCCAAGGAATTAAAATCTGTTGGGGATGTACTGGTCATGCCATCTCTGTGTGAAGCCTGTAGTCTGTAGCTCTTTGGCTCAAGACAAGGCCTTCTCAGAGGTGGAACCCCAGCTGTGGAACATCCTTCCCCTTAATATACAACTGTTCCAGCTGTGGAACATCCTTCCCCTTAATATACAACTGCTTAACTTCCAGTGCCAATTAAAGACTCACCACTAGTCACCTGGCTGGGGCGGAGTCGGACATGATTGAGGTTACTTATTTTAACACTGAATAGGAGCAGGTTAAGTGAGCTGCTTTTCATTCTGTTTTATGTTGTTCACTTTTATGTAACATACTTATCTTGAATGCTGATGTATACATTTGTTTTTACTGTATATCTGGGCAGGGCAGTACAGATATTTGTTTTAGCCAGCTTAAGATCACTTGACAATGAAGGGCAGAACAGAACTTGTATAAATGCATCAATGGAAGCATCTTGAAAGGACTTGTGCAGAGCAACAGGCAAAATTTTCCCTTGGTTGCAACAGGAAGAATGGGTGGGTTCTGCTGGATTCTGCACCTTGTTCTTCCGTTTACAAACTACAATTAAGCCCCTGCTCACCAGTCTGTTTCTCTGAACTGGCTTCAGCTTCCAATACTTGTTCCGTATCTCCAGTGGCTCCTGCCTCCACAGCTGGAAGTGAAGTCCTGGTGAATGACTGCCAAGCTGTTCTCAAGGAGCCCAGTAAATTGTTTTTTAGGTCCATGCTCATTCGCGTGAGGCCTTCCTTCAGTTCTGAAAAGGAGAAGGTAAAAACAGCCTTACAATTAAAAAACCAGCCTGTTCTGAAAGCCTGCAATTAAAAATATGTCATCAACAGGTCAGGGTACATCTCTCTTACCCGTGGACCCCTTGTGACTTATCCTCATAGCTTCAGCACCACTCAGTTCCTAACACCCTCTTCTTTTTCTTCCCCCGTGTCTTCAATCCTATCCTTGATTCTCACAATTCCACCATCTATCTCTCTCGCCCCTTCCTCCCTGCCCCACTGGAACTTTCCTCAACTTTTCTCCAATTCTCTTGTTTCCCTGGATTATTTCTCACATATTGTTTTATTTCCAGAAGATGGATGGCTGGAATTATTTTTTTTTTTTTTTTTTTTTTTTTAATATTTTATTAAGGATTTTCTTGTTTTACAGAAGTGTAGTGCCTCATATATATTTTTCCCCATGTAACATTTTTACAATTCCATTTCATTTGTTGAGGCATTAGGGGGAGAAGAAAATAAAAATAAAAATAAAAAAAGGAGAGAAAAGAGAAAGGGGGGTGGAGAGAGGGAAGATGGATAAGGGTGGGATTGGGTGGCGGTGTTTCTATTATGTTTAATGTATGTAGAGTTTGGTGTCAGCGTGCTTGTGTTGTTCACTTGTGTTCCTTTGGTGGTGAGAGAGGTTGGGGTTGGCCTAGGGTGTGATTGTTTGCTTGTGATTGGCTGTGGTGATCTTTGTTTTCGTGTGTGAGTGAGGTGGGTGGGTGTTTTGGATCAGGTTAGCCATATTGATTTGTATGCTGTTGGTGGATTATTGTCATTGTCCTGTTGGGCTGTGTGTGTGATAAAGGGGAGCCATACCGGGGTGAAGGCATCTTCTTCTGTTTGTCCCCGTGTCAGTTTCAGTTTATTAGTTAATTTTTCTAGTAGGGCTGTTTCCCATACTATCTGATACCATTGGTCCATGCTTACTCCTGACAGGTCTCTCCAGTGTCTGGTTATGGTGTTTCTGGCTGCTGAGAGCAGGTGGGTTATGAGTTCTTTGTGGTGTAAATGGGCATTGTTGTCTTGGAAGATGTTTAGTAGGGCCAATTCTGGGGTGGTGTCTATTACTTGCTTAGTTATTTTACAAATTTCTTGTATGGCTGTTGTCCAGAATAGTTGGATTTTGGGACACTCCCACCACATGTGGAAGTATGTGCCTGTGGAGGTGCACCCTCTCCAGCATTTTGGTGAGGTTCCTGGGTGTATTAGCGCTAGTTTCCTTGGTGTTAGGTACCACCTGTAGGTGAGTTTCAGTGTGAGTTCTTTTCTTTTCGTTGATATGGATTTAAAGGGGGGTTTAGACCACATTCTGGTCCATTGAGTGGGGTTTATCTCATAGCCTATGTCATTCTCCCATTGATTTTTGATTGCGTCTAGGGGATTTGCGAGATTTTGGAGTAGTATTTTGTATATTGCGGATACCATCCCTTTACCGTTTCCCTTTGTTGCTAGGAGGAGGTTTTCGAAGGTTGTCAGGGGCCTAGTTGCTGCTGATTTTACTGTTGGGTTGTTTAAGAGGGCATGTAGTTGGTGTTGTGTTAACCAGGGCATTTGGGTGTCTTCTAGTTTGTCTTGTATTTCTTGTGTTGACAAGGGTTTGTTATTTTTATAAAAGTCTATTAGGCGATATAAGCCTTTGGTTCGCCAGGTTTTTATCTTGAGGTTTTGTGCTGCATGGTGGAATAATGGGTGGTACGCCAGGGGGATTAGTGGGGATGGGGTTGGGGATAGTTTGCCTGTTTGTGTTTTCCATGCTTTGAGCATGGTCTGTGTGTACCTGTTAAGTGTTGTGGGAATTTTCTTTAGTTTGTTTGGGAGGAGTGGGTATGCTGTGGTGCAGGTGTTTTCAATTGTGTCCCTCTCTAGGTGTACCCATTGTTTTGTCTCATCTTCTAGTATATATGGGATTATATGGCGTATTTGGTTGGCGTTGTAATATGCTTCTATGGATGGCTGGAATTATTCATCTTCGTACACAAGTGAAAACATTATTTCAAGAATCATTTGTATCGCTTGTTGAGGTTGCCAGAGGAGTGTGGCTAACATTCTGAGAAAGTAGAAATATCTGAAGAGCAACTTTGGGAGGCAAAATGTGATTTGGGAACTTGGCACCTAACTCTTGTTTTGTCCCTGGTAGCATGTAATGTGTCATAATTATTAGTCTCAATTGTAGCATGTGAATTGTAGCATATGTAGATAAATTGCAGAAAGAGCATCTTCAGTTTTGGTACCTAATTGCATAAGCTCAGTTACAAAATTCTCTTCTAAGTTATCAAAAGCTTTGAATGTTTTAAGTGTCAAAATGGTAATTGGTGTTTCGTTTTGTTCAATTTCCTATAGGAAAGAACATTCAAAACATTTCTAATTAGGTCTAAAATTTATTATTTTGTTACAAATCCCACTTGATCTGAGTTAGTATAATTATAAATAATTTATCAAGTCTGCTAGACAATAAAATATTTTTAGACCCAACTCTTGAATGTCTCCAGGTATATAGTATTTGATCAATTTCCACATTCCACAAAATAACCTTCAATAATTCCAGAAAAATATTTCTTTAACTGAGCTATTTAGATATTGTTATGTTTTTAAATAAAACATTTCCCTGTATGGACTAGGGATTTGTTAGTTAATCAGGTTGATAGTTGCTTTTTAATCATGAAGGGCTAGCACACAACTTTCTAAATGAAACCTGGGTCTCAGGATAGGTGTTATGATTGCCCCAAGGGGAGGAGAAGACAATCTGTATGTCTTGTGTTCAATCACTAGCCAGAAATATAAGGTGGTTTTTTTGGAGCGTACTTAGATTCAAAGGGCGATGCGAGCAGAAGGAAGATTCTCTCTTTTACCTAAGTGCATTCTCTTCCTCCCCTTGTGGTGAGGGAGCAGCATTGGATCAAACTCCACATCAGGGACAATCATGGGCTCAATTCTGTATGCTACTGGATCAAACTGCAGAAGAAAGCAAGCAGAGACACTTCATTCTAATTTATATATAACATCTCCTATCCAACCTTTTGGTTCCAAATGACCACTAAGGTGGCTTATAAACAATTCTAAAAACAATATAATGATTAAATTCAAAATCATTCTTAAAATATACTAGCAAAACCAGTGGCAATATATAAATATATAAATCACATTGCATTAAAAAATAATATCTAGCAGCAGCATATTAACCCTAAAAGGTTCAGGACTAGGATTTCTGAAGGACCCCATTCTTGGCTTGAACCTGCCTGCCAAGACCTTCTTCCAAGTTCAGTTCAGGTGTATGTTTGGTTAGGACAGTGATGGCCAAACTTGGCCCGCCAGCTGTTTTAGGACTACAATTCCCATCATCCCTGACCACTGGCCCTGTTAGCTAGGGATGATGGGAGTTGTAGTCCAAAAACAGAGATGGGACATGACAAATGGGTTATTTATTTATTTTTCTCTCATTTATACCCCACCTTTCTTTCGTCATAGCACCTGAAAGCTTATAGAAAGCCCCTCCACTCCTAGACTGCTCCTAGGCCAAGAACGTACTGGAAAAACTGCAGAGCTGCCCTCGCATCCATGAAATCCTGAATTGCTGCTGACAAGGCAGCTTCAGCATGTCCCCCATACAACAGACTGTTGGATAGCACAATAAGTACACCAAGAGAATCCCAGTTCTGTCCCTCTGGTGCAGCATCAGTATCTGGTCTGCAAGAGGACTGGTCTCCTAGCAAAGAAGATGGGATTTCTAGTGATGCCACCCTGCCCAACCTTTGCTGGTGCTACACTGAGTACCTAGAAGAATGAAGGATTCCTAAATTCACTTATCATTATTAAGATAATGAAATAAAAATGAATTTCAGGCAAAATTGGCCAAAATGGTCACATTTTATGTTATTTTCAATGAATTGAATACTTGGTATTTAACTGGGCACAGTAGGGACACAGGTGGCACTGTGGTCTAAACCACTGAGCCTTGGGCTTGCCGATCAAAAGGTCAGAGGTTCGAACCCCCGCGATGGTTGCTTGGTCCCAGCTCCTGCCAACCTAGCAGTTCAAAAGCACCCCAAAAAGTGCAAGTAGATTAATAGGTACCGCTCCAACGGGAAGGTAAATGGCATTTCCGTGCGCTGCTCTGGTGTTGGTGTTCCGTTGCACCAGAAGCAGCTAAGTCATGCTGGCCACATGACCCGGAAAAACTGTGGAGCGAACAAACACCAGCTCCCTTGGCCTGTAAAGCAAGATGAGCGGGGCAACCCTGGAGTCGTTCGCGACTAGACTTAACTGTCAGGGGTCCCTTTACCTTATCTTTAACTGGGCACAGAACTGGTATGTATCTGTTAGTGGTTTTGTTTTCTCCTGTTTTCATTTAATAATTTATATACTACACTTAATGTCAAGTACCAGTATATTTTCCAATTACAATCCACTTAAATTGGGTGGAAACATGTGGCCTTCCAGATGTTGTTGGACTCCAAACTGCATCAGCCCCAGTTGCATGGCCAATGATCAGGGAGGATGAAAGGAGCAACCAGTTCCAGATTCCTGCCTTTAATGGAAGCTTTGTGGATCCCATGAGAGCAGTGCATTCCACATTTAAGTTCACATTCCACATTATGCAGTAAAGCCACTGCAGGGTATCTAAATATCTTGAGTTGGAATCAGACCAAGTTAATTGCACTTAAGCCCCATTGGAATTAATGAGACCTAATTTAGTCATTATGTATCTTATAGAGATTCCACAAAAATAGATGTGTGAATAACTTGGGACGGCACCCAATAATTTGGCCCTCCGGAGGGGGTGGGAGAACAAGACATTGCTGCTCATACATACAGGATGGAATACATTGAAGAAGCCTTTGCAGGTAGGCAGGCTGTAGTTCGGATCGATCCTCTTCACCCCTCGCACAGTGAGAAACATCCCAATAGGGGAGCCAAAGGCAAAGAAGATCTCTGGTTTGTAGATTAGCTGAGGATAGTTTGCCGAGACCTAATGGAGTTTAAATACAACATACTGTTTTTGTGGGAAATAAACTTCATGAGGCAAATTTATGAGAGTGTATTACTTGAAATTAAGCACATAGCAATTGTGAAACAATCGATCCCTCCCTGCACATGACACACAGCTGACCTGTGGAACTCACTGCTGCAGGACATTATGATTTTTATTTTACTCTCCTTCCAAGGACCTCTGAGGAGCTTCTCAGGCAAGCTCTTCTCCAAGCTTAAACAATTTAAGCTTCAGATATTAACTAGCTCGGGAAGCTTCAGATAGCTCTCTAGGTTACATATTAGGCAAATATTGTTAGACTGAACACCTGAGTTATCATTTGGGGTGTTTAAAGACTCAGAAGCGTAAAACCTATTACATCACCAGTACTGAAAACCAGCGGCGTAGCGTGGGTTGTCAGCACCCGGGGCAAGGCAAGTAATTTGCGCCCCCTAACCCATGGATTTGCGCCGCGCCCCCTAACCTGTGGATTTGCGCCCCCTAACCCATGGATTTGCCCTAACCCCAGATGTTGCGCCCGGTGCGGCCGGCCCCCCCTGCACCCCCCACGCTACGCCACTGCTGAAAACCTCAAACCAAGATACTGAAGGAGAATATAAGAAGACTTCTACTGCAAAAGGCCCATCGAGTCCAGCATCCTGTTCTCACAGTAGCAAACCAGATGCCTATGGGGAGCTTGCAAGTAGGACCGGAGTGCCACAGTGCCCTCCCCACGATTCTCAGCACATGCTATCCAGAGTCATACAGCCTCCAACAAGGGAGATGGAATATAGCCACATTCTCTTTTAAAACCAACCAAATTGGTAGTCCTCGCTATCTCTTGTGGGAGCAAATTCCATAGTTTATCTATGTGAGGAAGTACCATATTTTTCTGTGTATAAGACGATATTTTTTCTTTAGAAATAACTGTGGGAAATTGTGGGTCGTCTTATACACGGATAGCAGGCAGGCGACTGGTGGCAGCAGCCAGCAGAAGATTTGCAGTGGCGGTTGGGGGTGTGTTTGGTTGCTGCGGCAAGGCCTGCTGACGATTGTTGCAGTCCCAAAAATAGGGGTCGTCTTATACATGGGGGCATGTTATACACAGAAAAATACGGTACTTTCTTCTATCTGTTCTGAATCTTCCTACATTCAGTGTCCTCGGATGTCTCCAAGTTTTAGTACTGTATATATTGAGGGAGACAAATTCATCCTAATTCCTTTTTGTTTTAAACACCCTGAACCATTTGGTATCACCAGCAAACCAGGCTACCTCATGGCTCTGCCCTAACTCTAAATCACTTATGAGCAAGTTAACAACCACAGTGCCTAATACTAATCCTTGGAAGATTCCACTTTCTACAGAACCCACCATATACCTGTGACAGTGATTTAACAGCTTTTATTTCTAAATTTCAAACTGTGGTAATCCACCTAGGAACCAGCTAGTGAAGGGTTTAATCATCACCAACCCTCCGTTGGGAGAATTATCCATTTATTTCTACCCTTTGCCTGTTTCTGAAGCAGTTTCCTAATCCATAAGAGGACCTCTCCTTTTATTCCATGACTGCTAAGCTTACTCAGGCTTCTTTCACAAGGTACTTTGAAATAAGCTTTTTTTGAAAGACTAAGCACACAATGTCAACTGGGTATGCTTGTTGACGTAATATAGGAGAGTAATAGAAGTTTTCCCAACCTAGCTGTGAGACTGCGCCAGGTAAATCCAAAACAAATTTGGCCTGGACTTGGGGAACTTAAATAATACTTTCTTAAAACAGTTCAAGAGTCACTCAAAGCCCAACAGGTCTTCTGTTCATTTATTATGCTCTTAAATTGAGGTTGGCACAGAGTTGTGTGGGAGGTGGGGGTTACCTGCCCTGTCACAACATCCAGACGCCGGCAACTTGTCTCTGCATTTGTAGGCTTTACAGGTACCTCCTGCTTGACATTTCCACCTTCCCCAGCAGCTGCAGGTGTCTGCCCTTTAGAATTCTGCAAGAAAAATCAGACAGCCATCTCCTGTAGCATTCCTTTCAAGCACACTGCTGGCACAACTGCCCAACCCACTAGGCTACTGCAAGAGCAGAAGGCTCACTTTGCAAAAAGGTTTCAGTGTTGCACAATAATTACCATTTAGCATTTCTACAGTATAAACAATATGCATTTGCCAATGTCACTGGTTGCTCAAGTAATTGTATTACCGTATTTTTCGCCCTATAAGACGCACTTTTTCCCCTCCAAAAATGAAGGGGAAATCTGTGTGCGTCCTATGGGGCGAATGCAGGCTTTCGCTGAAGCTTGGAGAGCGAGAGGGGTTGGTGCGCACCGACCCCTCTCGCTCTGCAGGCTTCAGGCAGATATCCGCAAGCCTGGGGAGCCTGCGGGAGTTCCCGCAAGGGCTCCCTAGGCCTGCTGCCCGGAGCACGGGGCGCGCTGAAGCAGAGCGCCCCGCGCTTCGGGCTGCTATCCGCAGCCTAGGGAGCCCTGCGGGAGGTGTCAGAAATTTCTCAATTTCCACTTAATCTCCAATAAAGAAAAAAAGGGGGGGGACACAGAGAGATGTATTGCCCAACTTAAGTATGTATACAAACTCATGCACCCCTGAGAACAATGGCAGGTTAATGCAGAGCCATCTGCGGCTGTTTTCAACCAGTTGTGCTTCCTGACCATTCCAAGATTTCAAGTTTAAAGCAGGAAATATACGTAAAAGGCAGCCTGCTCAGATCACCTGGCAGAAATGAAAGTAAAAGAGAAAAAAGTGTGTGTGTGTGTGTGTGTGTGTGTGTGCAGAATTAAACGCACACATATTTATGAAGAGGACCGAATGGCAGCGTGGAGGAAACCAAGCGAAAGAGGAATAGAACTGGATAGGGCTGGTCTGCCCAATCCTGCCCCAGAGATTATGAAATGTCCTTGCACTGGAGCTGCCTGCCTGCTAACGAACTAGAGTAGAATAGACAGACAGAAGGGGGAGAGAGAAGATACGATTGCCAAAGTGTTGGTGGGGAGAGAGCAAAGGGCTGGATGTTCCATTTGGTTCAAGTCAATAAATATTGCCAATAGCCACAAAATTAAAATACAAGGAGATTCAAAGCGTTCTGCATTTTTCCAATCCCTAACACCGAAGGTATGGATTTAAATCACTTGAACAATTACCCCAAACATACCTGGTTGTTGCTTTTGTTCCTTAAATAATGCAGAATTTTCATTCTGGGTCCCAGGGGAATTCCCATGTCTTTAAGTTCCTTTTCTGTGCACAAGGCCTGTTACAGTAAGAATCACACATACATATATGAGCTGTGGTTCTACAATAGATAGTGACTTAAATGAAAGAGCCCTTGGACTTTAGTAACTTGTGTTTCAGTGCTATCCTTTGAGAAACACAGAGGGTTAAATATGGTCAGGTCACCCTTATACAAAATACAGCAATACTGGTAAATGTAGCCTCAGAAACTCTTCATGCAAATATTCTTCCACCACTAACCATCTACAACAGTGTTCCCCAACCTTGGGTCTCCAGCTGTTTTTGGACTGCAATTCCCATCATCCCCGACCACTGGTCTTGTTAGCAAGGGATGATGGGAGTTGTAGTCCAAGAACAGTTGGAGAACCAAGGTTGGGGAACACTGATCTACAAGACTTGTGCAGCAACTTAGCTCTGTCTTGGTAACACTGTTGTCAAGTACTGTAGTTGTTTCCTTCGCAGATTGAGCAAGTTCTAGTTGCTCAGCCCACTCCGTAGCTTCAGAGGACTTCAGTGGGACCTGCTGTCTAGTTGTCAAAAGGCAACACCAGAGAAGATCAAGAATGAGGGCAGGAAATGCTTCCTGAAAAATCCTGGCACCATCTGGACACAGGGTTAGTTTTGCTGCTGATACCACACTTGAATGCAGTTGTCTTGTGACCACTCCTTGCAAGCCGCTTTCACAAGCGATCCGAACAAAGTCCTGAATGGATTTGTTCCCTCCCTATTTCCCCACAAAATACCATTATTGATCTTCATGCAGGAGCCTAGAAGCTGAAGAAATAGACATAGAGGAGCAAAGCAAGTAATGCAAAAGTTCTACATTTACCAGTGCTTGCCTGTCCACATTTTCCTTCTCGAATACAGAGCAATATTCAGAAAGCTCTAGCTCCGTCAAAATGTCTGTCACAGATCCAATGCCTTCTTGGCCGGTTGCTGATATCTGTGACTCCTGTTAAAATAGATACCACTTCTGTACAGCTTTTGACTTGCTTTGATAAAACACTTAAGACAGGATAGTTACCAATATATAGCTAGTGGACTATATTGCTAGAGTACTGATTGTATCACAGTGTGTACATTTCTTTTATTATTGTTATAAATGTTATAGTTTATTATTTGCTTATTTATTTCTTAGATTTATATACTCCCTTCAACGTAAGATATAGTATTATCAAAGGGTGATTTTAGGCATTTGCTTAACTTACCTGCTGTAAAAGAGCAAACAAATACGTAATCCTCCTTTATTAAAATCAACATCTTAAAAGTCCTTAGCTCTGGCTATACCAAGGATTTGGAACCTGTGACCCTCCAGATGTTGTTGGACTTCAACTCATTGCCCCATTCAATGTTGATGAGAGTTCTAGTTCAAAACATCTGGAGGCACCAGGCTTGCCATCTCAGGCTAGACTGTGCAGACATTTCCCCCTATTTTCTGAGAAACGTGCAAAATAGGAAAACAGCCAGCCCTGACACAGGAGCTTAGGGGCACTTTTTGTGGAGTCACCTAGCCTTTGAATAAGTACAGAGTGCTGAGCTTTGAAGAATAGCAGGCAAATTTGCACAAAAGCAACAAAGATTCCCCAAAACACAGAGAACTTACAAGGCCAGCTTAAACTCAGGAAGTTGTTGAATCATGCTAACGCATACCTCATTTTTATCTTCCTCTCCATCAGATGTACATTTTTGATTTGTGAGAAGATCAAACAATATAAGTGATCCTAAGAAAAGAATAGTCAGTGTCTTGGTGGAAAGATCATGAATATAACATCTAGGGCACCGCAAATGTCTCGTCTTCCCTTTCTAGGATGGAGCTAGTTATTGTGTGTAAGCTTGTGATTTAACTCCCTGCCCACCTTTTATAAATAAAATGCAATTATTGAGGCTGAGATTAGGAAAAGGGAGACTGACAGGGAAAACTACCTTTGTATACCTTTCACCACCGGAAAGCCTACCCCCAAGCTGCTTTTTCTCACCCAGAGGAAAATATGTGGCAGTATTCTTTCTCTTTTTCCCTTTCCCCTTTGAATTGCAACCTCAGCAGCTGTAGTTTGTTTCATTAAATCATTATATATGCACCTTGAGTACAAAAAGAAGAATAAAAAGGGAGCTACACTTGTTAAAAATTGAGAGAGAAGTACAAGGCTTCAAAAAAGGAGAACAAATTAAGCTTATTGCAGCTTTATTCAGCGTTCCTATTAGCCTCTAAATTCCTTGAGGCAAGATGTGGGTCAGATGTTATCAAGTAGGAGGAGCCCCTGCCCTCTTTGGGCACTAACATCTTGTGTTTGTTGGGACTGATGTACTGATGTAAGTAACACAGGGCAGGTGGGCTACTCCTCTGTAGCCCCTGAGGATCTGCCAAGCCAAAAAACAGCAACAAGAGGGCTGAGTAGAGAACATTTCTAGAGCATTGTACTCCCAGCACCTCCAACAGTCTCCTCCACTGAGACTTCTGAAAGTTTCTGGTACTGTTTCCCCCATCATGCTCCAAATGAAAATTGTCTTACACTATTCATGGTAGCCATTACTTAAAAACAGCAACAACACTATGGCATGGCATGTTTGGCCTCCAGTGGATGCATTTTATATTTAAAAGAAGTCTGTTAAAATAATCATGGAACTAAACATACCATGCAGCTCTGCTCTTAATCTGATTTTTTTTTTAAGTTTAAACTTTAGACTGTAAAATGATAAAGGTTTTGAAACATTTGAAATAAAAGCCAGAGGAAGCTGCTCTGGAAGTCTGATTTCTGAACTAAGAAGCCCTCTCAATCCCATGACCTCATGGGGGGAAATGCATTTAAAAATTGTTGTTGTTGTTGTTGTTGGAAAGTGGAAGAGCGAAGAAGTTGGATATTGCAATGAAAGATATTAAACAGAAATATATTCACATTTTATTTATTTCCATGTATAGAATGTTGGAGTTCTGGTTGGAGATTTTTGAGACAGATTTTGAATGTAATTCAGCCTTTCCAAACCTGTATGCAGCCAGCAGCTGATATATCTGAAACTTAGTCACAATAGCCACAAAATGAGTTATTTGCTTGTGAATGGCTGCTTTGATTGGCAACCTATCTTTAAATGAAAGCTTATGCTCTGAAACTATAGGACTGGGGGGAAATGGAGTAACAGGTTACAAGGATACAAAACATGTTGTATTCCAAGACACAAATGTCTCCATTCAATTCAGGTGCTAGAAAAGGAAATGGGAAAAGGGAATTTTGACCATATACCTTTACGTTGTTCAGGGATAGGTGACCTGGTCAGGTCCCACAGAAAGAACACCTCTGTGAGGAAGGATGCGATGGTGATGATGATGATAATAATATAATAAATAAATAAACATGTCTGCATGCATCAAAATAAGAGAAAGGTATATATACCTAAGCTGTGACCTGCTATTGAGACTCCCCCTTTAAAATCAGGGTTCCTCTCCAAGAAGAGCAGGTAGATACGGTTCATTTCTGAAGCAACTGTGTCCACAATGGTCTGGCAGTAGGTGGAGCTATTATAGAAGAAAACATCTAGGATGGTGTCATTGATGAAATGACGCAGGCGATTGATGCTTGGCAAGGTGATTCTCTCCAAGTCTCTGAAAACAAAACAGAGAAGGGCATGTAGCCTTCCAGATGTTGTTGGACTCCACTGAAGCTTTGTTATCTTACACAGATACCTGATCTTAGAAACCAGATAAAAATAAAGTTTCCCAGTGAAAAGTACAAATCCAAATGCTGCACTCTGTACTCCAGTGACTACACTTGTTCACTCAGAAGCAAGCCCCATGGAATTCAGTGGATTGCCAGGACACAAGATTGGGCTACAACTAACCTGATGTTAAAATCCTCAGCAAACACAATGTCAATGAAAGTAAGATGGAAAGGATCTTTGAAAGACCTTCCTTTGCATCATTGTATTCTAAAGCAGCGTAGGGAACCTTTTCCAGCCCAAGGTCCACATTCTTCCAGGGAGAACTATAGAAGTATAGAGTTGGAAGGGACCACTAGGGTCATCTAGTCCAACCCCTTGCAATGCAGGCATCTTTTGCCCAACATGGGGCTTGAACGCACGACCCTGAGATTAAGAATCTCCTGCTCTACAGACTCCTGCTCTGTCAGAGCACGTAGCTAGTTGTGGGCAAGGCCAGAGGCAAAAGTGGGAAGAGCAACAAGTGTGAATTTTACTTTTTGTACAGTAAGCTAATTTCTACACATCCCTCTCTATCCTCCATCCAGGCAAGCAAGAAGCATTGTCAGAGTTCAAAAATATATTCCACCCGGGCAAAAGCACTCAATCAATCAATTTTTATTATGGCAAACAGCCAGCATAAGCACTCATGGATGGTGCAAAGCATGTCTGGTAAGGGGTGTGGCCTGGAGAAAGGGTCTCTAACCAAAGAGAGTTCCAAGGCCAGAGAGGCCCTGGCTCCCTATCCCTATTTTGAAGCAATGTTTCCCAATACAGGCTGTCTAATACTGGAACAAAGAAGTCTGGGGAGCTGCCTAGTTTTCCAATTAACCCTTGATTAAGCATAAGCATGGGACAGGTAGGCAGGCAGATTGCAAGACCTGATTATAAGGTGTAGTGTTTTGTTTCCATCCTCCGGGCAGAACAGGGTTTTTGAAAGCAGCTCTATTTCTCCAGGGGATTAAAGCAGGAGTGGGAGATGAAATACTTGGCAAAAAGCTTACCAAAGAGGATTTGCTGGATCCTTCAATCAAAAAGTTACAAACAACTCCCTTGTTCCGGTGCTAATTTACTACAGGAGGGTTGTAATTAGGCACTCATTCACTGAAAATAAATGCAAGTGCCTCCATAACCGTTGCCAATACAGAGATTGATCTAGGAGATTGTGGGAGCGGCACTGGGCATGTAAAAAATTGAATAGGGGGCAAATATTTTCTGAGTCCCTTATTTCAAGGCTATTCTAGAGCAAAGTGGCAACAGCAAACTTAAAACACCATTTTTGGACACGCTGAACAGGATTAGGGTATGCCCAAAGTCCATAACATGCACTTCCCATTCTGTCTCCACTGCTTTGTCATTATTACCAGGCATGACAGCTCACACATTGTAGGAAATAGGAGTATTATCATTACAGTGGTGCCCCGCAAGACGAACGCCTCGCAAGACGGAAAACCCGCTAGACGAAAGGGTTTTCCGTTTTGGAGGCGCTTCGCAAAACGAATTTCCCTATGGGCTTGCTTCGCAAGACGAAAAAGTCTTGCGAGTTCCTTCGGGTTTTTTTCCCTTCCCCCCCCCTTTTCCTAAGCCGCTAAGCCGCTTATCAGCTGATCCACTGATAAGCCGCTTAACAGCTGATTGCTAAAAGCCGCTAAACCGCTAATAGCGCTAATCCGCTAAGCTGTCAATGGGCTTGCTTCGCAAGACGAAAAAACCGCTATACGAAGAGCCTCGCGGAACGAATTAATTTCGTCTTGCGAGGCACCACTGTATTTAATAAATCTCTATACTGCCCTTCACCCAAGGATTATAGGGTGGTTTGCAATATAAAAACACAAAAATAAATAACATAGTAACAAACAAAAAACAATAACCGCCCCCAACAGTTTAAAAGGCCATGGATTGTTTAATTAGCCAAAGGCCTGGAAGAAGAGGAATGTTTTTGCTTGGCATCTAAATATATGCAATGAATGGGGAGAGCATTCCACAGTTGGGGAGTCACTGCAGAAAAGGCCTCTTTTTGTGTTGCCACCCTCCAGATCTCTTGTACTTTGGCAAACTCTAGGCTGTCAGCATACAATGACTGGCAGGCTTGCTGGGAACACTCTTGGTTCACTTACACATCTACTCCAGTATGTAAAGTACTGTGCCAGTTCACTGGGAGGAATTCTACTCGGCCAATCTGTTGCTGCTCCTGAGCGTTCTTGAAGTGGGCAGGCAGCATACTCAATGAAACATTGCGGAAGTCATTGACTGTAAGAAAAAAAATCAATTCTGCATCAAGGCACAGAGCAACCACCCCACACTGAGGGCCCGACTAGATGTAATGGTGGGATATGGATAAACAGATCTCCCACGTTTTTCCAAAATAGGAACATCCATTGTGGGGGGCGGGGTGGGTGGAAAAGAAGGAGGGAGAATTTAATAAAATCCCCCTGCTCTGTTTTCCCAATCTGGACTGCACCCCAAAGCTGCTATTTGACCGAGGAGAAGGAAGATACACATATATCATAATGTACTTGTACATCCGCCTATCAATGGCTCATATAGCAGCTAGGAAGTGGATTCAGATTGGGAAAGCAGAAAAAGAGAAAGGGGCTAACCCCCGACCCCTCAGGCCCAACCTTATGTCAGGGCTTCTATCTTTAGAAAAAGAAGACGAAGAATGGGAGATCTGATCATGGATGCCACAGCATCTCATCTGATATGTACCCAAGGAACTTATTAAGTTTATACATATTTAATTCAACAGTTCACATGTGGAAACTCAGTGTGTTAATCCATTTCCTGATTTTGTGTTTCTACATATACTGCAATCAGCTTACAAAGCTCATGGAGCATAGCATTTGGGAATCATAGCGTTGGCCTGTAATTGTAACAGGGTAACTTCATACTTTTTGAGATATAGCCCTTCCAAGAAGCATTTTACCCATCTTATATTGCAAACCAAGATGAACTGGAAACCAAACATTGACAGACAGCTTTGCACCCAAGGTTAACTTCTGAAAAAATATACTCTCTTGTTTTCCTAAAACTAGTTTGGTTGCATATTTAATCACACCTTATTGCATTTTGAGTTGCAACTTAAAAGGGAGACATGTTAGGTGAGCATTTCACTGAAGATGCACCTTTTTACCCTGGTCTCTGACACCCAAGATTATATGTTTCTAGGACCCACCCTTTTTGGATTTTAAATTGTTTTAACCAGTTTTAATACTGTAGTTTTACACTGTTGTAACCTGCCTGGGTTAGGCCATTTAAGCACTGCAGTGTCCTTCATCATGACCAAGGAGGAGCTGCTGCTAGGCAAGTCCTGTTACAGGGAAGAGACTGCTGGAACCATAAGGGGCAAGCAAAACATTCCCAAGGCAGTTTACAGTTAAAATAGAAATACAATAATACAGCAAGACAGTAAAATGAATACAACAAAACAGCAGCAATGGAATCTTGGTCATATTAAATTATTATTAAATATATAATAAACCTTAAAAGGCTCAACAGTGTGTAGCCTGTTCACACCGAACAGGCTGGCACTGCAACTGTATTTTATTGAAGAAAAATAAAAGCCACACATCAAGTCTGCAAACACACAATGGGTAATGCAGAAAACACAAGAATTCAGCATTTTTGCAATGATGACAACTGGATTTCTCATTAAAAAAAAGCGAGCAAAGGTTGGCAATTCTAGAAAAACCCCTAGTGCAGAAGCAACCTAGGACACAGTAAGCCCCAGTGATTTGTTACATCTGTAAACTACATTTGTGTTTTATGCAACTTTTGCATCCACCTTGATTACAAAGCAAGGTAAGGCAAAGCTGTACTACTTGCAGAATAAAGTGCCCTAAGATGAAAGGATTTTGAAAAACTTTTGCATCTATAGTCTACTCTTTTAGTACCATCACCAGTTTCTGTTGAAAGTATCTGAATTTCCAATGTAATTCCCAGTGCCAATGAGGACTTATATGTAATAAACATCTGTAAACGACATTCTCTAGAGACTGTTTTGGTCCACTAAGCCTTGCAATTTTCCTGTTTCAACCTTGATGGGAAGAGAATTATATATAATTTAAGGCTGCTGTAATATGGAGGAACTACTGTACTAGTTTAGTTTGGATATATCCTCCTTGGCAATCTCTGTGAGAACTAAGTGCACATATAACCGTTAGAATCATTAGCCAATTGATCTTGCGGACAACTTGCTTCTCCATCTCAAACAGAATCAGTCTGACTGACTTTCTAGTCAAATACAGTCATCAGTTAATTTCCTCATCATATGAACAAAACATACAGTAGCAGATATTCACTGAACCAGTTGGCTCTGACATCAGCTGTTTTAGATTCCACTGCTATTGTTTTATTGTATTCATTTTACTGTTTCTGCTGTATTGTTCTATTTCTATTTTAACTGTAAAGCTGCCCTGGGAATGTCTCTGTGAAAAGTGGAATACAATTAAGTAATATATAATGGGATAAAATGGTTATAAGACATCACAATAACTCTGTCTGTACAACAGACCCACATCTTTTGTGGACCTCCTGGGATGCAGAACCAAAAGCATCTTTTATACTGCAGACTTACCACACTGAACAATACTCCGGAACCGAATATCACATGCAGGTCCAATTCCATGAACAACAAAAACCAAATGGTCTATCTGCAAAGGTTCCCCTGAAATAAATAGAAATTACATACTTATCAAGACACTATTTTCAAATGGGAGTGACATTCTCTCAAAATGTAAGTTTTGGTTCCCCCCCACAAAAAAAGCTTACATTTTTCAAAGAAAAGTTATGGATTCTATACTTGAGCTAAATCAAATATTTGATTATGCTTTGGCTTCCCTAATTTTTTAAAAATAAAAATTATTAATAGATTATATATATATATATATATATATATATATATATATATATATTACAAACATGACTATTTACTTTTTAGTTGTAGTATAACATCTTTAAGAATTATGTTCAAGTTTGGGTATGGTTTGGTTTGAAGCAAGGGCAGAAGTACCAGGAAGTTTTCTAATCATTTTAGTCACATCTATTTATCCTGTTTAATGAACAATCCCTGTGTAAAATCATATCAAGAAAGGAAGAGCAGGTAAGTTTAAAATAAGCAAGGGGGAAAAAACGCATGTCATCACCATTAGGAATTTCAGCAGAAATATTTTCCACTCCTCTCTTCACAGTTCTTGGCCGGCCTTGCTCTGTGGGACTTGCGCCCCAGTCATCAGTGGTTGTTACTGGGTGGTAATGTACCATCAACTTGAATGGACCACAAAAATAAAAGATGTTAGCACTACATAAGTAGGAGAAACAAACCACAAAGCAGAGACAATCAATTTCAAAGGTGGGTAATAATTTAAATGCAACTCCCCAATATGGACATGCAGGAACGCTGGAGGAGAGGCAGACATTCTCCTCTCCCGGTGCACACCCATTTTATTTATTTGGACACTTTATATACTGCTCATATTTACACAAATCTCTAAGTGGTTTAGAACATAGATTAAAACATTTTTTTCCAATGACAAATACAAAGATTGCCAGAAAATGTCCGCATTCTATCAGAGACAATTAAGAAATAAGCAGAGCATCTTCTTTAGCATCAAAATAAACATTACATAGAAAAATTAGCTACAAAAATAGAAGGAAAATGCCACATTGTGGAATACAGTACATAGCTAATCAAAATACCCTCTAAACATAGGAAATGAAATCTTACAAATGAAAACCAACTAAAAATATATAAATTCCACATTTTAAAACAGCATGATTGACAGCTAGACAAAAGAAAAACCACCTCCCATTTGCAAAATACCATATCCCCATCGATCATATAATTAAGCAATTAAATTCCCAGCAATAAGCACAACATAAATTACAGCTAAAAATGCCTTCCATTCGGTTCTTCTCAAGCACACCTTTTCATGATCAATACACTCACATCAATCCAGCATATACATATTATAAACCAATATACACATGCCTACCATTTTGACACTCCCTCAAATCATACTCTCCACACTCAGCAACCACAGGCATAATTCAATCTCATACCTTCAAACAACCCACACGCATGTGACCCAGAAAATGGGTAGAATATAGAAACTCCTTTCTCCAATTTTCTAACAGACCAGGCAATAACACTTCACCTATTCTCCCCTCTAGAAATGAACTTTTCTTTTCAGAAGTTCCTGATTTCCTGAAACAGAGTCAAAACTGTTTATTAAAAGATAAACGATGCTTGTAATACTTGAGAGTCGCAAACAGCAAACTTTCAAGCTTCACTATACCTTTGGGTTATGCAATATGATGATTTCTCTGGTCGGAGACTCCAGTTTCTTTTTCCACTCATCTAAGGTGACACAGATCATATAAGTGTCCTGAGAAGAAGAAGAAGAAGAAAATCTTTAAAGAGTCAAATATATGTCTTTTTTTTAAAAAAAAAATCTATCAAAGCACAATCCTATGCATATTTACTCATCTTTAACTGGACTACTATTCTGAGAGCACAGTGTACAAAATTAAATGACTAGAATCAGTTCAAAAACTATAGTTTGAAGAACCAAGCCAATAAAGTCCTAATTAGCCTCTCAATACATGCCTTTGGGGGGGACGGGACACCTCAATCGGGACTATTAAGAGAAAAAGCAAAATATGTAGGTATTTTATTGTCTGGGAGATGGTGAGGCAGCAATGAGGGAACAGTCACCAAGAATGCTTGTTTATGTCCTTACAATATAAATCTGGGGACCAAACAAAATACAGCATCAGGAAATTAGGCCTTCTGCTGCAACTGACATTATTATCAACTGAGGGGAGAGAGCCTTTCTCCACACACGCGATCACCTTGGCCATTTGACTTGTAGGTGAAAATTTACAGATACTGGTATCATACATAAAAGTTTTCCCACATAGGGGCCTGTGAGCTCCCATGTCGTTTTGCAAAGTTACAAAACTTGGCATATCCAAGATCAAAAAGACTTGCCAAAAATGGAAACATTTCAATCAGGGTATGACTGGTGCCTGCCGGAGGCAGCAGTTATAATTTATGGTTACCTCTAGCTCTTCACTGAAGCTTTCAGGGTATGGGATATATCTGTTGTCTTTGTCTCCCTTGTAAAACCAAGTGCAGCGCCTCACTTCAGATTCATCTTCTTCCCAGTAAACAGCATAGCGTAACCTCTTCTTCAGATGTACATCGTATCTTCCCCCCTCTGTTGGAACAACTAGCTCATCACAGTACTTGCCTGCAGAACAAAAGGACTACTATAAAGCAGGAATTAAACCCAAGATAAGGGGACACTGACTTCCACAGCCACACATTATTAACGGAACTTTGTAAAAAGGAAAAGCAGGGCTAAAACCAGATTCTAAAAGAATAAGTAGCCTATTTTTTATTTTATTTTTTGCTTCCTACAAAATATGGTATCTAATGCAGAATTCAGAAGACTGCAGCTTTATTCTTTAAAGCAAGTGCATCATCTTTGTAGTTGACAAAATAGCTATGAAAGCATACCAAATAATGTTTACAAAATGACAACAATTTGTGGATAAATTCTGTATGTCCAGCATATTTTCCTGTCCTTCCCCAGGGACCTGCAGTTAAATTTCTCCACTCATTTCTCACACACTTACTTCCAGCCACCAACACTCGCAACGAAGTACAATTGTAGAAGGTAGGTCATTTTTTATAATTCCCTGCTTTTGAAACACTCCCTCTGATCACTTGGTATTCATAATTATACTGCAGATCATAGTCTTCAGAGTCACTTAGTTAATAAGCCACTCTATTAGTAAATCACTGGCTTTCTTCCTTGTCCTATACCAGAAGAACTTTGAGACATCCAATGAAATTGTTTGGCAATAGATTTATGATGGACGAATGAAAAGTACTTATTTGCACAACACAAAATTTATAGCATGCACTGACACAACATATGGCAATGACTATATGGAGTTGGGGAAATTTATGAAGGCTACCTCTGACTTTTATGCTTCCCTGCTTTCTGGGCTTCCCAGGAGTATCTGATTGGCTACTGTAAAAAACAGAATCCTGGGCTAGGGGATTTTTAGCCTAATCGAGTGGGGCACTTCTTATAATCTTAGGTGCAAAATAGCCATCAAATTAATTAAATTAATTGGGAGTATATCTCATTGAACTCAATGGGACTTATGTATGAGAGACATACATAGGAATGTACTATAAGGGTGGCCATGACAATGGGTTTCTGGCTGGAAATGCTCATATTTGAAACCCAGTTTCAAGTCGTCATCTGATGATTTAGTATTTGAGTGAACCATGCAACCACGCCAGTTAGAGAGATTATTTTCAAGGGAAGATGACTTAGAATTGGATATAGTCATATTGTAGGAAACCTCTGAACACCACTAATGCAACAGAGGATACTGGGAAAGATTGCTAACTAATAAGGCTGTGTTAAAGGATAGCTCCCACCTCCCCAGCATTTCAACTTACTGGATTTATGAGCATTTTCTAACTTCTCTGAATCTTGTCCACTGAAGGGAATCCACCTCTCTCTTGAATCTACTACCTTGCAATAAAACCAATGAGGGCAAACTGCCTCATATTTATTGGCTGCATCTGTTTCCAGTGCTTCAGATGAGCTGGCTAAATTAGGCAATGGAGAAGGCTCTGTCGGTTGATGCTCTGCTGCTGACATTGCACTGCCTGGAAGAACACAAGACAGGAAACAGAATATGGTTTAAAATACCTACAGTTTATTTGATAGCAACGAATGAAAAGGTTACGTAGGAATAAAAATGACCCCAGACAGCACAGTTTCTGAGAAAATAAGCAAGATAAAATTGTAAATTGCTACAAATGAGCCAACAGCAACCACACAGACATCAAGCCTCTCAAACCAAATCAAACTTACAATTTGGACTGCAACTTCAGCACAAAGCAATTCAGTGGGACCACTAACTAAACATCTAAGAGCCCACAACTGCATCAGAAGTACTTTCCCTTCTGCAGCTTTATAAATATTTTTAAATGCATCATTCTAAAATTCATGGACAGGCATATTACTATTCCTTTAGATTACACCTCCACATCTGAGAACCAGAAGAGAAATTATAACTGAATGAAAATAGCTAAGTGAATCAAAATAAAAATAAAAAGAACTACATCACTCGCAGACAGGTAGAAATCCCCACCTAACTGACATGAAAATGTACCCCCAAATGATAATTTAAATAAGATACTTACAGCCACAGAATCCTAACTGCTCAGTCTTTACTACAGGGTGGGGAACAGGTTTTATTGCTTTAAAGAGACCCTAGGCGCTTGCTAACACATTAGATTTCAGTCTTGGATATACATAATGATAATTAAATAAGCTAATATTAAGACATTTTGACTTCTTGCAGTTGCGAACTATAGATGCCTTCACATATTCAGTTTTGTGGTGGTTTTGCCTCCACATGGCAAAACACACTAACCTGTCACAAGGTAATTGTTCAAAAATATTTCTCCAGAAATCTCCAATAGAGACAATGGTTTCAATGCACATATGGACAGTGACAACTAGACTGGTGCTTTCAGCATCAAAAACAGTAAGCTAAGCAAAAATATGAATAATGATCCTAGTCCTTGCATAAAATTGTCAGGGGGGTACGAATTAGACATGCAAACACTGCTCCAAATTCTTAGTCAGCAAAATAACAACACTTTGGTCCCTGTGAGGCAGTGACCCCATCTCCTTTTAATCACAGGGTATTTACTACTAAGCACCCAGATACCAAATACAAAAGCCACAAGCTTAACGAATCATTTCAGCACATGCTTCCAGTTTCATAATACTGGTTGTGCCGAGCAACAAACAGCAAATGTGACAGATTCCCCTTAGGAAGAAGAGGAGGCTGGATAAACACCCATCGCTACAAAATGAGTTGTGCACACAGCTGCTCCCAGCCATTACTGACGCTACGGATGCCACGTTCCAAGCCCTGCTGCCCCCCTGATCCAGTAACCCACTGTTGCCCTTGTTAGTCTAAAGGCCGCCCTGTCCTCCTCAGCACCTTCGCAGCACCCGCCACCTCCTACCTAATCCCTGTACCATCTGTGACCAAGGTTTCTCCTACCTGGTACCCAGCCTTTGAGAACACCTTACAGGAAGGACCCAGGCTCTCTTTCAGCTTCTTGACACCCAACCAATCACAATCCATTTGATGGTCCCCTGACACCATCCCTCCCACAGATAAAAAGAAAACATGGGCACTTGGACACTGGGCAGCCCCCTCCCCCAGACCACTGCTGGCTGGGCAGGCATTGATAACCTCCTGTCCGTTACACCTGGGGTGGCAGGTGCAGGGCACAGGTAAACCTGCGTCTACCTGCGTGTGCAGGCACACATCCTTCCCCTGCCACCACATGAGCATCGATGGCCTCCCCGCCCCACAGAAACACACACGCACACGTCCCTCTCCATCCTGTCACTCCCCGCAGGAATTCGTGACATTTTGCGTCCCCCCGTCCCTTTTACCCATTGCTGGCGAACACGCCTGGACATCAGGCGCAGCGACCGCAGAACGGACCGCGAGTCCCCGCCCTCGCCGACACGCATTCGCTGAACGTCCGAACGGGGCTCATCGTTCCACAAGCCACGGGAGGCTGCGGATCTGCCCCCAAACCCGCCCCGCCCGCCCCTCTTCCTCCTGACATCAGGGAGGTCAGAAAGTCCCCTCCTTTTCCAGGATGTCCAGCGGAGGCGGCAGCAGCATCCCCTTGGCCGCCCCTTCCGCCGAGACACAGCGCCGCCGCCGCCGCCGCCGCCGCTTGGCGAGAATCGCCTCAGAGAGGCACCGCGCTCGGCCCTCCGCCCCGGGCTCGCCTGTCGCCAGCAGCCCCAGCCCCCCGTCCTCCCCGCCGCCTTCCTCTCGCACTGACCCCGGGCGCCCAGGCCGCGACGTGTCCTCGACTTGCTGCTTCCCCGGCCGGCTGAGCTGTCCGACAACAGCGGCGGCGGCGGCGGCGGCGAAGGAGGAGGCTGGCTGAGGCGAGGCGGGGCCGCCTGGGGCGCGCGAGGCAGGCCGGCTCTCCTCGCAGCCCGCCTCCCACTGGGCCGGGCCTGGCCGGCCTGGCCCGCCTTCCGCCGCGAGCGTTGAGGGGCCTCGCACCTCGGCAGCGAGGGGGGCTCTTCGGAGAAAGCAAGGCCCCGCCTCCGCCCTCGCGTGTCGGTGAGAGGCCGCGGAGGAGCCCCGCGCTCAGAGCCTCCCTTCGCCCGGCGAGCAGGCTGCGCGCCCCTCGGCCCGCCGCGCTACCTCACAGGGTTGCTAGGAGGAGGAGGAGAACGCAAGAGGAGGCCCCAGGCCGCTCTCGCCGTGGCCGGACGGATCGTTTTAAGACCCCGCCTTTGTTACCCCAAGGAGCTCAAGGTGGCGCAGTGACCCTCACAGACAACCCTGCGAGGTAGGCTGGCCTGAGGTAACCCGACCAGGTGGGGATTTGAACCCAGGTCCTGACTGCGCCACAGTGGTCCTGTGGCGCATATGGGGAAGCCCGCCAAGGAGGACCAGCGCACGAAATAACACTCCCAACTTGTGATTCCCAGTCCCTGACATGGAGAGACACACTCAGGTAGAACCTAGCCACCAAGAGCCTTAAGAATAAAGGGCAAGAGGGACAGTAAACTGTGTATTTTCCCTGTTACTGGTTTTTAGTGGGAAAGGATATAGTGTTCTTTTCTTAAGACTAGAACTGAGAGTCATTTAGGACTGGCAGAAGGAAGCAGTTCTTCATACAGCACATTGTTAAAACTATGGGATTTAGTGACAACCACCAACTTAGATGGCTTTGAAAGAAGATTATACAAATTTATGGACAGTAAAGCTGTCGATGGCTGCATAGTCATGGCTGTGTGTTACCTCTTGTATTGGTGCTTCTGAATATTGGTTGTTGGCGTTCACAAGTGGGAGAGTGCTGTTATGGTCCCATCCTGCTGGAGCTTTGCATAGACATCTGGGGAGCTGCTGTGTTCTGAAATTGCTGTTCTTCATTCAATAAGCTTTACTCCCAGGAAGTGCGTAAAGGACTTCAGTCTTATGTTTATATCCTTCCCTCCAACGAACTCAGGGCAACATATTTTTATGGGGGGGGGGTATATACCATCCAGTTAATCATTCTCCACTGGGCAGTTCACAAATTAAAAGCAATAAAATACAAATACACAATCGACAGCTGAAACAATGCAAAAGGCTGCACCAGCACAAAATTAGCATACAACCATATGGAACTGGGGAAGTTCCGTAACCAACAAGTCCTGTTACCCAAAGACAACCTATACTTTTGCTTCAAGAAATTCTGGTCCCTAGCTTTTTGCCCTTTGGACAATTCATTGTTAAAATGCTGATTGTAAGAGCTGCTAGACTTGGGTGCAGGATTTGACTCACTTAACTCTTTGTGAGGGTGTGCATCTTGTCTCTGGCATGGGCTGGGGAGGGGGACATTTGGCCCTCCAAATGTTGATAAGACTGCTGGGGCTGATCAGAACTGGAGCCCCAGCAACTGGAGGACTGACTGCAGATTCCCCACTCCTGCACTGTTATACATAAAATGCATGTGTATGCACAGCCTGTTATTATACATAGAGACTGAGCAGCCCTAATACTAAACAAACATTATGTGACTGACACTTAGACTTGTGTATTCCACTTCCCTTTCAGTGCCTCAAGGAAGAGAGCTGGAACATCTCTATTTTCAGCTAACCACATTTTGTCCTTTCATTCGAACCAGAACAAAATGATTAAAGTACACTGGTTTGTTGTAACAAAATGTGATTTGTGGTCCTACTTGTTTCAGCTAAATCTTCATTAAAACTAACCACAGTTGGACCCAGTTAGACAAAATAAACTGCACTCAGTTGAAAACATTAGTAGATACCTTGACTGCTTCCTCGAATTCACTCTGGAGGAGGGAGATAAGAACAGGCTTGTCCATGGTTTAGTATTGTGTCCAAACCAGTTCATTACAGCTTCAGAGGTACATTGCGAATTGTTGGGAACATAGGACAGTTATGCACACACCCCCAATTGTGAGAGGGCTTTTCACTTATATGTTAGTTATTGGCTTCCCAAAAACTGGCCATTGTGGGAACAGAATAGCCTTTGGGGTGAACCAGCAGGTCTGTTTTTCTTTGCTTGACCAAAAGAACATCTCACTTGTTGAGCTTTTAAATCCATGGAATACAGGAACCATTTGAGGGCATTCAAATGGACAAGGAACGTGTGTGTCCTCTGGCACATCACCATCAAGTTTACAGCCCTCTATTACTTTCAGGGCAAAGGTCTGTGACAGAATGTCTCCTTTACTCATAGAGGGGCCCTGATTGCATTTTGGACCTTTGCCCTTATACTTGTGCAGAGCTGTAAATAGGATGAATGATGGTCATGCTTTGGAAAGGGTGGGGCTTAGCTGCATGCCCCTATTCTCCCTTGCATGATTGTTTGCACATAAGTAGGGATGGAAGGATCTGTCAGTTTCACATTTTTCCCATCTTAAATTCGGTTTCCACATTTCTGCAGCAATTTGCTAAAGAAAGAAAGAAATCCTCATGAAACTGGCATCATTTTGGTGCAAAATTCTCCTAAACACATTTTTGTATTTTAATTGATATATCCATTTTAATGCAGTTTCCTCTAATAAAGGCATTTTTATAAACATTGGTTGGTTGGAGACGTACATTACAAAATTTGAATAGGTGTGAATTTCAGAGGATGGCTCTGTTTTGGTTCTGTTGTGGATTGGTAGAGTCATCTTTAAATATGATCTGAATCAAATTTCTCCTTACCCTAACACTAACCCATGTGTAATCTGAATGCTGCAGTAAGGCGTTTGTTTCCAAGTAAACCAATACAGCAGGCAGAGAACCACATACTGTAACATGGCATGCAAGGGAGAAGCCTAGGCAATAATTTTAGTGTGGAAAGTAAGATGTTGCAATCACATCCCCATTTTTGTGGAATGTTGGGGTGGTGTGCAGCTGTTGCTTTCATGTACTGCCATAGGCTTTCAGGTAGAATTTATTGGCCTGGTGTGGAAAACCAAAGCTCCATCCCAAATCAGAGATGCAAATTTGGAGAAGGGTTATAGCGCTGTGGTAGAGCATCTGTTTTGCATGCATAAAGTCCCAGGTTCAATGCTCAGCATTTCCAGATTGGTTTGGGAATGTCACCTGCCTGAAACCTTGGAGAGCTGCTGTAAACAATACTGACCTAGATGGACCAATGGCCTGACTTGGTACAGTGGTGCCCCGCAAGACGAATGCCTCGCAAGACGAAAAACTCGCTAGACGAAAGAGTTTTCCGTTTTTTGAGGTGCTTCGCAAGACGAATTTCCCTATGGGCTTGCTTCGCAAGACGAAACGTCTTGCGAGTTTGTTTCCTTTTTCTTAAAGCCGCTAATAGCCGCTAAGCCGCTAATAGCCGTGCTTCGCAAGACGAAAAAACCGCAAGACGAAGAGACTTGCGGAACGGATTAATTTCGTCTTGCGAGGCACCACTGTATATGGCATCTTCTGGGTTGTATCCAATGTTTGTTCTACTCAGAGTAAACCTATTGAAATTTGTGGACTTAAATTAGTTATGTCCATTAGTTCAATGGGTCTACTTTGAGTAGAACTAACATTGGGTACATGCCTATTTCCCTAAATTTAGGACAGCTTGGGAGTCAGAGGCAAAGTCTGGTTCTTGCCATAAGGGCTTAGTCTTAGCTATAGAGTTACGACAGGATTAAGGTACCAACACCCACAATCTGTTGACAAGAACAGGATAGGCTAAAACAGGTTTGGTCCAACATCAGCACAATCCCTAATATCACTACCACCCATCTCTTAGGAAATTCCCTCAAAGTTTTTAAAAAATAACAGCATTCAGTTAGTTACCTCATTGTTGACCCTTCATATACTTTAAACCGCTGACAAATACAGCTTGCACCACACATTGTTATTTCGGATCCATGGAGCCCATTTTAGAAAGAAATGCTTTGCAATTTGATGCTAATCTTCCTTTTCTAACCACAAGACAATTCACAACCCTTCTAAAAATAGATCATTTTACCGTCTCAGCCCAAAGTCCTACCAATGACAACTGTGTTGGACCTTATCTGCAAAGACAGAGAAGAGTTAATGGCTAACCAGACTATTACGTATTGCCTATACAGAAATTTTTCATGAGCTCCTGATATTTTGGGGATAGAACCCAACTCCAGCTAATCTGCATCCTTGGCATATAAAGGGGGCTCTGAAATTCAGAAAGGTGGATATTATCGGGGACCACATGCACACACATCCTCCATTAGAAGATTATTTGAAATCATCAGAAATAGTCAACAAAATGGACACATTAGTTTTATTTAAGGTGTGATACATTAAAATATATATACATGTTGATATATGATTGTATCCAACACTGGTCATACTTGGAGTAGACCCACTGAAATTAATATACAGTGGTACCTCGGGTTAAGTACTTAATTCGTTCCGGAGGTCTGTTCTTAACCTGAAACCGTTCTTAACCTGAAGCACTACTTTAGCTAATGGGGTCTCCTGCTGCCGCCGCGCCACCGGAGCATGATTTCTGTTCTCATCCTGAAGCAAAGTTCCTAACCCGAGGTATTTCTGGGTTAGCAGAGTCTGTAACCTGAAGCGTATGTAACCCAAGGTACCACTGTACGTGGCTAACTTAGGTAGAGAGTAGCAGTTGTATACAACCTTTCTTCTACCTTTGCATGTACAAGATGTTTCTAATGCAGTTGGGTGGAATTAAGCCCAATCGCAACTGCTCACTGCCTGCCTCTACCATCACCACACACCACAAGTCTTAGTAGCAGAGCTCTGAACATTTCCCTTCCTAGTGACTGGACTAAATTGAACCTGGGGAGTAGAATAACTTGACAGAGGAAATGTTCTATCCCTTCCTTGGACAGAGGTAGCTAGTCTTTTTGGGCCTGAAAAGCTGCATTTGTTCTTGGCCAACCCTCCATTGGCCTCTTGCCAGTGAAAGGGGAGACCAAGACTAAAGAGAGTGTGGAAACTCTCAAGCACAAGTCACATGCACACGCACACACACATCCAGAGGGCAGATGTTGAAAACTCTCAGCTCAGCTCATTACCATATGGGGATTAACTAGTCTAGGTGACTGAAGCAAAGAGGAGAACTGTTAAGGTGTTTCCCAATTTAAAGCACCCTAATGCGGATAGTTACTTTCCCGGTCTGGAGAGTTCTACAGGTCGTCAAGGGCAAAGCAGCAAGTTAAAAAATACGTAGCTAGGCAGACTTGTCTCCATAGTATACATCCCTTTGAGTCTCTGGCTGGAGTCTTGTACGTAAAACATAATTGTACTTAAATTGTGTTTCAAAGTTGGCATAAGTAGTGCCAGAGTTGCATTGAAATTCAGTGATACTGCCTTCTGACTAGGCTGGGTGGGGAACTTTTGGTCCTCCAACTGTTGGACTACACTCCCATCATTCCTGGCCTCTGGCAACACTGATTGGGGCTGATGTAAGCTGGAGTCCAACATCTGGAGGACCAACAATTCCTCATCCCTCTGTAGGCTGTGGTATTCTGTCTCTCTGAAATAAAACTTAGAATTTTAAGTTGCTGGTCTACTTTTTATTATTGTAAAACCCCACCTCAATTTAGGAAAGCAGAACTGAAATTGAAATACTTTATTGTCACTTGTACAACTTGTATACAGTGAGATTACACGAGCACCCCCCACTCAGCTCTCTTAGTCTTAATGCCCCTCGTTTACTGATGCACACCCACCAAGCCCAAAAGTCAGTTGCCCTGTTGTTATCTTTTCATTCAGCAGCCTAACATCCCACGGATAGAATCTGTTCTTTACCCTGTTGGTGAGACTAATCATGTTTCTATATTTTCTGCTCAAAGGCAGGAGATCAAGAAAGTGCTGGCCAGGGTGTGAATCATTCCTGAGAATTTTCCTCACTCTCCTGAGGCAATGTTCTTCCGTGATGTCTTCCAGCGGATTCACGGGATAGCCCATAATATATTGTGCTGTATTCACCACCCTCTGTAGGCACTTCCTATCAGTTGATGTCAAACCAGCATACCACACCGTGATGCAGTATGAAAGGACACTTTCTATTGTGGACCGGTAGAAGGAGCTCATCAAATGTTGATTGACATCATTCTTTCACAATACTCTGAGGAGATGGAGAATACTAAGTATCTTCCCTCTCGGTTAAAATACTGGAACTATTACTCAGCAAAAAACATATTTGCCCAACTTGTGATTGTTAGTGTCCAAGACCAAAGTGGCAGATATATTCAAAAAGATGCCCATTTTTCCTTCCATTGTATTTTTTCTCCCGGTGCGTCCTATCTAAAGTTGCATCTCCCACTCAGTCTTGTGAATCGCTTGATCAACATGGGATGCTAGATTTTGTCCTTCACCACAGGTTGATTTCTAGTTTGCGCAGTGGCTGGTGACCTGGGAGTACACATACACTTCACGTCTAGATAAGTGAATAACAGGGGTATTAAGAAGTAGGAGCTACAGGAAAAAGGAAACATTTGTACCTCACATCTTCTAGATCAGTCAAAGGCATCTTAAAGAGCAACATTTACAAGCAGTGGTTGCATTATTTTGCAACATG